CTAAACCTAACATTTATCTTATTATTTTTATGTATTTATTTTCAATTATTATTTATTTTATATATGATTTTTATAATGTTATATTTATATTCTATTTAATTCGTTTATTTATCTAAACTCCTGCTACTGCATCATTCTTTTCTCTGGTTAATTAATCTATAATAATTAATTTTGATAATGCTAAAGAATTTAACACTTTCCAAATATTTACTATTCTTCATTTACTCGCTTCTCATAATGGTTTCAACACTTTTATAAATGTATGTTTATTGATTCCCCACAAATAGTATTCTTCAAATGCCATATAAGTAATAGACCTTGATAAATTTTACAGAATAAATGAATAAAGTGCTCTATAAAATAATGCTAATTCACCATAGCCTTTTTCTAAATGTATCTCCTTACGTGGTAGAAACAAATTTATATTTATGTACAAAACATTATCTACCAATTTGTTAGTCTAATAAATATTTACAATTATGTTTCTACCATTAAGCTAAATACAAAATGACCATAAAAACATTTAGTCTTGAATTTGATGTTATCCTCAGTTTGATTTTTTTGTTCAGGATTGAAGGTTTCAAAAATATATGCTAAATCACTTTCCTATGTTGGTTTGATAGAAATATCACTTTTTAGAAACTCTTCTAATTAATTTAGCTTAAAGTAATGTAGTGTATGTTATTAAACATTCTTATTGATTCCAAACTCTTAAAACAGGATTTCTGATTCCAGTGGTTTTAATCCACAATAATTTATATAATTATTATAACAACAATATCTTTTTTTCAATTAGGATATTATTTTAATAATAATCTTAATTATTTATTTAAAATCATAACAATTTCGAACTCATCAATTTATGTGATAAATTATTAAAATAAAATCTACATTAATTATTTCTTTTTGATTGATTTGAAATTAAATAGGAAGGATTGTAAATTTGAAATTGAGTTAATTTAAAAGGAATTTTATTTGATCGTAATAAATTGTGAATCGAGTTTCATAAAAAATTGACTAAAAATAAGGTTTCAGATCCATTATAATTAGATGTTAATAGTGGTATTCTGTATGGTACTATTATTCATATAAATTACTGATCAAAGAAATCAATTCATTTACGATGGGATTGGCATTATCTAATAATATAAATGCGGGATAAATTTAATAAGAAGAAAAAGCTTTAAACTTATAGAGAAGAATAGATTAATACTTAATAAAAATTTCTCAAAAAATATCCAGAAGTTGAAAGATATTAGAAATAATGGAATTTTTACATCAACTTGAGATTGGATTAATTGATTATGAAAGGATAGAAAAAATTAAACTGCATTGTATATCCATTTGTATGTTTTTTTGAAAACTTGATATTATTAATTAAGATAATTTGATTGAAATATACACAAGATTTTATTAAAAGATGGCTAATAATTCAATAATAATGTTTATGAATGAACTCATAAGAGAAATACTAGAATAAAAGATATTAAAGCAAGTATTGAGAATAATAAATATACAAACAGATAAATAAATCGTTCTAATTTTAGAAGTCTTTATAATTAGATAATTCTTTTGAATGGTTTATTTTTATGCTTTATGAAAAGATGAAATAGAAAGAGAGAACATCTGGGTTGCAAAAAGACATAAATTATAAGTTTTTGATTATTAAATTGCTGGACTAAATAAATATATCTCAATTAAAAAGAGGATAGTTAATTGAACAGAATGTATTTTTCAGCATTAAAGAGAGAGTGGTTTAAGATGGAACTCAAGTCATACCCTTTGTTATTTGGAACAGTAAAATGACTAGAAATAGCTTGAGATATTCAGAAAGGAAATTATACTTAATTACAATATTCCATTTACTTATTCAAATATATATACACTTTAATAAAAATGAGGAAATATTACAATACTTTTTAAAAAGAAAATACAATAAATTGAATAATGAATTTGCTTATATGTTTTATAAATAGATTCATTTCTTATATTATTAAAATGGATTGACACAATCTGGAACAACAGAGCTTAATTTAACATTTGAACGAAATACAGTGGTTTTCTTTCTTAATAATGTTTTCTTTCTTAGATGATCTAATTTGCTCTTCACTTGAGCAACTATTTTTAAAGGAGTTATTGATTTTAATTTATCATTTCTTCTCAATCTTAGAAAATTTTAAACATAGAGAAATGGATAGAGCATAAATTTTCTCATTTTTTGAAGAATTGTAGTTTGCCAACCAAATATGTCTTATTTAACTAAAATTATCACATCTTCAGCATTTTATTTATTATAATATTAATCGAAGGATGCCTTGGTTTCAAAGTCATCAAATTTCTTTTAATAAAATGACCAATAGATAGGTTCTAACTATAATAAAGCTTTTTTGCTTATTGTATCATTTTCATTAATTTCTAAATTCCTTTGCAATTAATGATAAAGATTAGTTATATTATCGATCATATTATCATTGAAATCTTAGATAGCTAATACTAAATCATCTCTTTTTTTCTTATAATTAATAGATGTATTTTTTTAATCATCATCACTATCATTATCATTGCTTGATTCATTTTAAAATCCACTACTATTTTCTTTTATTTCATCTACTAATGGTATAGGACGATCTTTACGATTTTTAGGAGACATTCCTAAAGAAAGAGCACCAGATAAAATTGATTATTTTCTATTTTATAATGCATTATTAAGATTTTATCTTAATTCATTGATATTAATTTTGGATTCATTTTTAATTTATGATTATTCTTATCTTATTTATTCATTTTTACTTTAAGATTATTATTAATATTATTCAGTCTTATTGTTTTAATCCAAAACTAATCTATTAACTCTAGAAGATCTTATATGTTAAGCCTAAAAGATAGGAGCAGTTTAAGGAAGTTTGAATGCTGGAGAACTAGCATCTTCAACTGAAGTATTAGATTCTGATCCACATTCAAAATTTAATAGAATTTTACTTTAATTAATAATAACTTATTAATTTTAATTCTAATAGTATGTAGCACATTCATGAATTAAATCTCTTATTAATCTATGATGACTCCAATCAATTTCATTTTCTTTTTCTTTTTCATCTTACATTTTTCTTTTTTCTGTTCTTCTTCTCTTAAAAGGAGTTGAATTCTAAAAATTAGACATACAATATCTTTTAATAACAGCCTCTCTATTAGGAATATATTAAACTTATGGACAATAATTGAGAGAATGTTTAAAATTTAAACAAGCTGGACAAAATACACCATTTTCTAAAACAGGCGGATGATAATTAAGTGTTATACTTTCTTTTAATTAACAATACTTTTAAAAATCTTCAGGATAATCTTTTAATGTTTCCATAAAATCTGATTTAGATAATATTAATAAACTAACATAACCCATAGCTTTAAAATGATCAACTTAACGATTATTAGTAATGAAATCTAAAACACAGAAGAATTAACCTTAATTAATTACAGCATTCATTTTAGATCTTTATTTTCTCTCTGGATGTTAATATACAATAAACCCTTGTTCAACAAAACATAAGTGTTATTCATTTGAGAACTCTGTTGAAAATGTATTTTATGGAGGTATAATCTTTCTTTTTATAGATTTGAATAATGCATTACGAAATTCTTCACTAAAATATTTCTATAGAAAATTTGATTTCTAAATAAAAACTTTATGTGCTTATTTATCTAATTCTTCTTTCAATTCATCTGACAACTATTCCAACAATGTTTACTCCATTTCCAAATCTACTTCATCATCCTCCTTCCATCTGAATGTCAAATACTCCTTTACTCTATAATAAATATCATATAATACTGATGCTACAAACTATAAGGAATCTTTCTCTGATCCATATATTTATTTATTACTCTCATTCTTCGATTCCTCTCTACTTAATTCTATGTTATATCCTCTATTATACTCCCAATAAAATTTACACTATAAGATACCCATAAACCTACATTAATTTAATCTCTATACATGCTCCCAATACAAAAACCATTGTTACTATTTTCTCTATTGCATTTTTAGGAACCATATCACCATATCCTATTGTTAACATTGTTACTACTGCAAAATACAATGCTTATAAATATTACTCTTCCCAATCTTTATCTTCAATATCATTGAAACGAATCCAAGAATCCTCCACTCGAATACTGCTGAAATAAAACCAAATACAACTAAATAAATGTAATATATAAAGCAATGTTAAAATAAACTTTAATAAACCAAACACTCCTCTTTATGGCCTTGTCAAATATGAAATCTAATCACTTTTTGAAAATGTCTCTTATACATATTTATGCTATCCCAAAATTATCAGTAAAAATAAATTCGCATTTGTATTCATATCAGGAATTATAATAAAAGTTATCAAAATTATTGATGTTGAGAAATCTGTAAGAAATTCCTTCTTTAACTAATGTACTACTAAATCCCATTTATTCTTTATTGCATAACCATTCTTATATGTTTAAGTATTTATTCTAATCAAAAAATCAAGTTGCAATATTAGCAAAATTACATATGTTATGAAAATTAAGTTGTTGAATAAAATTTCTGGTTTAAATGCTATTTCTAACGGTACAAGTATTAATAGTAGAATTCTAAAAATGGAGGTGAAAAAATCCCAATACATTTTAAATAAGGATTCAGGTTAGATGATAGGTATTTTATTTATAATTGAATTGAGACAATTAAAAATCGGTTTTCGAAGTTTTCTTAAATCTTCTTTTACCTATTCTAATGTTGAAGTATCCTTTATTTCTGTATCTTTCCTCAATAAGGTTTGCATTTTCTTAATATTAAACCCAGCTGATTTCATACGTTTAGAATATATGAAAATATTTTGTCTATGATAGATAAATGTATTTACGAATCAGACGCTTTGTCTCCAATCAAATTGAAATGAACATCATTAAGACTACCTAATTATTTTCTATACTATGAAAGTTTTTCAACAAACCTTCCAATAAAAAATAAAGACATAAAACTCGATTCGGCATTTGTTTAACTCTTCCTTCTATCAGCATTTTTTTTATTCAGAACAGGTACTTTTGGTGTTTAGATGTTTGAAGCTAGAAAGTTCTCGTCTTAATTTGATTCTGGTGATTTAGGACTATGCAAATATTTAGCTTCTAAACTCTTAGCACTTAATGTTCTGCTGGCTATCTAAGGTAATACAAGTGAATATTCCTTCTTAGTATCCCTCAAGCAATGACTCAAGTATTACTACTCAAAGTCATCATTTTGAACTGCTCTCAATTCCACATCTTATTCAAAATCAAAACCACTCTAGAGATTTAACATTAAATTAATAAATCAAATTTCTTAAGTTGAGATTGTATTTTCTTTTAAAACGAAAGATCATTTTGCATAGAAATAAACTATAATTTTATTAATATATAAAAGATTAGAGAAGAAGATGAATTCACATAAAACAGTGCCATCAAACAAAATTTTAAAGTCTCTTCAATATTAACAGTAGTTATAGAAATATCGAAAGGAGATTACTACAATGAAAATTAGAGTAAATAATACTTAAAACATAACAAAATATAACATTTACAAAATTCAAGGAGATTAATTTGAACATTACAAAATACTTTAATAGGATTAAATCAAAATATAAAGAATTATTCAATTCAAAATCTAACAGAATAAGATTATTATATGACTGATTTAGTTTTCTAATATTTTAAAACTTAGAAATGCCTAATTTAACAATTTCATATATGGAAGCTTTGAGGTTTCTTTAACAAAAAATTGGAACTAAATGTTCAATTAAGTTCAAAACTGGGTAGTTAAATTATTAATTACTTTCAATAGGCTTTCATTATACCTATTCATAATTAACTGATTATAAATAAGATGAATTGGATTCTAATAATTTTGCTTATTCGAATCAATTGTCCATTCAAAAGATTATAACAAAAATGAATTTGTTCTTTAAAGATGATATCAATTAGTTATTCTGGTTAATCAAATGAAATAAAATATTGAAATAGTTTAAACAAAAAACTTAAAAGTCAATAAAATTTTAATAAAGATAGGGTTTACCATAATTCTTAATAAAAAGATCTTAAAGATGAACAAATTTTTTATAAAAATAACTAAAGTAATTTGAGTCATAAAGAAAAACATTTGTGCCCTTTAATTTGTAAATTGTTTTTTAATTATGCTCAATTAAGAAGCTGTGAATTAATCAGTTATTGCAATACTTAAGATTTCACTTGAGCTTTCATAAAAATGAAAAAATATTCCTTAACCATTGATCAAATTTATAGTAGATAAAGATTGAAGAATATTCTTTTGAGAAATGATTTAGATTAGTCTAGTTTAACTCAGATAATTAATTTTTTGACTAGAAAAGAGTTACACTCATTTAAAATCTTAATGATTTAATATTTGGCAATAAATAACGATAACTGCACATATTATCTAAAATTAGCCAGCCAAGAAAATTATATCAAAATTTACGTTGTTCAAAAAGGATATCGAAGTGTTTTGACTTTTTAGTTTATTTTAAGAATTTTAGAAAAGATTCATAAGACTATCGATATAAAAGAGCATACTCTATATCAAACTTGAATATAATGGATTCTAAAAAATGAAAATGTCTTTTTAAATTTAATAATTCTTCACAAGAAAGGAATCCACATATTGTGTACAAAATTAGAATATCAATTTTTTGTGATGATTTATGAGGTTCTGTGAGAATTAGATAGAGTTTAGCAAGAAAAAATTAAAAAATCTTAAAATTTTTCAGTCAAAATCTTTTTAATTCCTTATCCTACAAACTGAAGAAAAGAATGATTGTTTATATATATATACACCATGAACAATGTGAAATTTATTCTAATGATTACAAAAATAATGGATTAAAAGTGTTTTTGTTATAAAAACTCAAAAAATTTACTGAAAAAAAAATAATAAGAACAAACTTTCATTTAATAACAGTTATTGTCAATTAGATTTGACATAAAATTGAGATTTAAAGCTTAATGTGAATAGTATTAAGAGAAAATTACAGAAATGTTGAAAAATTGAAATTCTATAATACTATAGTAAAGAATACAAAATTCGTAAAGTCATTTTTAAACAATACAATGAAGTTTAAAAAAGTGTAAAGGATAAATTCATTGAATAAAATCGACTGATAATTATATGTTATATTATAAACCTAAATACTTAAAATCAGTTGTTCCTTCAACTTTTACAACTGAACCTCCAAGTGCAGCAGACTCTATAATTTTGGATTCTCGTATATTGAGTGAAGAAAAACTTAATCTAAATAGTAAGTTTGCTTTACTTGACCAATTTAGCTATCGAGCTTTTGATATAAAAGAATATAATCTAACTCAACGAGAGTTACCAAGCCAAAAGAAACATATCATATACAATAACAAATTAGATGTTTGGGGTGAAACAACCTTGACTCTTCTTAGGAATCAATTCCTTTATACATCTTTAGATATATATGAAAAATATTCACCTGTAGTCTTATTTATTTACGTAAAAAAAGGTGATCCAAATACTAAAATGAGATTATTTTGTTCTGTTAAATTTCAATAACCCAATAGATTCAACGCAGAAATTGAAACTTAAGGTCGAGTTCTTAAATATCATTCTAAAGAAGGCTCAACTTTTTTTGATCCTACATTATACCTTGCTATTTTGGCTCATAATGATGTTGTTATTACAATCAAAAATGAATTTTCTAAACCTCTATTACCTAGAAAAATATCTTAAATTAAAAAAAAAGATGAAACAAATCCTGAAATAGAAGAATATGCTGAATAAATCATTCAAAAACGAAAATTAAGATAGAAATCATTAAATTTTGTAAATCTTAATAGATCTTTGATTCGGAAATAAAGAATCGAGTCTCCATGCAATACTGAAAGATTGAAAGAAATTAAATTAAAATAAACAAATATCTAAAAAGAATAAAATTTAAAAAGAATTGCTTAAATTGCTTTACATGATGTTGCCAAAGAAATTAAATAAAAATAAATCAATATTCAACTTAAGTAAAGTATTTCATATATATAGATAAATGCATAAAGAATGGATTTGTAAGAAATGGTTTTAAGTTATCATTTTAATCAATTACATTACGCCATCTATTAGTAATTACATTAAAGTACAGAAACGTATTTCTGAAAAAAATATGAGGAAATAAATATTGACCATGTAATTCATAAAAAAGATTACAAATAATATTTAAAATCAAGGACCAAAATTAAAATTAAGAACCTTATTACTATGTAAAATGAGTATGCAAATTTGCATTCATAGTTAAAAGGATAAGGTCAAATTAAAGGGTAGCAATATTATAATTGAAATTTTAAGATAAAATATAAGAAGCCATTATACAGTTACAAAAGGTTTACACACAGTTAATCTAAGTATTTATTTATTTTGAATATAGTTAAAAAATGTATAAATATGCTTGTTCGACACAAGAACAAAAGATTAGAATTTATATAATAGATGAAAATTACTATAATGTATTAATGTAAATAAATTTATGGGGAGATTTTGAAGATGAAATAATAATCATTTTAGTAATTACCTCTGTAACAGTAATAATAATAGGAAAAGAATAAAAATAAAAGGGATCCTTTACATTACTTAATTCATGATTAGTATAGAATTTATTATTATCATTTTAATAGATAATTTATAATGCTTATATATAAGAAATTATTTACAAATGTGTTACAGAAATGGAATTAAGATTTTGAAGCCTTTCGAAAAGTTTATCGTGATAGTAAGAAGAAAGGTTTGGCATTGTTGTTGAGACCATTACCATTTGAAATACCTAAAGTAGAGATTATTAATAATCATATTGTAGAGGAATTGGATCGTAGAGGATTGATAAATTATTAATATTATCCGTTAAATTAATGAATTCTCCAAGAGCAGGTACATTGGATTTGGAATTCAGTGATACTATCAACAAGATCTACAGTGGTTGTCAGAAGATCAATGATAAACATCTGAAAATAAGAATATTACAATGGTTAGATAAAGTGAGAACACCAACACATAATTTTATTTGGAAATAGAATTCTTTATTTTATGCTCGTGTTTTACTTGAAATGACTTTAGAATAATAATTAGATAAACCTTTTAGAGGAGTACCTCCAGATGGACCATTACCTAGATTAGACAAATTTGATGTTGTAATTCATTTTTGATCTAATAATAAGCCTTAACATGTTTGGTAGAAACTGAAATAGGTTCAATAACCCTAGTCTCCAAGGAAACCTTTAGGAATGATTATGAATAGAAATTTGACTCCAAAATTAAAGACAGAACCTACTTCATACAAATATAATAAATTTCATAATAGTCAGAAATCTCAAAAATGGGATCAAATAAAAGAAACTTTAGAAGGGGCAAATAAAAATATGCAAGAATTTAAACAATTTTTAGAAAATTTATAAACTTAAAAACTATTTCTTTGAATTATTAATGTTATTTATTTTTATATAAATCCTATTGACATAAGCATAACAAAACTAAACTAATTTTCTCTAACTTTTTAATCAATCTGCACTCGAAATTTAAGTAACACTTTATTCACATATAAACCAACCTTTTATTTTGGCATCATCAAATTAAAAATTTGAAAAAATATTTTATATGGAAGGATAAGACAAAATTTAGACTTTGAATTATGATCATGAATCATTTATTACAAATAATAATATTCATGTCATATTTACTGAACCTACTATTGATTTGTACATATATGCAGGATACTTAAATTAATCATTTAATCAATATTCTAATTTCTCAATAGTAATAAAAAATTAATCAGGAGAATGCTCTTCCTTTTGTATTCAACAAGGTAATACATGTAATTAAATAAAAAAGTAGTGTTCATGTTAGTCTGGCTATTTTGGATAGTTTTGTTAACTTTAAAGAAAAATGGTTGTTTTATAAATTCAATATGATATAATTATTAAACCACTTTAATGGATTTATATTGGCTTTGAAACCAGATAATTGAATTCAAATGATACTCTCAAATTAAAAATTCGTGATTAATCATCTGAAATGTTAATGGGATTAGGAATGCAAGGAATAGAAAATCATGAAATTCCCAATATCCATTATGATGCTTATATGATACCAAAGAAAATTCAATAACAGATTTATCAATTGAAAGGGGATTTAGTGTACTATTAATCTATGTGTATGAATTGCACCTATTTGACTATTGGTTTTTACAATTAACATTCTTATCCTATATTGTTTTATTTTGAATTATTTGAAAAAGAATTGTCAAAAGAGAATGATCAATATCATTTATAAATTATTTTATAATCTATCTTTCTAACTTGTTTTATTTTGATAACTTATTTGATATTTAGAAAGATTAGATAAAAATAATTAAGATAATAAGTGACATTAATTTAAAGAGAGTATCGAGGATATAGAAGAAGAAGAATAATATAATAATAATAATAAAATGATGATATTTTAAAAGGATTTAATTTAGACTTTATTTAAACATATTTTCCTTAATTTTATTATTTGGATCTTATAGATAAATATCCTCAATTAAGTGAATTTGTTGAATGTGTAGTTTGTTTAGAATCAATGGCTCCTCCACAATAAGGAAAATTGACAGAGAGAGATCATATAGATCATTGTTCTTTAACACCATGTTATCATCTATTTCATTAGCATTGTTTATTCAAATGGTTGTAGACTCAAAAATGTTGTCCTTTATGTCGAAAAGAATTTATAGAATCAGACATAAAAAATAAACCTTGGATTAGTTTGAATAATGATATAAGTTTGAGAGAAACAAGCAGAATTAATCCTTTTGTTTAAAGAATGAAAACAAGAAGTGAAAATACATAATCTTCTGATATTCCTTTAATGGTAGATACAGAATAAGTAGAAACTTAACCAAATAAAGATATTATTGTAAATATTGCTTAAAAGAGTGCTAGAGATTTGATTATAAGATGAATTTATATAATAATAATTTTTAACAACTTTTTGAAAGTAAATGCCTCCATTTACTCCAGATGCGCGTAATTTAGGTGGTAGGAACTTAATATCATAATAAATATGGAATCATTTGTAATAGCTTAAAGAAATATCATAATAAGTTCCTTAACTTTTAATTTCTCCACTCAAAATTCCAAATTCCCCTAAATAAAGTATAGAACTACTAAAATGCAAAATAATAAATCGGAAACAAGATTATCTACTCTGTCCAACTTACTTATTAAGACGGAAAACGATTTCTGAAAGTTTCACATCATTTAGTTCAAAACAAATTTAAGATGAAACCTAATTACTTTTTCAAGAACCTTTATTAAGAAGATAGAAGAATATGAAATCATCTTAAAAGATCTTTCCATTCAGTACAATTTAATTAGGAGCACTATATAGAATTAAAGCTAAGGATATTAAAATTAATAAAGATGATGATCTTATGTAATGAATTATATTTGAACTTATTAGATAATGGAAGTAAATAGAATAAGTAGTTATGGAATTGAATAACAACTTTGATTAAATGTTAATTCATATTTAATCAATTATTTTGGATTTTGGAATTGTTAGTACTTAACATTATTAGATGCTTATTCAAATGATCTTGCGTCTTAAACCTTAAATTCCAAAAATGGACTTACTAAATATATTTAATGAATTGATTATTAAGTAATAATTATAACTGTCTTGATTATTTAATTAATGGGAACATGTTAATAATGCAAATCATATGTTGAGGTCAACAATCTCACAATAATTGATTAAATTAGCAATGATTTCATTGTAGTGTAAGACGATTATTAGCATCCTTTGTATGGCTAGGTGAATATACTTGAATATAAAGAACCCAAAAAATTTGATTTTAAATTAGTACATAAACTTATTACATTTGTAGAGAGAGAAGATTTTCAATAAGCATTATAATATTATGAAGCCAAATTTTATGGGTTCAATCATCCTAATCTCTTAATCATACATGGTATCTCATCTATTCATAATACCTTAGCAATGTAATACAGATAGATAGATCAATTCTTTAACACATAATATAAATTGTCGCTCTTTTTGGATTACTATGAAACTACTCTAGCTTAAGAATTAATCTATAGAAAAAAAATTTATTTCGAAGAAAGTGAAATCCTATTCTTTTTGGATTCACTTATCGGAAGTTAAGCATTTCTCTAATCTAAAGGACATGCTCTCTCTTCATTAATGTTTGATAAAATCTATCTCTCGCATCTACTTAATGGAGCAATTGCATTAAAAGTATAAAGTCCTTTATTTGATACAAATGATCAAGAAATGGAATTCAATAAATTATTTGATAAAATAATCAATAATGAATAAATCAAACTTTAAGACTACCCTTATCTCAGTCCAGAACAATGGCAAATGATTAATAATAAAAAATTAGAAACATATGATGTTTTTAAAAGCAACGTATTTGTATTGGGATTAGTAATATTTTCACATATTTTTTTAGATGACTTTAGAATTATGTTCTGTTCGTTAAAGTATAACTTTGTATAAAGATTATATGATAGACCAAAATCTCTTAAATGATTAGATAAATAAAGTAAAGGATCGTTATGGAGAAGCATTGCCATTACTTTTAGAAGCTATGTTGTATTACGATCCTAAAGTGAGATGCGATTTTTTATAGTTAGATGATCTTTTAAATTTGTCACAATTATTAAATGGGAAAAGGTTGTTTCAAATATGGACAACAGAAGATTTTTAATATAGTTTTATAGAAAAGAAGGTATTTATAATAATTGAACTATGAGTAGGTTCATTTTACAACAAAGTAGCATTCACTAGTTCACCCAGAAGTATAATCTTAATTATCAAATTAATCATTATTGTAGAAAGGTTCTCATTTATCACTTCGATAAGTTTTATCAAAAAATTCAAAGGAATCGAAAGCTTCAAGTGTATAAATATTACCTAATAATAAAGTCGTTTATTTAGAAGAAAGAATCATATTCACCTCAAACATAAAAAAAGAATTTATTTAAAAAATTTGAAACAGAATAAGCTTCGAAAGGAGGAAGTAAAAAACTTATAACATAAGAGGGATTTGGAGTGGAATCATTACCTAATGGTTTAACATATGAAGGTATATTTTAGGGTGGTAAAAAGTAAGGAATGGGTAAATTAATAAATGATGATAATGAAATTATTTATGAAGGATACTTTTATGAAAATTAGTAAATTATACATAAAATATAAGATAAGATTTCATCGTACAGGAGTACTTAAAAATTAAACTCCATAAGCCTTATCAATATCATTTAATTACAAAGACTTTAATTAATTAGGTGATATGTGGATGAAATATGATGGTGATTTTAAGTAAGGAAAATAAGATGGATATGGTCAATTAACATTAACAAATTAAGAAATTTATACAGGATTATTTAAAAATGGGGAAGTACATGGAGCTGGAGTATTCTTAACTAAAGATGGAAAACAAATTTAAGGAAAGTGGTTAAATAATATATATCAAGAATCATGAATATATAATATATTATAAATTTAATATGGCTACTCAAAATCCATTTATAACAATATTTATATTCATTTTAATGAAATCCTACCCCAAAATTCACTATTTACATCATGCCAAATAAATTACTCTTCTACTTTATGACATGATTTCTCCACTAATAATGTTCCATCAATATCTCCACCTATTGTAGCTAATCCTAATAAATTTATTGCTTAATTTCCAATTAATGAAGATCCAATCATAATACCAACCCATTTCTTTAACATTAATTCATCAGCTTTAATGAAATTAATTACAGCACCTCGATATCCTGATGATTTCTCTAATTTTACGTTTATACCAGTCACAACATTTTAAAGTTCTATCACATCCTAATATGTCTTTATAGATTCATCTGCATATATCTCTATCTTTTATTCCAAATATTTTTATTTTACTAAATACCAAGGCTATTTATCAAATATTAATGGAAATGGTTGCTCAATCATATATAAATATGGTTTTATTTCTATCAATTCTGTATTTAATAAATCTAAAAATTTTAGAGCTATATCTGGTTACCAACTACTATTGCAATCTAATGATAATAATCCACAATATTTATTATTATCTTTTATTACTTTATTATAAACCCTTTTTAATACATTTATGATGTATTCAAGGTCTCCACCGACCTTTATTTTTATATTAGGCGTATATGGAAGACCAATATCTAATTATGAAATCACCTCATCTATATTATCTAATAATGAAATTGTATAAAAGTTTCTTTTATTTGCCATCTTTAAATTCTCATTACTTTCTTTGCATATCAATTCACTTATTTATTTATTTGTTTTCTTACAATACCAATCTATCAAAGCACATTCAAATAATGATTTTGAAGCCAAATATATAGGTTCATTTGGAATTTAATCAAGTTTTGATAATTCTTAATTTAGAAATTCATATGCTTCTCCATCTTCCATTTTAAAATAAGGAGTCTCTTTAAATTACATAAAACCATCATATTTCTACAAAGGTTTTACTTTTTAAAACATTTAGAAGAATGCTTCAATGTCATCATAATCAGTGAAATAACAATTTTATTTTTTTGGAGGCAATCCAGCTTCTGCAATTCCAATTATTCCTAAATGACTAATTTCGAGATATGCATTTTTTCTTTATGTTGTTACACTATGATTTGTTCCAAAAGGATTCACAAGATTTAATATGAAAGGTTATAATTTATACATAAAAAAATAATTCATCTGAAAACTATATTTAAAATATTATTCATTCTAAACTGTTTTTTCATTCCTATAAATTCAATTAATTTAATAAAGTTTATAGTCTGTCTAATTTTTATCTTGATTTATTGGAAAATTGAAAAAAGTCTTAGAGAAATTCATTACAATTTTATTCTTTAGAATATATTAATGTTTAAATCATATTTCTAATGTTAAATATCAAAAGATTTCTCACTCTAAGAGGATAGTATTATTTTCTGTAAATTTTATAATAGTCAAAATAAATATTATTTAAATTTTTTGGGCGAATTTATTTATTCTTTCTGAAAATTACGGTTGTCTTTATCCACTTTGATTTTTTACAATGATGTATTATTTTTTATTAATTAAACTCTGTTTTTTTATTATATTATTAATTTTTAGTAATATAAAAAAGAATGGATATTATTGCTATTTAAAAACTATTTAATATTTTTGTGAAATAAATATACAGGTTTAATTTAAGAAAATGGATAAAAATCTATAAAATAATTGATTTAAACTTATTCTTTAGATTTTGTTTCAATAGATGTAAATTTTTATAAACAACTCAAAATAGAAGCTTTGAGAATTAGGAACAATCTCTTCAAAAGTCCTCAAATTTAATAAGAAAAGAGTTTAGAATATCCCAATAATCACTTAATCTCAAACGGTACCTAAATTACTGTTTATTTTTAGAAAATTAAATATGGAATCAAATTAATCTATTAAATCTAAAAATATTATAAATATTTTCTATGTATAAATATGATAACAGCTTGAAAATTGCTATTTTTAATTGAATTATATACGTATTATAAATACATATTAAATATAGAATAGAAAATTNAAAATAAGGAGTCTCTTTAAATTACATAAAACCATCATATTTCTACAAAGGTTTTACTTTTTAAAACATTTAGAAGAATGCTTCAATGTCATCATAATCAGTGAAATAACAATTTTATTTTTTTGGAGGCAATCCAGCTTCTGCAATTCCAATTATTCCTAAATGACTAATTTCGAGATATGCATTTTTTCTTTATGTTGTTACACTATGATTTGTTCCAAAAGGATTCACAAGATTTAATATGAAAGGTTATAATTTATACATAAAAAAATAATTCATCTGAAAACTATATTTAAAATATTATTCATTCTAAACTGTTTTTTCATTCCTATAAATTCAATTAATTTAATAAAGTTTATAGTCTGTCTAATTTTTATCTTGATTTATTGGAAAATTGAAAAAAGTCTTAGAGAAATTCATTACAATTTTATTCTTTAGAATATATTAATGTTTAAATCATATTTCTAATGTTAAATATCAAAAGATTTCTCACTCTAAGAGGATAGTATTATTTTCTGTAAATTTTATAATAGTCAAAATAAATATTATTTAAATTTTTTGGGCGAATTTATTTATTCTTTCTGAAAATTACGGTTGTCTTTATCCACTTTGATTTTTTACAATGATGTATTATTTTTTATTAATTAAACTCTGTTTTTTTATTATATTATTAATTTTTAGTAATATAAAAAAGAATGGATATTATTGCTATTTAAAAACTATTTAATATTTTTGTGAAATAAATATACAGGTTTAATTTAAGAAAATGGATAAAAATCTATAAAATAATTGATTTAAACTTATTCTTTAGATTTTGTTTCAATAGATGTAAATTTTTATAAACAACTCAAAATAGAAGCTTTGAGAATTAGGAACAATCTCTTCAAAAGTCCTCAAATTTAATAAGAAAAGAGTTTAGAATATCCCAATAATCACTTAATCTCAAACGGTACCTAAATTACTGTTTATTTTTAGAAAATTAAATATGGAATCAAATTAATCTATTAAATCTAAAAATATTATAAATATTTTCTATGTATAAATATGATAACAGCTTGAAAATTGCTATTTTTAATTGAATTATATACGTATTATAAATACATATTAAATATAGAATAGAAAATTAATAAATTAAAACGAAAAATCTGGGTTAATATATATAATTAAATGATTAAAAATTTAGCTATTGTTATGTGTATTACGATGGTTAATTCCATAACATTAAATCTAAATGAGATTTGTTATTGTTCTCAACTCATCTAAGAATGGGATTGTAATGACTCTCTTTAGGGGTGCATTTGGGATAGTAAATCTCAAGTATGCCAAGAAATTCCTTGTTCAGAGCTCTCTTTGCCTAAATTTTGTTAAATGTAACCATAGAGATGTTATTGGAATTAGAATATTGGTTGTTTAAACTTTACTGATTGTTCTAGTCTTAAAGGATCATCTTAATCTAGTTGTATCGAATAAAACATTTATTGTCCTGCTTCAAATGGAACAAATTGTTAATCTATAAATTATCTCTAAACTTGTTCATCAATTACTACACCAGATAATTGTAACAATTACTTTTCAGCTACAGGATTATGTATGTGGAATGGAAAAAACTGTATATAAGCTACGTCTTGTTAATAACTTTGGAGTAATTCGACTCCTTCTTGTGATTTTAGAGGATGTTATTTGAACAACGAAACACAATAATGTTTACCAAAAATTTGTTCTCAGATTTAAAGTGAATTGTAATGTTATGGAATATTAACATTTGGACCTTATTTAAATAATGTTATTGGATGCTTTTGGAATTACTAATTAAATGGATCATCTGGATGTCAAGAATTTTCACCTTAATTAGTGATGTATGCTAATTGTGATGATTCTAGCCTAGGAACTTATCATTGGAATAGTAACAAAGAATAGGGACAGTGTGTTCCTTGCTTTTAAAAATTGTTGTTTCTATCCATTGTTATAACAATATTATTTTGAATGATATTTACATTATCATTCATAAATATTATAATATATTTATTTATTTTGATGGCATTCTTTCCATCATTAATTCTTATCAAACCTATTTGTAATGAAATATGAAGAAATTAATCAACAATATTAACTAAAACGATATTTAACAATCAAATTTATAGAATATTTTTGGGATAATTAAATTTATTATATTGTAATTTGAAATCGACTTAAAAATTAAATAGCATAATATATCTTAATTGATGAAAAATATAAATTATTTTATTTATTAATATCATTATATAAAGATGATTTATTAAAGTAAAATAATTTATTTAATTATAATTATATAAATAATAAATAAAAATATAAAGTAAAAAGGCTTTAATGAAATACTTTTATTTATGTAATAAATTCCTTTTTTAACATCATTTTTAATTTCCTCTTAAATTCTTAGATTTCTTGACTTATTAATTGATTGCCAAAAAATTAGTTTCTTATTAATCTAAATTGGAAACTATAATAATAAAGGTAATATAAATACCTCCCGTTTTCTTTGATTATTTTTTATTTGTTTTATAACTTGAGAATAGTTCTTATATTTCTTTTTCAACTTCTTATTTTTTAGATACTCTTTCAACTTTAGGAATTGGTTCTTCTTAGATGAATGATTCTTATGAGATTTCTGAACCTGATGAATGAGATAACATACTAGAAATAATATCATTTTTATTTTGAGTCCAATCTAAATAAATTCTTTCAAATTCATATGGAGATAAATTATCAGATTTCTAATTATCCTATGGGAATCTACCTTTTTTAATTTACAAATCATTTTTAATTTTTTCCATAACTTCTTATTTTCTTTAATTTAATTCATTTTCATAATCACTTACAGCTTAATTAACTGGTTTATCTAAGTAATATCTTTCTCCATCATTAATTTTATTATTTGATATAGTTTAAGTTTTTTAAGTTTTCAAAAGTTCTTCAATTTTTTATTAAAATTCTTTATCCTTATTTCTTTCATCTAAATTATTATCTTATTATATTGGTAAATCAATTCTTTTTTTAATAATGACATCATCACTATTATGAATTTGTCTAAGTTCTTCTACATTTTTTTTAATATCCTAATAAATTTATTATTCTTATTCTCTAGTTTCAATTCGTTTATTAGTAGATAATTCTAATTCATGAACTAATTCATTAACAATTTAATTAAACTATTCATCATGAGTCATTTATTATTTATCTTTTTACTTTTTATTGATAATTTATTGATGTAATTATTCTTCAAATTTAGTTTATTTCTCATTTTACTCAATTTTCAATGATTTATTATCTTATTATTATTTATTCTCTTTTTTCTATTCCTTACTTATTTTAATAGAATGATTTTTTTCATTATTCTTTTATGAATTCTCATCCTAATTTTCAACAGTATGTTCATCTTAATCATTTTCTATGCAATCTTATAAATCTTCAAGATTTTCAATAACTTCTTGTTCAGACTATATTGATGACTCATTTGATTTTTAGTCAGAAATTTAAGAATCATTATAAAATACTTCAATATTATCTTCTTAAACTGTTCCTTCTCCATTTATATCATCATTAGTAATTACATTATCTTATTCTGAATTCTACTCTATAGAGATTTCTTTTTTTACCAATTATTTCTTTTTGATTTCTACTTAAGGTAAATCTTCAAATTAACTATCCTCGCTTTCAGTTGCATTTTCTAATGTAATTTCATTATTCTATTCATCAATTTGATCTTAAATATCTTATTAAATTTACTATTCAGATTATAATGAAGAAACACTTGATTATTATTCTTCTGTTTTTTAATTAGGAATATTTAATTATTATTATGATTCTATATCCTATAAAGTTTTAGATTAATCAACAATTCCTTAATTTCCTTATTAATTATCGATTTAATTTTCTAACTTTTCAATAATTAGACTTCCTTATTTATCAATTATTTCTTCATTTTCTTATGAAATTACATTTTAATTTTAAGTGATCTAATTTTCTTCTTTATCTTGAACAACAATATCATTTTAATCTAATATATCGTTATCCCCTTCTTCAGTTTTTAATTCTTATTTAATTTCAGTATTTTGATGCAATTAATCTTTTTTTTATTCTAGATTTGATTCTTACTTAATATTTGAATCGTCAAAAGAGAGATCATAATCATTATCAATATCTGATTCTTAATCTTAATTTCTATAAGAATCACCAGTATCAACCATTACACCATCACTTACAACAGCTTCATCATTTGATTAAACTTATTTTTCAAATATCTCTTCATTATCTAATTCTAAATCATCTTCTTATATTTCAGTCTATTAATTTTATTATATTTCAGTTTATTAATTTTAATCTTAATAGATATCTTCTTAATTTTAATTATCAATCTAATAATAATCATCATCAATATAATCATTTTTATTTAAATCTATTTGTAAATCATCTTCAATTAAATTGTCGTCTTATTTAAATTGAATTTATTATTCAATTTCATCTTTTAATTAATTGTTATTATTACTCTATTGAATTTCTTATTCTTAAACAACAGATTCAGATTAGATTTTTGTTTATGATTATTATTGAATAATTTAATCAAGTTCATTATCTAAATCATCTAAATAATAATCATCTTCAGCAGAAGCATTAATAATATTTGAATCATTATTAGTTACAATAGTTAAATATTATTGATCCTCCTTTGAAACCTCATTTTATTAAGAGTCAATCACTTTAGAATCTTCTATAATAGGAGGTTATTCTAAACTTAGATTATCAAGTTCTTTTGCCAAATCATCTAATTATTATTAGAATTAATCAAATGTTATTCCATCATTACTTAAACTTTTATTAATAATAAAATCAGTCTCTAATTAATCATAATCTAATTAATAATCATCTTGAACAATATTTTTGTTAGATATATGATTCTCATTGATATCTACTTAATCAGAAATCAAAGATTAAACATCAACATTTGCTTCTTCCAAATTCTAATTTTCTATTATTCCCATTTCTTTTTCTGTTACATCCTTAATTGCATCTGTTATAATTTCTGATTATATTTTATTATCATTATCTTCAACAATAATTGGAATCAAATCAGAACTATCATCAGCAAATATACTTAAATCTACCTTTTCTACTTCAGCTTATACTTTTACTACATCTCCAATTTATTATTATTCTGAATTCTATATTTCTTAAACTACTATTTCAGCATCTGTATCAAAATAAGTAGTATCTTTTATTACTATTACATCATCTGAATCTAAATTTGAAACATTCAAACTATATAATTTATTTGAAGGTGCTTTATCTGATTCTTTCATCTCATTTATAACCTCTTTCATTTTCTTACTCAATTAATTTTTCTTTATCATAAAATCAGGAGCTTCAGCTTACTTTTATTTTCCTCCTTTATTATTATTTTCTTAAATCTCTTTTGTTTAATTTTATTAATCTACCTTATTCTATTCCAATTATTAAGTTTTTTATTATTAAATTTCTTATTATTATTATTATTATTATTATTATTATTATTATTATTATTATTCAATTTTATTTTATACATCTATTTTCTGCTATGTATCATTATTCACTTAATTATTATTTTAAATCTATTATGTATGAACAGTATCTAATTCTTCACCATCACATTATGTATTTTCTTCAATAGTTTAAGACACTTAATCAGCTTCTTAATTCTTATTATCACTTTAATTTTATTAAGGTTCTGAATTATTTTATTCCTCTTCTGAATCAGATGGAATAATTTCTTCCTCTCCTTCATCTGTATCCTATTCATCTGAATTTTATGAATCTTATACTGCAGGAACTAACTTTACTTCTTCATCTGTTTTTATAACAATATCTGAATCATTAACTTTTACAATATTCTCTTATTCAATTGGTTAAGCTTCTATTTTAATATCCTTAATCATAATTTCATTTTAAGAAGTTTCAGTTTTATTTAATTCGGATTCATCTTTGTTGTTTTCAACAGATATCTTATTAAGATTGTTATCATTTAATGCATTCAAATCTTATTACTATTATCCTTAATTTATTACTTAAGCAGATTCTTATTATACTTCATTTTATTAATCCATTTATTAATTTTCAGATTATATAGATTTTATAACTTTTTATTCTTATGTTTATTATGCTTAATTATTAATTTACTTTTAATTTACATCAGAAATATCTACCTTATTATCATTTTAAATCTGCTTTGTATTTTCAACTTAATTTTATTTTTATTCCATTTTCAATTCTACTTTATTTTCTTCAGTAATATTACTAACCTCTACTGAAATTTTTTATTCTTCAACTTATTTTGTAACATCTGAATTTTAATTCTCTATTTAATTTTTTACAAGATCTTCATTAGAACTTGATATAATTTATTCTTAAATATTTTGTTTTAATTCAGCATCGTTTTTTGTTTATTCTGATACATCTTTATTGGCTAATTAATTATTTTAGATGTCTTTTTATTAATTATCCTAATGTTATTCACTCTATGTATCTTATTAATCATTTTATTCAACATTTTAGGCATTTTAGATATCCTATTAAGGAATTTTACTTACAGAAACTGAAAATTTTTTTGATGATACTGAATTCTCTTTTTATAAATCTGAGTTATTTGTATTATCATTTGCTTAAATATCATTATTTGAATTTGTGATAACAGGATTAATTAATTATTCAACTGATTTATTATCTTTTTTCTCTACTTTTATTGATATTTTTTTTAATTAACTATCTGATTCATAATTTTCTTATTTAGATTAGATTTGAGTTATTTATTCTTTATCATTTAATTGTTCTGGTCTAATAAGTGGTTGTTATTCAATTTCTAAAGATTTTTATGACCAAATTTCTATTGATTCATCTTTTACTTCGTTCACTTCTACAGATCTACCTGTCTCAAGAAAACTTCTAAACTGAATAGAATGCATTTATACATAGCAACATCTTTCATTTCTTAATTTTTTAGTAATTCATTTTATCTTTATGTATTATCAAGGTCTCCACTTGATGCTTATGTGTAAATTTTATTAGGTAATATAACTTTCACATTGATGGTTCCATGATTTTCTATTGATTTCACTAACACCAATGTCAGCAACAATATGCTAACAAATTTTAACATATTAAAATAAATAATAATAAAAACGGATATGTAACACTACAACATCCAATTCAATCCTAATATTTAAGACTCTTTTAATAAAAGTATATAAACAAATATCTAGACTGATTCCAATAGAATTTGAAAAAATGATAAATACATTATATATCGAGTTACGTATAAAAACTATTTGTTAAATATATTTATTATTTACAATAGCCATCCAATTTATAACTTAAAAAGAATAATTAAATATCATTATCATTTCTTTAATCTTTTTTGATTAGTTCTATTCCTTTCCATAACTCTTTATGAACTCTCTTCTGAATCTTCATCTGTATAATTTCTCCTTAATCTTCTAGGTTTAATTTACTCATAAACTCTTTTTGATGAAATTACTCCCTACTCATTTGATGACTATCTATGAACTGATGATTATTATGATTAATTAATTTCTAATTTATTAATATTTATTCCACTTATTTTTTACTTTTCCATTCTCTATTCCGATTTGTTCTTACTAAATATTTATTGAAAACATTCATTAATCTCTTTTTTTTATTTATTCTTCAATTTTTCATTTGATTTATGATTTTCATAACTTGATTGTCTTACTTAATCAAAATTTTATTATTTTGACATCAATTTTCTATCTGATTTCTATTTCTATTTATTTTATTCAATTTCTATCTCATTCAATAATTATAAAAAATCTTATTATTTTTTCTCTTTTCTTTTTTACTAATTTTTTTCTTTTTTTTTTATTTCATCATTTGTTTCTAATCTACTTAATGGAAATTCTTTCCTTTTATAAGATCTATGTTTTTTAAGCTCTATTTTATTCTAATTTTCTAATATTTATAATTCTGAATATTTTTATTTTATTTCTTAATAAACTAGCTCACAAATCTATTGAGAACGTTCATCTTTTTACAATTACATATTTTATTAATCTATTTCCTGTTTAACTATCACTCCATCATCTGATTATTTATGATCTTCTATAAAATGATCTTATTTTTAATTATTTTTTCTTTCATATTTTTTAGGTTTATCAATAGCTATTTTTAAAATCTATATTTTATCTGCATCCAATAAATCAAAATTCTCGTCATCACTATTTAATTGAACTTAATTTTGCTATTACACAATGATTTCTTTACCTATTCCTTCATCTTATATCTAAATATAATCAGATTTCTTTTTGGATTTATTATGAATTTGATTTTGTTTTTTCTTTTCTTTTTTTAGTTTTTTGCATTCACTAAGTATTTTCGTTTCATTAATCTTTTTTTCTGAATCTTGTTTATTGTTTGAAGTTGAGATTATCTCTTTTTCTAAAATCTATTTCTCTTCTTAATTATTTTCTTATTCTTATTCTACATAATGAACTGTTATTGGATCAAACATAAATTATTTAGTTATTGTAACTGATTTAATATTTTTTTTTAGAACTTAAAGAAACATTTAATCTGATATTCTTTTCTCAAATCTATAGATCTCTTTTTCACCTTCATTTATTAATGCGATTTCTGAAAATCTTAACCATTTAATAAAATCTCTGTATTTTTATTTTATTAAACATCTATATAAAGGCATTCCTTAATTAATCAATTTTTTTGTTAGAATTTTATAAACTTACTTTTATTCCTACTATTTTTTATTTTCTTTCTCTTATTACTCTTTTTCTTTTCTTATTTGTTTTGCTAATGCAGCTTCTTATAATATTTGTTATTTTTAAGCACTTTCTTTTTATTTTTAAGCTGATTCTTTTTATTTTTAAGCACTTTCTTTTTATTTCTAAGCACTTTCTATTTATTTCTAAGCACTTTCTTTTTATTTTTATTCTTGTAATTATTATACTTCTTAGAAATTCTGTTATTATTTTTTTTCTTTAATTTCCTAAGTTTCTTAGTGAGATTTATCAATTAGCTCATCTTTATTATGTTGACCATTTTCTTCTAATCTATGTTTTTAGATTTATAATGAAATTTATTTATTTTTATCACCAATGTTTTATTTTTTTTCTTTAAAACTTGATAAATCAATAAGTAAATTATTAATACAATCTAAACCTTCAAGTAATTGATCAACTTCCTAAGATTTGGGTGATTCATCATGTAAAATTTCATTTTTTTTATATAGATCTTCTCTACCTTTTAATCTTAGATAGATTAAAGAGTTTTTGGGATTGTAATATTTCTATTTAATAATTTGTTTTGGTTTGCATATTTAAATTTCTTAATGGAAAACTCTTTTGATTGGAGTAGTGATAGTTAGATTTTCAATAAGTTTTTATTAAGTTTTTAATAAACTTTCTTATTTGTTAATAAGATTTAGTTTTTAGATTTCTTTGAATTTTTCTATTTTAAGTTACTATTGATCTAAATCAACTTCCTCAATAATTTATTAATCTTCAAAATATTATTCAATATATTAAGGTTCTTCTACAGGTGGACTTGGATCTTTCTAAACCTAAATAATTTAAGGAGTATGTTAAGAATTATTTTGTTCAAGATCATCTTGTTCTGATAATTCATCAAAGTTGACTTCCCATTATTAAACAAGATTATCTAATTTTGGTCTTGGAATTTAATCTTCCTATATTAGGTTAGGTATTTCAACTGTTTCTTTTTTGATTTATTGAAGTAATACACCTTGTTCACCTTATTCTAATAATTTAATGTCAGATCTAGAAATAGTTACAGGTGGTGGATTGTTTTTAGATGACGAAGACACAGATTCATTATCTGAGATATCTTCAATATCAGAAAAGTCAAGTATGTATTGTGTTTACTTGATGTTAGATCTCATTTAAAATAATATCAAGTCTAATCGTATCAGTGATTAATTAGGTATAAGTAAAAGAATGATTTTTTATCCATTCAATAATAAATCAGATTAGATTAAATTTTATCAACATATTTTAAATATATATTATTAAATTACTTTTCAGATTTCTTATCAAATAATGATTGCAAAATTTAGGATCACATTTATAATTATTATTTCTAAATTCAATCATTCCTAAAACAGAAGTAAATCAATTAATCCTAAATTCATTATCTTTCTTAAAACAACAAATACTTATACAAATATATTCAACATCTTAAATAACCAATGACTCTAGCCTTAGAAGGTCTTAATAAATATTTTAGAGTTGTTATCAAATTATTACTTAGTTGATCTCAGCTTATTGCACAATTTCAATTAGATATAATTATTAGAATTCCTAATCTCAAGGAATCGAATTATTAAATGAAGAAAATTAGAAATTAATTTAAGGATTGTTAAATTAATAAAGAATCACTCAATAAATATTATTGTTAGAATAGACATATGAAGAAAAATTAAATTATAATAAAGATTTAGAATAAAAACTAATAGAAGTAAAAAGAAGCAGTAACGACAAAGAATATGCAATTTAAGAATTACAAAGAAGAATCAAACCTATTCAAAAAAAGAAGGCTAAATAATTAAAATAATTGAAGCCGTTACACCTTCATAACTTAAGTTACATAAAGAACTTGATAATGTGAGAAATCTATTAAATAAGATTATAATAAAGACTTGAAACACAAGTGAAACTAATTAAACTTTAAAAAAAGATATTTATGATAGAATTGTAGTTAAAATTTAAAAAGATAAAATATTTAAATTGAGAATTTTTCTGAGAATCTATGTTAGAATATGAAGGTTAAAATATTCAAATTTATTATAGCTTTTGTTTATAATGAATATAAAGAAAAAATTGATGATAATCTTTAAATAAATAGAAAAAATCACAATCAAAGTATTAAATTCGAATAAATCTATTAAGAATCTCTCTAAACAATATAATTAAAAATATTTGACTAAAAATGAACGAAATATTTATTAAGAAAATGACATAAAATGATGGTTAATGATTTTAAAGAATTATTGAAAAAGAAAAAAATTATAATTTACATATTAAAAAGTTTTAGAATAATTTATTAGCTAAATACGAATATATAAAATTTAATTGATTATTAAATCTTACAATTTAAAGATCAATGAAACAAAAAATAACAAATTGAACTCTCATTTACTGCTAAAAATAAAGTTAATGTCTTATGGAATAATATCAAATAGAAAATCTTTATTATATCCCTTTAAATCAAAGAAAAAGATATTTAAATTGGAATATTTAATCCCAGGTATTAATAGTATAAGCAACTTAACAATCAATCTTAATAATCTTATTCAAAAGTACAATACTTGTCGTCATATTATTAGTTCATTCTATAATACTTCTATAAAAAAAAATTTAAGAAATTCAAAATTTTTATGAAAGTTAATCTATTCAAAAAGAAAAATATATTTATTAAATTGCCAAAAAGAGATAATTAAATGCTGACTAAATTAAACTCATAAAAATAAAAAGGAAAAATATTCTAATATTATCATATGATTAAATCTGAGTGCATTAACTATTTGATATCCATATTAAATCATAATTTTCAAAATCTTAAGTATATTTAATTATATACCAATTAGTTAAATAACATCAAAAATTTATAATTGATGAAATAAATGTTAAAAATTCAAGTCCATAAAGAATCTATGAAGAAATCCTACAGTCTGCCTTTCAATTTTCTAAGCAATCACTTGCATTCAACCACAAAAATACTTAGTTATCGCTCTTGTATTTTATCTGTTAATCTTAGTCAAAAAAAAAATTATATTTAGTAAATAACTCTTCAGTGAAAAATAAAAATTATTCTAAAATTAATCTCAAGATGTCTTTAACATTGATGTCTTCTAAATTGAATAAAAATAAAACAAAAGATCAATTATTTATCATGATTTAAGTTTTATTCTAATTCTGAAGTGTATGATTAATTTATGATTTTATTTATATTTCAATAAAATAATTCATATCTAAATTACATTTTAAAACAACTTTATCAACTTTGGCTGAATTAACATGTTTTAATGAAAATATAACTAAGCCATTGTAATTTCAGCATGATGTAGGTTTGAAAATATTACACATTTAAATTTAAAACATTTATTGAATCTCTAATCATTAAAGTGAATATTTTATTGATTATGATTCAGATATTAATTGAAAATCGAAATGTGTATTTTGTTTATCCATAAGGAAACCTTTTATTAACTAAAATTCATAATAGTCAGAACTCTTAAAGAAATTGATTGTAAAAATAGCTTTAATTGTAAAAAGAAAGGGGAACCTATTTTAATAGATGTTTGAACCAAAAATAAACTTGAAGTTTCTCAAAATTAGATACAAAATAACTAAACTTAATGATTACTTTATATGTATAAAAGAAATCTAATTAACTTTTTCCTATTTAAAAAGGCTCTCATAATGTTATTTTTAACAGAACTTCAATTAATCATATAAGTAGAACCATAAAGTAAAATTTATAAACTAATCAGGATTAATATATGTAATAACAACTTGTATTACTCAACTGTTAACTAAAATTAAACTGTATTCTTAAAATAATGAGACAATCAAAATAAAATCTAAATAAAAACTAATATTTCAATTGAAATTTTATTAAATAATTTTTTTTGTTATTGTCAATCACATAATTGATCTCGTTTAATATCTTAAAATAAGCCAAATCTATAAATAAGAAATGATTATTTTTTTTATTTAATAAATACATTAAATGTTTTTTTTCTAAATTAATTAACAATTAATATTATTATGTTTTAAGATAGTAAGAGGCATGGTCCTTCACTAGAATTATAGAATTTGGGGCCATTACACAAATCTATAAGCAAGATAACAGATCCTGATATTCAAAGTTTTGAATGTTAGAAAAATACTTACATTACCTCTCCTAGAGCATAACGATTTGACAAACTGGGAAATGTGATTAATAAAAATTAGAAAAAAAAACATTAAATAACATTTAGAGATGAAGTAACAGCCAAAGCTAAATTGTATGATATTATTTTAGTGGACAATTGGAAAAAATATAATATCATAGATGAAGAAAAAGAGAAAGTAGGCTGTTGTCAATCAAAAAGTTGTTAATTATTTTGATATCACTCCATATTACAATCTCAATAAATTATTAATAACCATATTCATATTTAATGATTTTAAGGTTTACTTTCTCTTTTTAAATTAAACACTTTTATTGTTCAGTTTTTATTAATTAAGTCTACTCTTATTTCTTATTTTCTTAAATCATTAAATCAAATAAAGAAACAAATATCTTAAATTATTGAAACACTTCTATTTTTTAAGTTTTGGATTTTTATTTTATAAGTATCAGCTTCCCCAAATTAATTATCATTATTGTAAGTAGTTTTTAATATTTAATTTAGATTACAAAAGATTTGATTACTATTTAAACTAAACACTATATCTCATTTATTTAATATTTTTTTCAAATCTGTATCTGTATTCTTATTTTATCTTTTTACTAATTTTATCGATTGCGATTGCTAAATAAAAATATATTAGTTAAGGTTGTTCAAGTTTTTAGTAACAGTATTAAATATAAATTTCATTTTGTGAAAGCGATCTTTTTTTATTTTTTAAATTTGCCAAATTTTATCTTAATTAATCCAACCTTTTTTAAAAATCTAATAATAGAATAAAAAATCATTAATTCATTTATAATTTTCATAAATTTTGTATCTAATAGTATTTTTTCAATAAAATTTTAAATATAATACTTTTACTGACTTAAAGAAATTTGACTTTGGTTAAGCATCTCAAACAAATTTTATAGGCTTAGAATAATTCATTATTTCTTTAAATAATATTTTTATTCATTTGAAATGTTTATCATGCAAAAAATAACAAATACAAATAAAAAACTTCATTGTTTTTTTTTTAAAATATAGAAATAATTATGTTAACTAATTCAAAAAAATACGAAGATGAAGATGGTTAATAAAAACATATTAATAAATAATTGGGCTTATATAATCAATGAAACTTTTTCAAATAAATAAATTAAAATGAAGCAATTTTATGGATTGTTGAAAAATATCTGTTTTTTAAAGAATTATCTCTTATTTATATTTAAATTTTATATAATTAATATAATAGAAAAATATATTGACAAATTATTTAGATTCATAAATTATGGGTAAATCATTTAATATAATAAATAAAATGTCTGATTCTGAATACTATTAGAAATATGGAGTTAATCAATCTGTTTTTAATAGCGAACCAATAAAATAATTGATTCCTATTTTAAAAATGGCTCGTTCAGCATCTGATGATATCATGGTTCGTAAAGATAGTTATGGGAATGTAATTTAGCGTGGAAATAAGAAACATAAAATTTAGTTCAGAGAAAAAAATGAAATATTCTTAGGTATTAATAATCAATTATATAATAGTTGAAAATTGGAAATAATATAATACGGACATAACAAATCAAGAATCTCCCTGTATCTGCCAAATAATGTGACTCTTATATAATTCATTTTTCGCAAGCTTATACTTATTTATTATCTTGTTTATACAATAGAAGTATTAAGTATTAAGTTTAAATACAATTCAAACTAATAATTTTACATAAATTAAATCTTGTAATTTTTATGATATGATACAAAAATAAATATATAACAAAGAAACTAAATTAAAATTTAGGTTTAGTTGAAGATATACAAAAATTAAGCAAAGTTTTTAGTTGAAAGTATTAATTATTGATGAATTATTTAAAAAAAAAGGCTTAATATGTCTATTTTGGAAAGCAAGTGAGAAGTTAAATGTGGCAAGCAGAATTCAAACTGAAAAACTTAATGATGAATTTTAATAATTTACTATAGGAAAAACTCAACTAAAAATCTTATGATATTTTTTATATAGGTCATCAAGCTTAATTATAATCTTAATAATTTAAAATATGCCCCAGTTTAAGTTTAACTTGATGGGTTCAACTGAACTAAGTATATCATCTATTAAAAGTTTTTGATCATAAGAACTGTATAATTCGTTGAGGTACAAAAATTACAGAACTTTTGTGTTTGTAGGATTGTATTCCACCTATTGTAATTCTATTTTTACCATTTCGGTATACTACATATTTCAATAATTTCTAAATCTACAATTTACATTCATTGAAGAAAATAAATCAATTTATCATTTTTTCAATCATTAAGAACTTGTATGTTCTCCATAGCAGATTATTTATTACAATCTTTCAATATCCTCATATAAAAGCTTAAATTATATCTCTAAACTTTATTAGATTTAATCCTTCTTGTTTGGTACTTGATATTCTTAATTATTTGATTTATTCAAGTTTTATATTTAAATAAAGTTCTTATTATCTAAAATATCAATATCAAAATAAATAAATTTATTTGAACTTTAGAAGATCATTGATTTCAATTATATTAAAAAGTTTTTAATTTGAATCAAATAAAAGATTATTAACTTTTAATTTTATCCATAATTCTGTATTCTACAATAGTTGTAAGTACTTCTTATTTATTCATATCATTATTTGAAAAGGATATAAAGCTAAATTTTGATAAAATAAAAGATTGTATCGCTTTTAAAGGTGTAATATTCAAATCTACTATTTAGATAAAACGATATTCCATTTATCATCAAATACATATACATATTATTAATATCTATAGATGCTAAATAATTTTAGAATATTTTTCTTATGATTTCTTCGATGATTAGACTCCTGAATGGTTCCCCTTAAATTAATCAATTATCCCATTCCAAAAATTTATTAATTTTAAAATTATGTTAAAAGTATGATTTTATCTCTGGAATTCAATACAGCATTATAATTTTTTCTTCTATTTATTTTAAATGCTATACTTTATTTTGAATTAAATAAATATATATAATAAAATTTTATAGATGTCTTAACAAAGAAGACCGAATAGTTAACAAAAGATGTCTTAGAATATAGTAAAAAAGTATAGAATAATAGACTTAATCAATTAATAATTTAAAGACTTAACTACAGTAATAGAGATAAAATAGATGGTCCGAATAAAAAATAAACAAAGAACTTTTTGATTTTTTATCATAAATAAATTTGCAATAATATTACGGAAAGATAGCATAACATTGTGAGAGTAGTTTATAGTAACTAATTGATATGAAGTAAATTAATAAATAAAATAAATAAGATCAACGAAAGATATAAAAGACTTACCATTTGGATATCAAATTAAATTATAGGTATAAAGACTTGTTTAAAATTGAGAAAGCGATTGAGAAGATTTCTAAGGACACAGGAAATAAAATATCTCAGATATAGAAAATAGAATAGAAATTGCAAAATGATTAGAAAGAGTGTTGTTGGATATGTTTTTAGTTGATATTTGAGAGTATAGATTGTTATGGGAAGAAAATGTGCTCTGAAAAATGTAAATAAATGTATTTGACAGAGATATAAGTAAAGAAGTCTAAATAAAAATAAGATAAATTGTAAGAGATGCGGAAGAGTGAAACCTAAATATGATGCAATAAATAAATATGGTGAATGGTACTGCCAATAGGAATGTATTTATAATGAAGAAGAATTAATGTTTTTGTTAATAAAATAAAGTTAATTGAAGAAATGAATTAGTTAGTATATAATTAATAATTTTAATTTTGATATGGCAGATTAAATAATCGAAAATTAATCAAAAAATATCATAATAATAATAAAATTAGATAAATCTATTTTATTGAAAAAGATATAAACAATTTAGCAGTTTGAGCAACTATTTTAAGATTCTATAACAAAAAAGTAAGGAATAAAAATAAATAATGATGTAAAACGATAAAAGATATATATTAATATTTGAGAATGAAGGGATTTGTTAATAAAAGAGAAAGTATGATATAAGAATATAAAGAAGTTAATTTGTTCATAAATAGGAAGAAATTTGATCGAGATTTGAAATTAAAAATGTTTAACTAAAACAAAATTATGAGAGTCTACATTTTTGAGAGTTTAAATTTGTGAAGAAATAAAGGAAAATTTTTAAATGATAAAGTAAATAGATTGGGTGATGCCAAATATTTAAGAATAAAATTTCTAATAAAATGGAATAAAGTTCTAGAGATAGAATTTAGAATTGATCATTAATATTTAAATGGTCATATAATAAATATTTATGGGTATGAATATGAAGAATTTTTATAAAAAGAGATGAGTATAAAAAAGCTTATAGGAATAGTGAGATAGGATGAAACAATAATGATTTGTATATTGAATAATAATTTAATAGAAGAAGAAAGTTTTGATGGTTTCTTTTAAGGTTGAATGAGAAAAAAGAGAAAATTTAATTATTAGAAAAGTAGGGATAGATGGATTGAATAATAAATGATAAGATGATTGATGAAGAAGAATACTTGCCATAAAATTGAAATTTTATAAAATAAAGTAAATTTAGTAAATTGATGTTATTAAATAACTTATATAATTAATGAAAATTTTAATAGTTAATGGGTATGGGAAATGTATGAAAGGATTTAGAAGTTCAGAACATTACAAACAAATTATAAAAGAAGTAAAAGGCTAATGGAATTAATTTTTAGGTTTTGACAGGTAAAAAGGAAATGATCGATACAGAATTAGAATTCTTCTTTGCAGATAGAGATTCTATTGATGACTTTCTTTATGAAATAGACAGTTCTTTTGTAAGAGTTGAATGTGGTAAAATGTTTGATTCAATTGATTTAATCTTCTTTGAAGGAGATGCAAATCTTAGACCTTGGTCTCCTAATGCCTATAAATTCTTAATCTTATTAAGAATGTGTATGAGAAGTAATAAGATTCTATTTGCTTCATCATTTGCCATGTAAGGCTTAGTGTTTCTGATTGCATCTAATGTTGAATGTGTACAAACTTACCACTACTTTAGTAATTCTCAGTTATCAATGGACTTAATGGTGGATAATTAGGAGATCTCTCTAAAATTAAGAAACCTCTTAATGATATCAGAATGAATGATTTCTTTCTTGATAATGTCACTGGTGATTTATATAGCTTTAATTATGATACTGGAGAATGGGTAAGCAAAGGAAATGCTGGTTTACATAGTAGAAGATCAGCTGAAGAATTTAAAACTATTGGAAAATATATTGTTAAAGCTCCATAATATAAAGTATCAAGAATGAAAGAAATTGATTAACTCTATGTTTCTAAAGAAAATGAAATTGTATGTTCTCTTAGAAAAAATTCTATGCATAATTATCTTTTTATTGGATTACCTTTTGAATTTGTTGTGCCTTTCAAAAATTCTTGGGATGTTCATCCTTTCAATTTTGTTAATCCTAAAAAAACATTTTAAACTATGGCTGATTGTGAAAAAGGTTTTTTCTTTTTCTTTTTATTTTTAGGACCCCTTGTCATTTCTGTATCAGACAATATCGTTGCAACTTAATTCTCTATACGCTCTAAATATAAAGAAACTGTTTAAATTATGCGTAATTTTATGGGTTATTAATTAAGTATTTCCTTTATTTTAATTTAGCTAAATTATGTTCTGGAAGAGCTTAAACTATTCCTATTGAAATTGCTTCCGTTAAATAAAATGATAATGCTATGGATATTTTTTTAGAATAATTAAGTCGTAGCAAATATCATAACTAAAAAACTATTAAATTTAATGTTATTACAGAGTTTCATCATGCAGGATTTGCTGCTAAAAAATCTAATTAATTAGATGTAGTTGTTAATAATGCTATTGGAAAAAGAAAATTTAAATAAACTATCTAAAAATTAAATCCTAAAGAATTAGAAAAATTACTTGATTAAGTACATATTTCCCTTCTATTTTTTATTTAGAATTCTTCCCTCTAAAATTAACATTTCTAAAATGACTAAGATCGTTAGCCAAGTATACATAGTGCATAACCACATTTTAATAATGAAGAATAGCCTTACATATTTAATAAAACTGGTGTTGAAATCATTTAATTTCTTCATCCTACTATTGATAAAAGCATTTTACCTGATCCAAAACCTCTTTGGGTTCCTGGCTATTTATCACAAAGTAAATTATAAAAAAGCTAACTACAATAAAAGTAGAATACTACCACAGGAACAGGAGAAGAAGGATTATCTACTCCTTTCTTGACTGAATAAAAACTAATCTCTACTTCTAAAATACCTAGAACTGCTTCATAGCCACATTTTAGAGTAATATAAAAAGATAAATGGATAACAAATAAGAATTTTAAAGTTTGAAAAAATATTTATATATATATTTATTTTAATCAACATATTTTAGAATGCTAATTTTAATACTAACATTTTTTATTTAATCCTAAACAAAAGGATATCAGCAGATCTTAAATAAAGTGTCTAAAATTTAGTTTAAGGATTTTGAGTTTGAAAAATACATAATATAAATTAAGAACATTATTAATTATATTAGGATTAAGAAGAATATAATTCTTAAATATTTTCCAGTAGTATTTTGCTTTTTAAAATTCCTTTTTTACTAGATAATTTAATTTCTATTCATTTAGTTTTAAAAATTATATTTATTTATAAAGATGGTTTAATTCAAAATATTTTTAGATTTCAGTTTAAAGATTTCGATAAATTCAATTGCTTTTTTGATAATTATTTAATAGAGATAATTTTAAAAACCAGTATGATAGGTTAAAAAATGGAAAATTATTTTTGGATTAGTTTTTTAATAATATATTAATTATTATTTAATTAATTGTAACAGTACAATTTTTATAATTAATTCAAAATTTTCCTTGAAATTAAATGATTTAAACAATTTATTCGAAGTTGAAGATATATTTTTAATGATGAAAACCTTCCTTAAATGAATAAATTTATTTTATTATGAAATTAGAAGATTTTATGGAAAAACTTCATCTTAATTCAATTTAAATATTTTTTTCATCAAAATATTTAAAGGAGCGTAAAAAAACTTATTAAAAAAATAAAAAGTAGATTGATTTTGATATATATTGGAGTATAGGTTAATGATAAATAAGTTGTTTTAATAATATCATTTTATATATATGAGAATTAAATTATAAAATGATAAATGATGATTCATAAAGAGACGATGAGTAAAAAGTTAATTTAAGAAAAATAGTTAAGTTTAGAGTGTGAAAATTTAAATATTAAATTTGAGAATAAAAATGATTAATAAATATATAAAGAAAATAAGAGTAGATGTGGAAAGATATACAAATAAAGTAGTATTCAGATAGCGGGAGGTAAGGTAAGAAGAGAAATCATGGTTTGTATAATATGAGATAGAGTTTTGAAGAGGATGCAGATAATAATGGTATATTGTTAGATAAAGAAGGATTATGGCGGTAAACATATAAAGAGAGAAGGGAACAAGATTAAGATAATATAGAGATTACTCCTAAAAGGTATATGAGACCAATGAGTGCATTAATATCACCTAGTGATGGTTTTTCATCTAGATAAAGACCTATTACAGCACTAGGATAAAAAGTGTAAGGGAAAAAAATGTTAAAGATTGATGAAAATGCAGAGATGATATCAGTGCCATATCATTCTGAAACAAAGTATTGGAGAAATACAAAAAAATTTGATAAAAGTAGGTAATTTAAATAAGTTATTAAATAGCAAATTAAAATGTTATTCGTAATCATTCTGCTTTATAGAGAGTATCTTTGGGAGGCGAAAGTGAGAATTATAATATTGAAGAGGAAGAAGCTAAGAATTAAAATTTGATTGAGAAATAGATTATGAAGAATCGATTATTTTCACCAATATAGAGTTAAGGAAAGCATTAAATAAATGATAGAGATATTGAATAAATGACAGAAGGGTTTTATGAGCATGTTGCATTAATAAAGGGAAGTAGAAATATACCTAAAAAAAAGGGGTTTAAACATTCTAATTTATAAATCTAAGATAATCTTACTGATATAATGAGATTGATAAAAGAATAGACATACACAAAAAGTCCTCTTATTGTTAAAACTAAACCTTATGGTAAGAGAACTTAGAGTGCAGTCAATAAATAGTAGAAAGTTAATTAACGTTATAGAACTATTAGTGGGAAAGCATAACTTAGAGCAGTGAGAGGATTCTAACTATGATAATATAAATTTAATTTCTCAAAATATCTATTTATTATTATTTAATAAATATCCAAATCAATGAGTGAAATTATTCGAAGTTCTTAGTATAGAGCAATTCAGGTAATGAGTTGATTCTATAATTTTAGAATGTTACCACAAATTAATAATCAACAAATCCAGTTCTTTAAGGATAAGTTGTAAAGTAGGTGATTTTAGAAACACGTAAAGATGAATAGACAGAATAATATGAATTGAGAATTGAAAAACTTACTTAAGAAGTTGAGTAATGGAAAAGATAGTGTTTTTTAAGTGAGTAGTAACTTAATAAATTTACAACTCAATTGTAAGAAGTAATTCACATGATTTATACTTTTAATAGATGGCTAGTCTTGAAGCTAGATTAGCAGCATTATAATAAGAATATAAGAGTGTGGAAGTTAAATATAGAGAAAAGTGTAATGAATTTGAGAAACTAAGAATTGAATATAGTAAATTGGATTCAGCCCTTATTTCATATTCATTAACTCATATTGAAACTAAGAAATTCGAAGAAGCTATTCAAAGTAAATAGAATATCATTTCTGACTTATAAAAATAACTCTAAGATGCTAATGAGAGATTATTATAGATTCCTAAATTAGAAGATTTATTGAGAACTGAACTTCGAAAAAACGAATCATTAATTTAAGAAATTGATTAATGGAAATAAAAGTATCAAACTATTTAATAAGACAAAGATGATTACATTAAATAATTATAGTTTGAAAGTGAAAATATAAATTAAAAAAATACAGAATTTTTGGAAGCTGAAATTTAGAAAGGCAATAATGATCTTTTGAATAAGGTCAAATTATTGTAAGCTTAGATTGAATAATTGAAGGTAGAAGCTAAAGAATTTTAGAATATTTTATAATTGGAGTAATCAGAAAATAATAAATTGAAATCTGAAGTTGATTTATTGAATGCTCGTATTTTAGAATAAAATCAATAATTGGATATTGAGATTGGTTTAGTAAAAGAAAGAGATTTTAAATTAAATGAATCTGAGGCTAAAATAAAATAATTGGAAGATGATTTATTAGAGATTAGAAGATTGGATTAGGTTATTTAAGATTTAGAAACTAAAAATTAAAATTTAGTTAATGAAATAGATACATTACGTAATGAGGCTAATTAATATAAATTGGTTATTTAATAATTAGAACATGATCTTGGTAAATTAATGGAATTAGAGAATAAGGTGGCTATGTTATCATCAGAAATTGAAAGATTGAAATAAATGATTGCTTCAAAGAATGAACAGATTGATAGATTGAAATAATAAATTGATCAATTAAATAAAGCTATAGATGAATATAAAACAATTGAAGCAGAAAAGTAAGTGCTAGAAAATAAATGTGCAATGTTAGCAACTGAAATTGAAAGAAAGAAATTCTAACTTGATTAAAGAGATGTTAAAATTAATGATTTAAATAAATAAATTAATGAACAACAATATTTGATTGATGAATTAAAGGAAAGACCTGATCTATCTATTCCTTTAGCTGAAGCTGAAAATATGATTAAATTATGGTAAGAAAAGTATTAGAATTTGGAATAAATATAAAACAAATATACTTTAATTGAATAAGAAAACTATGAATTAAAAAATTAATTACAAGCCTTATTATAAGAATTAGATTAACTTAAAAGAGATTTAGAATAAAGATCTAATCAATTAAATGAAGCAGAATCTACTATTCATTTAATGGAATAAGATCTGAACAAACTTAATTCACTTGAGGAATAAATAAAATCTTGGGAATCAAAATATCAATTATAAACTGAATAATTTACATCTATTAGAGAATAATTAATTTAAAGTCAAGAAACAATTAAAAAAAGTGATAGAGATGAAATCTTAAATGAACTTAGAGAATCATAATCTAGGTATTAATCATTAGAAACATAAAATCAAGATCTTATTGATCAATTAGAATAATTAAGATAATTATATGTTAAATGTTAAGCAGAATTAGAAGAAGCTATCAAATTAGAATCAAAAGTTTATGATTTAGAAAATAAAGTTGCTATGCTCTCTAGTGAAGTAGAAAGATTGAAGTATAGAACTAATGCAAAAGATGAAGAATTAAAGAAATTATCAGCATAATCTAAAGATTTTGATAGTTTAAAAAATGATTTTTAATAAATGAATGGTGATTTATAAAATACATCATAATCATTAGAAGAATTAACTTAATAATTGGAAATTTAATTGGATAAATTTAAATAATAAACTAAAGAATTAAATGAAGCTTAATAAATGAGAGATTAATTAGAAAATAAGATTGCTATGCTTTCTACTGAAATAGAAAGATATAAGTATAAATTAAATAATAAACAAAATGAAACAGATGATTTAAAAAAACAAATTTTAGATCTACAATAATAAATTAGTCATCTGAGTTAAGTTGAAAATGACAATATTAAACTCAATTAAGAATGTGAAAAATTAGATCAAAAATTTAACGATTAAGTTGAATTATTATAACAAACTAAAAATGAGAGAAATGATTTACAATAAATTAAGAGTTAATTGGAATAAGAATTACAATTATTGTAATCTGAATTGTAATCATCATAACAAAATTAAGAAATCAAAAATAAATAAATTAAATAATTAGAAAATGTTATTCAAGATAAAGAATAAAATATATCATAACTAAAAAATTAGGAATAAAAAATGTTTGAATACGAAACTAAATTAGCATTTTTAAGTTAAGAGATAGAAAGATAAACTAATTAATACAAAGTTAAGTTGGGAGAGTTAGCAGAAATGTAATCATAATTAGTAAACATTAATGAATTATAAATTTTGATCTAAACTCTTGAAAATGAAAAAAATAAACTCTAAGGAATTATTCAATAAAAGGAGAATGAAACTTAATTATGGAAAAATAAGGTAGATGAATAATAAAAAGCAATGGAAAAATTTGAAGAAATGAAAGTATTTAATCTACATTATTCTAGTATCAAATGGAAAATAAAATTGCTATGTTATCAAGTGAAGTTGAGAGATTAAATTATAAATATAAGGTGCTTTTAGATGATAAATCTAAATGGAATAAAAGAATGAAATTAGTTTTTGATGAATTAACTAAAGTTAGTATTTAAAATGAGATCTCATCAAATGTAATGCATTTTTATATTTTTAGGAAGCATTTAATTGGAAACATAAGATTTTAGAATTAGCTGACCTTCAGTCAAAATTGACATAATAAGATGGCTCTATTTAGCAGTGTTTATAAGAAACAGAACATATGAGACAATAATTGTAAGAATAAGATTTCTTGGATGCAAGATAAAAAATAAGATCATTATGAAATATAACATAATAAAATTATTATTCATTATTGCTATTGTATTTATTATTGCTTCAATTGTTGTTTTTTTTATTAATTTATTTTAGTTATTTATTCTCTTTTTTCAATTTCTAACTGAACATTAATTATTGGTTCTGAGTTTTTTTATCTCATTATATTAACTTCATTTAAAATCAGGGCTTTTAAATCTTTTAATTAAATAGTGCTATCATTTTCAAATTAGCAATCTAGATTTCCTTCAAATGATGGTTCATCATCAGGATCTCTAATAGGTTCTAAATAGGGGTGATTAAGAGCCTAAATTAAATAATTTAGATATAAAGTTACTTCAGCACTTGTAATTCTTTTTTTGGGATTAATTTCAAGTAATTTATCTAATAAATCTATGGCTTAAGGGTTAGAATATTTAATAACGGAGCCAATAGATATTTTTTATTTGGTTTATAAGCTACTTACATATTTTTTGGCATTTGCATTAGTAATGAATGCCAAATCTTCTTCGCCTGGTTTTCCTAACGTATCAAAGATTAATTTAATCATTTGAATATAATTAGTTCCTTTAAATAAAATTTATCTCGTGATTAATTCAGCAAAGGTACAACCTAAAGACCACATATCAATAGCAGTAGAATATTCATGCGAAGATAACATAACTTCAGGGGCTCTATAATATCCTATATTAAAATGATAATAAAAATACTTGTAACAACATATTCTGTAAGCATATTTTAACATCTATTATCTTCAGCTTCTAATTCTTCAATTTGTCTTGCTAATCCAAAATCACAAAAACATATTTCACAATTTTCTGTTGCTAATATATTACTTGGTTTGATGTCTCTATGAACAATGCTGGCTGAATGCAAATATTTCAATGCTTTAATTAATTGATACCTATGTTAAATAATAAATTACATAATATATTAGAAGTGTTAATCAGTCAAATTTTATCCACTCTTTATTATTTTATACAAATCCACTTCCATATAATTAGTTACTAAATATATTTCTCCAAACTCTAATTCTTTATTTGAGTCATCATAAATCAGATGCTCCAAACGAAGAATATTCTCATGTTTCATTGTTCGTAATATTCTTATTTCTCTTAACACTCTTTTAGCATCTATTTCATCTCTCACCAGGTGTAGTTTTTTAATAGCCACTTTTTAATAATCAGGGTCTGTTTATTTTTTATCAATAGCCAATGCAACATGTCCATAAGCACCAGCTCCCAATAATTTCTTTACATCATATCGAGGGCCTACATTAAATTGAATCCCAGAAACTATTTAATTCATAAGTATATAATTAATAAATCACAAATATAAAATTTCCTTTTATATTCCTAACTCATCAATTATTCTTTTTTATTTCTCTTTTCATTCTCTTCTCATCATTTATCATTTCCAACATAATCTTATTAATCATATCCTTTATTTCTACTTATTTTATAATACATCAAAAAAAGATTTAGTACTTAATAATTTTAAAGTCATCAAATATAAATAAAATTCATTCATTTTTAGATTTTTCTTAGTACAGTATCATCTGAAGTAGTTTATAAGGAACTTAATGAATTGACATATAAAATACTAGCATTTCTTTATGGTCTCAATTTGAATACAAAATCTTCAATTTTTTTTTTGTATAATAATCTCTCTTCATTGTTCAATAAATTGCTCATTGATGCACTCTTAACTGATCTTGTTTATCCTTTCATTCCATTATAATGAGTATCATTAACATTCTATAAAATTGGATTAAATTGCTTTGCTTAAAGAGTTCTCCCCAATTTTATTGGACTACTATCTTCTATTGGATTTTAATAAAGAGTTTATCGTAGAGATATTCGCTATGGATATAATTAAAATTTCTATTATCTAATAGGAGTTTTTATAATTATTGGTGATGCTTGCTATTTTACTTATTATTCTGCTTTATGTTATAATTCAATCGTTTATTTTTTTATAGGAGAATTTGGTTTGCTACCTTCATCTAATTTTAACATTGATGTTGTTCGAAATCTCAATTTTGTTTTTGGAGATTCCGAAGCCCCAATCATAAATGGTTTCTCTGACTATTATTATCCTTTCCGTTTCTAATATAAAGGATTCTATATCAAATGTTCCAAGTAGTGCTCTTCACTTACTTCCCATCCTTTATCCATTTTCTGTAGCTGATTATCAAATTTTTATTAAATTAAAAATATTCATTCTGCTTATATGTTGAAAGATATTTATTTAATTTATATCATCATGAAAAAATCAATTTTCTCTAATTTATCTAGAAAAAAGGAAAGTTAACATTCAATTTTAATATGTTGAATTAATTTCCTTCTATTACAAAATGTTAACAACTCTTTATGAAGGATTAAAACATTCAACAGTAATATATTTTATATGAATAATAATTTAAATTAGTTAACTCGAATTTACAAGATATATTTTGAATTTCTCATAATCTTCTTGTATTCAAGCTTTTGATTCGATATTCAGTTTTAATACGCTATTAACTTCTAATTGTTGGGTTTAAGGGCTATTAACTTCGATTTTCCTTAGTGTTTTTTGTAGGCATGATTAACTATTTATGCTTTCTATGATTTGTTCTTACCCTGAAATAATCCCAAAATCTCATATAATTTATATCATCATTAATATTATACTACTTAGTATAATCCTAGAGATTGTCTAGAGGCAAAATCTTTTTATATTTCAAATAATGGAATTTCAATTTATTTATAAGTCTTTAAACTTCAAGCGCTAACTATTCCTCTGAAATTTATTCTTTTTTGTGAGGGTAAGTTTCAAATCTTATTTTGTATAACATTTGTAATTCATCAGTTGGTGATAAGTATGAGAAATCCCCTAAATGAACTCCCTTTAATAAAATTTCATCATCATTCCAAATATTATGTTCAGATGCATCTGAACTTGAGTCTGAAGATGAACTACTTTCTTATTTTGTCTAAGGAATAGCTTTTTAAAATCTTGACTTTCTAGAATTAGCTTTTTAAGTCTATGGAATTTTCACAGCATCTGGAGTATTAGGTTCGCTGACCTCTTTTAAGGGTTAAAGAGGCTGTTAAATAAATATTGGCTATTTAAATTTTATTTCTGATTTTGTTGAAGTGCTATCAGAATCAACAGACGAAGTAGATTGTTTACGACTATTTGAAGTTCTGATAATAACAGTTCTATGTAAGTTTTTTATCATTTTTTTATAAATATAAATTAATTTCAAAAATGTATATTTATATTTTACACATATGCAAATTTAGTTGTTTATGATGATGTATAAATTTATGTGATTTATAGATTCATATATCACTCATCAAACTAATCCTCCTGAATTTTATTTGTTTCTAATGACAGTACTAAACTCAGCAGAATTTACAAATTCTTTGGAATTTCTAGTAGTTTGTAGTTAGATTTGATACTAAGCTTTAAATAAATTGTATATTTTGATTTCTTAGGCTTAAGCATCCTTATTCTATTCTAAATAGGATGTGCTTCATTTTTACATAAAGAATCTTTATAATTTTATAAATCTAATTCATTTGATGCTAATGCTTCTTAATTTAACTTCAATTTATCTAAAAATAAATATTTTAATAAACAGCCAAGACATATGTAGCTTCTAAAACAGAATGCTTAAATTCTTAATATTCAATATTTAAAGTTTTTTATTTTGCCTCCCAAATTTATTAGAACTATTATTCATCAGTGTTTTCTCATAAATGCACATTAACCAGAAAAATTCTATGTTAATTAAAGCAAAAGCCTCAACTAGTGGATGAATAATGCTTATCTTTTGAATTTTATTATTAACTCTTTTGATAGCTTAATATATAGGAGCCTTTTCTNCTTCAAGCGCTAACTATTCCTCTGAAATTTATTCTTTTTTGTGAGGGTAAGTTTCAAATCTTATTTTGTATAACATTTGTAATTCATCAGTTGGTGATAAGTATGAGAAATCCCCTAAATGAACTCCCTTTAATAAAATTTCATCATCATTCCAAATATTATGTTCAGATGCATCTGAACTTGAGTCTGAAGATGAACTACTTTCTTATTTTGTCTAAGGAATAGCTTTTTAAAATCTTGACTTTCTAGAATTAGCTTTTTAAGTCTATGGAATTTTCACAGCATCTGGAGTATTAGGTTCGCTGACCTCTTTTAAGGGTTAAAGAGGCTGTTAAATAAATATTGGCTATTTAAATTTTATTTCTGATTTTGTTGAAGTGCTATCAGAATCAACAGACGAAGTAGATTGTTTACGACTATTTGAAGTTCTGATAATAACAGTTCTATGTAAGTTTTTTATCATTTTTTTATAAATATAAATTAATTTCAAAAATGTATATTTATATTTTACACATATGCAAATTTAGTTGTTTATGATGATGTATAAATTTATGTGATTTATAGATTCATATATCACTCATCAAACTAATCCTCCTGAATTTTATTTGTTTCTAATGACAGTACTAAACTCAGCAGAATTTACAAATTCTTTGGAATTTCTAGTAGTTTGTAGTTAGATTTGATACTAAGCTTTAAATAAATTGTATATTTTGATTTCTTAGGCTTAAGCATCCTTATTCTATTCTAAATAGGATGTGCTTCATTTTTACATAAAGAATCTTTATAATTTTATAAATCTAATTCATTTGATGCTAATGCTTCTTAATTTAACTTCAATTTATCTAAAAATAAATATTTTAATAAACAGCCAAGACATATGTAGCTTCTAAAACAGAATGCTTAAATTCTTAATATTCAATATTTAAAGTTTTTTATTTTGCCTCCCAAATTTATTAGAACTATTATTCATCAGTGTTTTCTCATAAATGCACATTAACCAGAAAAATTCTATGTTAATTAAAGCAAAAGCCTCAACTAGTGGATGAATAATGCTTATCTTTTGAATTTTATTATTAACTCTTTTGATAGCTTAATATATAGGAGCCTTTTCTGAGAATACTATATTTGCATTAATTTTAGAATTGATCAATTATAAGGCTTCATCAACAGCACTGTTAGCACTTTGATGTTTACTTAATAAAAGTTGTTTTGTGTATTCCTCTGTCTAAATATTCTTGATATTAATTTTATCTAGTATCTCTATTATAATTCAATAAACCATTCAATCTTTCAATCTTTTTAATTTTTTTAATCAATATTAGGTAATAGATTAGCATCAATAAGGTTTTTTTAATTAAAAATATTAATTTTCTGTCTAACCAAGATTAATATCTAAGTTTTATTAAATCACTGAATGTTCCTTGTGAAATCGTTTTCCAACTATTATAAATTCAGTTATAAATTCATTTTACAAATCTCCTATTGCTGTCACCAAATCATCAAAATTATATAATTCAGTCATACCCAAAGATCCTCTCATTTCAGTATGTGTTTAAACCATTTCTATTATAAATTTACCCTAATTGCTTTGTGATAACTCATCTATTTTTTCTGTGCTCAATTGAATCATGCTTTGATCAATAGAATAGACTATTTATAAAGATAAAATCAATGCAAATAGTTTTTGAATAGGCTATTTAATATAATAATGTAATCTGTTTTGAATATTTGTATAAAATATTTATTCATTCACTGCAATTCAAATAGATCTTTACCATTTATGTTAAACTCATATAAAATTTAGGATAATATTATCAATTTTATTTGATTCAGAAAAACTCTAAAAAATTGATTAGCAATATAATCCAGTAAATATATATTATTTTGATATTAAATGATATATTATTTTCATTTAGTATATTTTTTAAACCCATCTGTATATTAAGATTAGCCCAAATTGAAATCCATTTGTTCATCTACTCCAACATAAACTTTATTCATAACTTGGTTTAGAGGAGATGGAGGAATGTTAAAATAAACTTAGGGAGGTACTATGAATTAAACACTTGGTTATAATATCTTACTATTATTTAATGAATCAATCTAAATATATAAAAACTATTTTTACTCTATCTTTATTGATAAACTTATTGTATTAATCACTAAGAAAATTATGAGGCTTACTATTATTATTACCAATAAGTAAACTATCCATTTTCATTAATTTAATTTAATTTGATGATGTAAACATAGATAGCTATTATTTATAATCTTGCTGATCTTACTGAGAATTCGATTAATCATCCAATTAATTACCACATTAATAGAGATCATCAAAATTTCTAGCTTATTAATGATCAATAATTTCATTGAATGCAATTTCATCATTATTTTTCTTATTTTTCATTTACATTTTATTTTTTTAATCTTCAAAATCTTCTAATTTCTGTTCAAATTTAACTATTTTCCTAGATTCTTATTGTTATGGCTTTTCATTATTTTCAATGACTTAGTTTCTCAATCTCATTTATTATTATCCCTAATAATGTTGTTGATTTTGCTAAATAAGTTAAGATTATTTAATAAGTAAATGTTATTAATTTAAATGTTCTTATGCTCTTGTCTTTTTCTTTTCTAAACTTTATTCACTCTCTCCTTCAGATAATGGATCATTTTCCTTCTTTCTCGAGAATCCAGGATACTAAATAACAATTAATTTTTTTTATACATCTTGTGATGTGAAAATCTTTTTATTATTTGATGATAATAATTCCATTTGACTATTTTCATTTGACATAAATTAATAGACTGTTCCATCTAAATATAATTGAGATATTTTTTTACTTAAATCTGTAAAACATAAAAGCATTTTAATATTGCATAATATTGCTAATTCACAAGCCTTTTTGAATAATCCATTTTTTCGCTTATTAAAAGTAATCTAAAATGTATAATAATAAGTTTTTGAATTATATAATGATTCTAAAAATAGTAGAATAAGGGTTTAATTAAATAAAATTACATTTCTAATACGATCATCTTTTATATATTGAATTTCAATTTTATTTCTTCCCATTTTTATAATTAATTATTTTATATATAATAAATAAAGTATAAAATTTAAAGTTAAATATTCTTAATTTTTAAATAATTTTTTCTTATTAAAAGTCTAATAAAGATATATCAATAGAATTAAAAAGTAAAATTACTCTAATTTATATAATTAGTAAATAATATATTTAAAACAAATATTTTAATAATTATTTCAATTTCATGAACGTTATTATTGTCTATATTTTGATTTTTCAATTACACTTAAAAGTTAAACAGCATGTCTTTATGTTCTTTTAGGTTTCTTAACTTTCATTAAAACAACATCTAAATTGAATTAAGTAAAATAATATTAAGTATTAAAGCATTAATCTATATCAAAATCTATTCTTTATCTAGATTTATAAGTCATCTCTTCAACTTTGCTAATACTTTCTTCTTGAATTTTCTACAACGAAAAGGCTCTTATATCGGTAGTAGATTATTATTTAATCATTTATGTCATATGTTGGTCAAGATTTTAATATGACGAAGAATTACCTTTTTTTAATTGTTTAGATTTAGATGAAATACTGGCACGATGCATTTAAAGTTAAGAAGAAGGTTAACATATTTAGGAAGGTAACAATTAAGTAGAAAATGCTGATTAACCTAAATTAGTTAAGTCTTGAGTAAGAGCTGAAACAGTGCCATGATGAGTTTGTATTTATGACAATTTAAGAAAGGTTTTTTTTCTTGCTTTAATATGTGATATTTTTGATTTTTGTTTACTAAAGTCTTTTTAATCAACATCAGGTGAAACTTAAAGAAACTATACTTTTTTTTCAATATTAGGATTATTCTTAGTATTTTTGATTGGATATTAATGCTCATCTTCTTCTGATTCATTACTACTAGGAGAATTGACTGTTTTCATACTAATTAAAGTTTTTATCATATTGGAAGTTTAGTTTTTATTATTATTTATATAGCCTAGAGTATCAAGATATTAATCTGTTAAGTCTTCCAAAGGTATGATATTGTTATCTACAATTTATTGAAGAGCTGATTCTTATAATATATATTTATCATATCTAAGTTTTTCGATATTAATTCTATTAAATTTTTATCTTTAATTATCCTCATTCCTCATAAACTTTTTTCTCAGTCTTTCAATATTGACATGATAGAAAACAAAAGGACATTTCATGAATTAGTGTGTCCACCTACATATATAACAAACTTCTCCATAATTTTACTTTTCTTCATTAAATTGCATTTCATCTTTTAACATTTAATAATTTTCTTCTTCTATTGGATCTTCTTTAATGATCTTTAAAAAATCATCATATTCTATATAAGCAATTTAACAAAATTTAGTAGTTCTAATAGAATAATCATATCGTGTTTGCATGATGAATTCTTTTTCGCCGATAAACTTGCCAGCATTAATGATGGCTAATTATGTTTCTCTATTAGCTTAATCACAAATGAGATTAATTTATCCTTTTTATAAAAACAAGAGTTTGTTAGCTAAATCATTCTACGCCTCAACAATCTCTTCAGGAGCTAATCTCTTTTCTCTTACATATGAACATAATTTTTTTACACTCCTTTCAGATAATGTTTTTTTGATAAGTCTTGAATTCATAAGTATATTATGATATAAATCAATAGCAACCTATTCTTTAAGCTTTTTATTTAGTACATTCATCATATTCTCTCCAAATTAATTATTCTCATCTTGCATTTTCAAATAATATTCAAAATACTTTCTTACTGACAAAATCAATTATTTACTTAATTATCTCTTTTTTACATAATTATTTAACTACATCATCTTCTACTTGTAAATTTATTCTTTTTCTGTTAATTATCTTAAGATATTTCCAATACTAGATATAGTGTATCCAAATAAACCACAAATAACCATTGCCATTAATATTACAAATATTCTCTCTAAATCACTCTATGGTACGATATCTCCATATCCCACTGTTAATGTTGTTATCGTACTAAAATAAAGTGAATGGATATATCTAGATTCCCAATCAGCATTAATTATGTTTTTTGAATCTAACCAAGAATACTTCCCTTCATCATATTACATTTGTCCTATTAAATTCCATAAACAGGCACAACAATGTGAGACAAATAATAATAAAAAAACTGATTTAAATAATTCTAAAACTGTTTACATCGTTATTGAAGGATTTATTGCTTCTTCTATTTAATCTATCAAAGTCTTTACTTTTGCTACTCTTAACATTAAAATGTATTCTGTATATTTTATTTAAAATGATGATAATATGAATGGAATAGCTATTAATAAATCCCACCACAATTCATAACTGGCATAATTTCTAAATATATCCTCATGGCTTTTATGTATTTATCCTTTGCTGTAATAAGCTGTAAAGAAATTTATTATTATATCTAGAATGAATGTCCAAGAAGGTAGTGATTCAAAAAAAAATTATTACACTATTCCTTCATTTTCAAAACCAAATCCCAATTTCATAGGGATATAAAAAATGTTCATGATTATTTATACCAATAGAAATATATCCCATATAACCTTAAAATTTGAATCAGGATCTATTATTGGAATGTGGTTCAACGCCTATTTTAAATTTTAACTAAGAATTTATATTTTATTCAATTTTTGCAGTAAAACATCTGAATCACTTGCAGCATCCGAAATCAATTTTAGAATGTTTGCATTTAAAGATTTAAATTTTACTTATGTTGAGTGGTTTTTCATTTATTTCACAAATTTTGTCATAAAGAACATTATCCTTAGTCCTTTTTTTCCCCATTTCTAATCTCCAACATTCATAAGTTGTTCCTTACTGTTCTCTAAATCTCTATCATAAGGAATTTACGTTTCCCTTTTTTATTTACTTATCTCAACTATACTTTAATCTAGTATTTAGTCTGAACTAATATTAGGTTCAAAAGAAGCCTCTTCACTATTATTTTCACATTATGGCAAAGAAAAATTAGATCGATTATTTGCAAATCTTTTTATTACAGGCCTTAATTTAATTTCATATTCAATACACATGTTAGAATCTGTTAGAATAAGAATTATTCATGTCTGACATCGAATTTCCTAACCTATTAAAATTATTATTGCTAAACTTAAATTATTTATATCCAATTAATAATATGGCTTATTTTACAACTAAGAATGCTTTTTACAAATTATTGAGATAGTTAATTTGATGATTTATTAATTATTATAATCAACATTTATAATTTCTTTATCGTAAAAATTTCCCAAATTCAAGAAATTAATTTTCAGACGTTCATTAACTATTTCTATCACTGATTAAATTAAATTTTGGTTTCACAAATTTATTATCCATTCCATTATATTTATGCTACATTATGATAAACAAAAAATGATTATCTAAATTTTTATAGTTTTACATTTTATTTTATTACTTTTTAGATTCAGCATAAATTCAAAAAACATAATTTTTTTATATAGTAAATTCATTTCAGTTCGAATCTTAAATAATTTTTTCAATTATTTTAGAGCTGAAATTAAAGCATTTCAAAATTTTCAGAAATAGTAGTTAAATTCATATACTTTTTTCTTAATTCATTAAACTCAATTTCTTTAATCAAATTAAAACATATTTAAATATAAAATTTCTCTCTTTATTAATAAATATAAAGCATTTTTTATAACTTAAATCAATCGAAGCCTTTTATTAATATAAAACAATTTAAGATTTTTTACTATTATGATTTATAAAATATTTATCTGAATTAAATTTCTATGCAAATTAATATAAAAATGGACTGAGACATTTAGGTATTAAATATATAGAACTTAGAATTTAAGATTTCTTTAAAAGTATATCTTCTTTTCAAAAATATTATAAAAATGAAATGAGACTTTTATAAATTTCTATTTAAATAATATAAATTTTTTAGTAAAATGGAATAGGATTATATAAAATAGATTTAAAATTTGCAATAAAATATCAATCTATTAGAGACAATATCAACCATCACAGAATTAACTATATTTGGAGATTAAAAGAATTAAGACCTGTTTGAGTATGTAATTTATAAATTCCTTGTTTATTTATAGAGAAGAAAATATTTGAAGAGTTTCTTAAGATTTTAAAAAAAACAAGCGATGTAGATTTGATAATCGCAGTATTGCAATCTGTTTCAATGCTATTGTAAAATTAATCCTTAAAAATAATTTAGTACTAATATTACGAAGAACTAAATCGTTTTACTCTCTTTACCTTAATTAAATGAATTCATCATATTCGATTATAATTTGAAAAAAGAAGAAATCTCAGACTACTACATCAATTTAATTAAAATTATATCGAATAAACTAAATCCTAAGAATATTAATTTATTTTTCAATTCTGTAAATATTTTATTTAAGTTTTGTTAGAAATATTGTTAGTTCCCATTATTACTTTACTCTTAAAATTTTTTTAATTCACCAGATAATTTAACTAGAACATATACTCGACATTTGTTATTATAAATTTTAAAAATAACTCTAGAATCAAAACAAAAGCAAATTCTAATAAAGTACTTGTAATCTTATCCTTTTTTACAAGTTTTAACTAATCATATGTAATTTATGAAAGATTTGTTCTTAAAATGCTAAGAAAAAGATGATGAATATGATCAAGAGATAAAAATCATGAATTATTTCTTTAAGGATCTTTCAGAAATTGCTCCTGAATTGAAATACGTAAAAGCTTCCATATTTTTAAGATTTTAGATAATTTATTCTTGTAGATTTTGATTTTACCATTTTATAAAGATTTAGCAAATATTGATGATAATAGGAAAACTTTATGCTTTTAAATTATTTTACATTTTCTATAAAACGAAATTTATAAAAGTGAAAGATTGTCTTTTGGAATTTTAGCATTAATTTTTTCTCATGAAATACCATAAATTTAAACATTTGAATTTGAACCAAATTACCTTCCTGTTAATGATTCAGATTTAAAAGATATTTGCTCCCAATTTTTTTAATAATAATAAGAAGTACCATTATTTGTATCTAAATCAGTATTTTTGGAAAAAATTAATTACTCTTTATCATTTATTCCATATTTAATAAATTATTAATCTATAAATCCCTTGTCAAAACAATAATAATTTGAAAATTTATTAAAAAATGATATGATAACTAATTTATAGATGGCTAGCTAAATGAAAAATAAGTATCAATATAACGTATATAATATATATGCTTAAATGGATTCTTTAAATTCTAAGCATTATTATTAAGTATTGAATATCTTGGATATTTTAGTGGAGAATAGACATATCTATTAAATGACTTTGGCACAAAAGATAATATTTCTTATAAATTTAGTAAACATTATGATTAATGAATAAGAGAAAGAATTAAATACAATTGAGAATTGTAAGAAAACAGTTAAAATAGTGAAGGAATTACTTTCAAAACACGAAAAACAATTTACAAAGGCTTTTATAAGATCTAATATTTTAAAGAAAATGGAAATTCATTTTTTAAAATTAGAGAATCTTTATTATAAATACTTTTTAAAAATTTAATAATGTATAGAAGATGAAAATATTGAAGTATTTATCAAAAAATCAGAAACACATCAAATAATAAGATTTTTGTTGTTGTTAAATGTGATTTTTGAAAAGGGATGGTTAATAAATACATTTAAATAGCTTAATTATAATTTAGATTTTGAAGAAAAGACATATAAAAATGGAGAGATAAAATTAGTAAATTGTCAAGCAATTATTGAAGATGATATTTATAATATAGAAGGATTAGAAGTAGAATATGATGAAAAAGAAGATTAAATAATTTTGGTGGATGTGCTTGATGAAAAGAAAATTTAAAATTTTAATGATAAGACTGAGTTGGAAGATTTTTGTAGAGAATTAAAGATAAGATAATAAGCTTAAGAACAACACTTTATTCCAGAAATATTAAAACAATTAGAAAAATTATACTTATGAATTTATATAATTTAATATTTTAATAATAAAATAATTTTTAATTATGATGATCTCAACAATATTAAGCTAATATGATCATTTTATGATTATAGATATTGGAGCTGATCTGATAAGGTATATAAAATGAAATGAAAATGATGATTTAATTATTTTGATTGCTGATGCAATAAATGATTACAAATTATTGGAGCTGTCTGACAATATATAAAATAATCAAACCCATATTTTAATATAAAATAATTATAGTAAATTATATAAAATAAAATAAGTTTCTACTTATATTGAATAATTATCACAGTGCATAGTTCTGTAGAATATAAATATTATATATATATTATGATGAATCGATGACGAGTATGAGGGAATAAATAGACATCCATCTATTATTCCTGCATAAATGATTATTTGAGGCATTTGTCTGAAAAAATATAGAAATTGAATTAAATGAAGATATATATGCCGCCCCAGTCTTAAAGACTCTGATGATACGGCTCATGACAGATTTATTATTAAAAATTTATTAAAGTGATGTAGAAATATTTGCTACTCTTGAAATAGCATGATGATACAACCACCAAGATCTCTGATTCAGAATAAAATTATTATATATATATGTGATGATTTTGTAGTCCATGATTTATCATGATTTCAATCTTTCGCTCCTATCTGATATAAATAACAATTATAATTATAATTATAAAATATGATGACAATTAAGTACTAGAGTCTATGACTTCAATATGAACTACAACCCTTGGCTGTCTGATATTATATAATATTATATATATATATTTATGATGATAACTGACACCTCTTGATTGAGCCTATTGGCGTTGATCGGAAATCATTATCTGAATTCTTTTTAACAGAATCATTTAATTTCAATTTAATATTGACTTATGAATTTGAATGTAAAAGGTAATTTTTTTAATGTTTATTAATTCAAAATATTGAGATATTCAGATAAGATACTCACTCATAAAAAATATCTTTAAAATTTGATAAATATTATTAAATCTCTGTAATCTTTTGTCTATTATTTATTAGAATGAGAAAATCAATTACTAGAATAAAGATAACAATCTATTTAAATAAAAGGTAAACTAAAATAAAAACGACATAGATGAATTAAAATAATTTGATTAATATTTTCAATCAAAATATAGACATTTAGTCAAATATATAAGAGTAATTATGTTCAGAATATAGAACAGCAGGTTTTAGATGATTCTTCAGTTAACTAATTATATCTTTTCCAATTTTCAACAACATGTATATCTGCTATTTTCTTTCCTTTTTGACACTCATCTCTAAATACAACTCTGTGTACTTTTGTTTTCTTAAGGATTGGAATATTAAATTTATCTAATCTAATTTATATTTTGTTTGCTGCAGTTGGTTCTGAGTTGTAGGTATCATCTGGATTATTTAGTTTAGATTACATTAAAAATTAAATAAAATATGAATATTATAAACAATGTTCAAGAATAAATAATCATTTATTATAAGAAGTGGTAAACCTTAGTTACTTAAAAACACTCTTTAAAAAATTTATGTAAGAAAGCTAAAGATGAAATCACATAAATTGCAAAACAAATTATCTTAACAATACTAATAGCATAAATTTAAATAGAAACTAATTAAAGTTGCCCAATTTGTTTGAATGAGAATCTTCTTATCAAAGGGGTTTAATCAGAATAATGTAAACATTCATTTTGTATTGGATGTATCAATGACTATTGGCAACATAATCAAAAAAAATAGTTAAAATGCCCATGTTGTAGAGCCAAAATTAGTACTTTTGCTAAATCCAAAAAACTCTAAGACTAGTTTTAGTAAGAATGTAATTCATTTATTTTGGAATACAGAGTTCGTTGCACAGTCTTAAAATATAACATCATTTATGTATTTTTTTTAGAAATATAACTTAGCCATTTTAAATTGTAGCAAATATATATAAGCATTTAGGATAATTATTTAATCTATGCAAAATTTTATTTAAATTGTCTATCTAATTATAACTTGTTTTATGTTTTATATTGTTTGTTTATGTGTTATCACCTATTGATTTATTCCCAGAAGCTATATTTGGAGTATTAGGATTAGTAGATGATCTCTTGTGCATAATATTTATAGTTTGGATACTTATTACTCAAATCATGATGAGAATATTTTTTTGATTCAAATTATAAATTTAATTAAAAATTTCCTATTTATAATCACCTAGCTTTCCTTATCATAATAATTAAATATATTTAATATTATTGAAAAATATTTATATTTAAGCATATGTATGTTATTTTTTCATCTAAGATTTATATTAAAATGAGGATTATAAATATCAAATTCTTTAAATCAAATTCATCTAATCCAATTTTTAATTAAACTTAAGAAAATATCAATTCATTTTCTAATATCTTTTTAGGATGTCTCTAATAATTAGAACTTTTAGATATAAACTAAATCTAAACCATTTGAAGGAAAGATTTATTATGATTATTTTTAAGTTTTTGCATTCATAAATTTTTTATTTTTAAAATTACTTTAAATATTACAGATTTTCTAAATTAATGCAGATTTTTTATCAATTGAAACAAATAATCCAACATAGACTGTTTTTAATTAAAATTGTAATTTTTAATAAAGAAAGAATAGATATTGTAAAGAACCATTTTTCGTTTTGTTTGAAAAATAAAAATAATAAAATTCTAAATTATTTGAATAAATAAAGATTAAAATGTTGGCTAAGTTTAGATTTATATATCTATATTATTATATAAATTAGAATACACAAAATAATTTTAAATATTTCTAGTTAATTTTTACTGTTAATTAATTATGAATTATCTAAACATCATTGAGTAATCTCAAATAGATAAATTGAAAGCTTAACTTGAGAAAAAAGAATGTAATAATATATGTATATATAAATAGAAACAATATCAACATTGTAAACAATAATTGAATCCCAAAAAGAACAAATTAATTAGTATTAACATGAAAAATAATAATTAGTTAAAAATATTCAATAACAAGTTTAACAAAAGTTTTAAGATGATTTAAATTTTGAAAATATCATCAGAAAATTAAAATAGGATTTAGAATAGAAATCAATAGAATTCGAATAAATGTCTATGAGATTGAATTAAAATGACCCAGGTTTTTTATTGATGAAATTAAAAAATGAAGCAGAAGAACCATATAGGATTGAAATATTATAAAAAGAGCAATAAATTGATGAATTAAAAAGACTTATTGTATAATTAAAAAATCAGTTGTAATTGCAAGTTGAAAGGAATAAGGCAATTCAAATTGGAAATTAAAATGAATTGACATAGTTAAAGGAAAAATATGAATCAAATTTAGGAGTTGATAAACTGTAATTAAGATAAGTAAAGGAACTTAATTAATTAAATGAGAGAGATCAATAATAAATAAAAGAATTATTGAAGGATAAAGAATAGTTGTAAATTTAATTAACACAAAAAGAGAATATAATAAAAGAATTAAGATTTTAGAATGAATAACTTCATAAAAGTAAATTGTAAATAATTGAAACTTTAACTCAAGAATTGGAAATAGAGAGAATCAATAGAAGAAAATTATAATAAGAGAATGATGATTTAGAATCAGCTTTAAGTAACATTAGATTGACAATGAAGGTTAATTATAATACAAATGTGAAAAGTGATGGTACAACTATTAAAGATTAAGAGTTTATTGATCTATAAAATAGATTAAATGAATATATTAGATTATTTGAAGATGAAAAAGATTAGAAAAAGAAATTATCTCAAAAATTAAATGATATTATAATATAGACAAAATAAGAAAAGTAGGATAGCGATAAAATATATGAAAATAGAATAAAGGATTTATAAGAATAGATAAAAGAAGAAAAAGGTATGAAATCTAAATAATCGATGAAAATTAAGGATTTATATGCTGATATAGAAGAAATGAAACATGAATTAAATCTTTTAAGAGACAATTAAGCAAGAATAGAAGAAAGAGCAAAAGAAGTTGAAGTTAGAGAAAGAAAAGTAATTGAAAGAGATATGAAATTGAATGAATTATAAAAAGAATTTGATTTAAAAAAGCCTCCTGAAGAATTGATGTATGATAATAAGAAGATTAAGACAAAATATAAATAAGCAAAGAAAAAGCTTATTGAAGCAAATTAAAAAATAGTAGTTCTATTAACAAAACTTAAAGATAATGAGTAAAATGTTGAAAATTCAACTTCTAATAATAAGAATATTTTTGAAGGAAAGAGTACATATAATAAATAAGGTTATACAAATACTGATTAATAAAGAAAATAAATGGAAAGATAGGTTTTCAAAGATTAATCTTATGAGGGATATTATGATTTACCTTAAGATGCAGATTATTTAGGTAATCCTTACCAAACTGAATTTCAAATGGATAGAATTTCTTAAAGATTAAGAGAAGACATTATTAAATAAAAAAATAGTTTAGAAACTCTTGAACATAAATATAATATATTAAAATGATGATTTTATATATTAATTTTATTTATATTCTATATCAGTATTATTCAGAACTCTAATCAGAATTAATTATCCTTGATGAATATATATTGAAGTATTATATAATATTAATATTAATGGATTCTAGATAATCAAAAGTAATAGAGAAGATTGAAAAAGCTGGCTTACTCGAGAAGCATAACCAGCTAATTACTTAAGGTTGCACTAATCCCTGGTTCAATTATAAACTTTTGAAAGAGTATGATGGAAATCTTGATTAAGTTATTGTAGTTTACAATTAACATAAAAAGAATTAAGATGAATAGAGTGCTAAAGCATTAAAAATCATAGAAACTATGGGTTGGTTAAATAAAAATTAGGAACTTATGGAAAAAGGGTTCAATAAAATTAAACAAAATTTAAAAGCATTACTCAGAACTGAAGGAGATGTTGCTAAAAGCATTGAAAAATTAAGTAATAAGAAAGATCTAAAGACCGATTAACCAATAGAGTAAATTATAGAATAACATGGATTCAAAGTTTAATATGAAAAATTGAAAGAAATGGGATATGATAATGAAAAGAGAATTGTTAGATTGTTATTAAAATTCAATGGAAATTTGGAGTAAATTATTGATAAATTATTGAATGGAAAATAAGGAAAACATAGATAATGTATGAAAAGAGAAGGAAAATGTTAAAAAGATAAAACATCTTAAGAATTCTAAGAATTTAAATAGAAAAAGATAGAATTCAAAAAGAAGCTTCATCAGCTTGAGCAAAATGGAATTCATCGCCATAAGGCAGTGAAACTTTTGGCCATTTTGAATGGAGACACTGATGCTGTCATCAAATGGGTCAATTATGTTAAACCATAAGCCAAAGCTGAAACAGAAACTTAATAAGAACAATAAGTTCTTACTTAAGAATGAGTTTGAAAAAACTCAGAAAGTTAGGGAGGGAGGGTTGGATATATGATATATATATATACATATAAAAATATAAATATACAAATTATTTATTATTACCTAAAGCATAAATAGAAAATGATGTTTAACTAATATCAGATAAAATCATCTATCAAAGCTTTATTTTAATCTCCTAATTCACTTTTTTCAAATTTAATTTAAGTAGATGAATTAGAATGAGTTTGATTCTTGTTATATAAAGCACTTTCCTCTTATTCTTTAGGTTTACTTTAATGGATTTTTAATAAATCAGTTATTATTTATTATTATTTTTAATTCAATTAGGATATAAGTTATCGATGATGATTATTTAGTGGTTATTATTTTAATAAGCAATCATCTAATAAATAAAGAATTTGTTTTGTTTCATTTTGATGATCCATTCGTTGTTATATTTATAAAAGAAATAAATCTTCACTCTTTGAATATGTTTATCTTTTATCATTTAATCTAATCCTATCCTCTTTACTTAAATATTCTTTTAAAATTGATTATTTAGTGTTCTTTATTATTTAATTTATAAAGAAATCTTCATCTAATCCTTTTTATTTGAAATCATTTAAATATAAAGATCCAAGCAAAGCAACCATTTTCTCTAATTCAAAATAATCTCTAAATTTTAAAACATGATCATAAATAAAAATTAAACATTAAACCTAAATTAATATTATTATACATTCATAAAATTTATGAAAATATTTGACAACATTTTTTCTGCATACCTTTCTAAATATTTCCTAAAATAAAGCAAATCTGTTGGTTCAATTAAATAGTTTGTTTTCCCTATTTCTAAAAGAAAATCTATCTCAACATCTTTTATCTTTTCATTTTAATCTAGGAATCTTCCTAAACTAATTTCTTCTCTGAAACAATTAATAAAGTAAAAAACAAGTGGTTGTGAATGAAAATATAATAAAAAATATGTCATTTAAACTAAATTCTAGAATTAAACTTAATATTTTACTTATGTACATTTTAAATTAGGATTTTAATAAAGTAAACATTGTATTATAGATGATATATATATAACAGCCATGTTATCCATTAAATCTTTTGTTAAATAATAATCAAATTCTTTCATAGAGTAATTATACTAATTTTAAAGCTATTTAATTAGATTTAAAGAATACTTAAGTTAAAATTGTTGGAATATATTTTAATTCTTCAAATTTTGAAATAGATAAGTTCTTTTTACTTTAATCTAAAATCTTGTAATATTACTCAGTAAGATCTTGTTCTCGAGTACTAATTTATAATTATTGATACTTTTCATGACAATATCTAAGCCATTATTTAGTTATAAGGGAATTTTTGTTAAAAGATAATTATTCTTTAACAATGATATCTTGAACATAGAGTTATTCATCTCTACATATAATACAACATCTATGTTAAGTTTTGAGATCATAATCAACAATCTTATTTTATCTGAAATGATACAATCGCTTTAAACTTTCCACAATCACAACAAACTGCTCGCTGACATCTTTTACATTAATGTTATAATAATAATCTTATATATAAAACATAAATTACAAAGAGAAATTTCTCTAACAAATTTCACATTTTTATTGCTTTGGTCTTGGTAATGTTTTCTTGATTGTGGACATTTTTTTCTAATTTAATAATTTTATGTAAATTTAATATATATACACTAATTATAATATATTTCATAATTTAATCAAAATTCATAAAATTGAGGAATAGGATCATGATCATAAAAAGAGTTCTTTCTACTTAAATTAGGTGATTCTGCTATTATGAAATTATCCTCTAATTTATGGAAAGAAAATGGATCACTATAAACCATCAATTAATTGTCTTAATTTTTTTCTTCACTTTCTTATTCTAAATTTAATTTTTTAGTTATTGGATATTCTTCTTCAATACTAATTTCATCATCTTCATATTTAAAAATATTCTTTTTCTCTTATTTTTAATTATTAGTTACAGCATTGATTAGAATTTAGATTATTTGTGTTTTTGATAATTATTCTATTTATTATTCGAAATTTTATTTAAGTATTTATGATGGATATTAATCAAATGATGTTTTTTCATTTTCAAACATTTTTTGTTATTAAATATCATATAAATTATCTTCATCATTTTCACTAGTTTATTTTATCATTAATAGATTATTATTAGAAATATTTTTATGTTTTCCATTTTATTTGCTTCCTTACAATGTTTATAAAACCCATTTCATTATTTATTCATCTGAATTCTCATTTTTATGCCTCTTTATTAATATATTAGTACTTATTATTCAAAAATTTAGTCCACAAATATTTATTTTCTTTCATAATTTTCTCATTTTATTTAATTAGAATTTTCATTAGTTTTTCAAGTTCAGAATATTTATTCTACAATCTGGACATCTACATAGATATCTAATATAAATATAAACTATTACTTCTGGTATTTCTTAATTTCCATTTCTCATAATATCAGTTTTGATAAGAGTTAAAGAATTTTGTTCTTTCTAATCATTTGTTTTTCTTTTAATTTAGCTTAATTAATTTCTACATATATATCTAAAATTCTTACTTTTTTCCTCTTTAAAATAATTTATGTTTAAATTCATTTTCATAATTATCATGTCGAGTTTTATGAAAGTCATACATATTTAATTATCGAACGAAAGATGCAAAGTTACTATGTTTAAATGATTTAGGCAGAATAACATCTGAAAATTCATTAACTTTTTTAACTATAAATCCATTTCCTTCCTCATTCCAACTAATAACATCTTAATTACTAGGATTCTTATTATTACTAATAATTTTTACATCTATTATCTCATATGTTTTTAATAAAAATGCAGGTATAGAATCTCCATTACATTTTTAAGACCTTGATCTCTTTTTCTTAACTATTTATTACTCTATTAAATCAATTTACATATACTAAAAAAAATACAAATACTATTTTTAAATAAATTGTTAATATATATAATTCTATAAATAAAAAATGTTATATTTAAATTCGCAATGAAATATTATACAATGTAAAAATAATAATTTTAAATGAAACTTATTTATATTGATTAGATATTATAAAAAATACAATTTAAATGAAAATTTATAGCCTTCTATAATTTAGAATAACAGATCTGAATATAAACATCTTGTTTGTATTATATAGAGAAATATAAATTGATAAATAATTATGAATGTTTTATCTTTTATCTTATTAATTTAAGGTAAATAGCTATTAATATTTAATTATGATAAAACAAACAAAAGAGGGGGAACCAATATTTATTCCACCTGCTAAAATTTTACAAGAATTAAAATATTTGCATAAAGAATTACCAGCATTTTGTTATTCGTGGGCTTGGGAAGCTAGATGTGTTTGTGCTTTTGAAAAAGGAGAATTTATTGAAGCAATAAAAGAATTGAAAGTAGTGATTATTATAATGAAAAGTAAATTGGTTGTTAAAAACGATGTGAAGTATATGCAAAAAAGCCTATTTTAATTGGAAAGAGATTATTTAATGTAAGATTAATTTCATATGGGGCATCATCACCAAAAAAAATGTTTTTTGGTCCAAATCATTTAGCTCATGCATTTGATAAACTGATGTTTGATTACGTGTATATATTTTTAGAGACTCCCTAGAAAACAGCTAAAAAATTATAATTACTTATATAAAAAGCTGAAAGTATATAAAATAATAGGTATTTATTTTTTATTAATGTGAAGATAGATTATTAGTTTTAAGGAAAGCTACAAATAATTACGTGGAAAGGAATATGAAGAATAAAATATGGAAGAAGAATAGAATGAAGAATAAGATTGATATATAATCATAATAAGAAATTGTTTTTATATTTTTATATAAATTTATTTTGTTTATCTATTAAAATTTATATCTTAAATCTTCGAGGTTTCTGGAATAAATGGAATAATATTTAAATTATCTAATTATAAATGCCAATAAAATTAAAAATATAAGGACAATCGATAAGTGTAGATGAAAGATTTGCTAATGTGAGTAATTTTTTGAAAGAGGCTTGGCAACCAGATTTAGATGAAGTAAATATTTGTATAAAGTATTAGGAATTGATTTTATCAGAAACTTAAGTAACATTAAGAGCTTTCGAGGCCTTAAAAAGTTATTATGAATTCAATAGTTTTGAGCCTTAAATCATTGATGCTATTTGTATATATTTCTTATTATTATATTAGCTAATGATCCAAATACATGCTTTTTAAATGAATTTAATAGAGAATTAATAATGAAATATAATGTATTTGAGGGAAATGAATTGTAAGAATTAATACAAGCTGCCATTTATTTATAGACTGTTGCATTTAAAAGTATGATAATTTATTTTATCAGAGAATTATGTTTAGCTAGGATTGCTATAGAATTTTATATTAATAAATAAGAACCAAATAAATCATTTAATGAATTAAAAAATAGATTTAATTTGAAAAATACAGCACTTACTTTAGGTGATGTTGAAAGATTTAAGTAAGTTTATCCAACAATCGTGAATAAATATAATTGATTCATATAAAGGAACAATATATATCATATCATTTATAAGTTGATTTAAATATTAATGATGATCCGATTATACTTTTTGGAGTTATTGGATTAGTCTTAAACTTTCTCTATTTTAAGTTATCTTAAAAAAATACTTTAATTTATCTTAATTTGATTAATGACTTAAAATTTTGGATGATAACTTTCTTTTCAAATCCATGTCCTCTATCACTTAAAATATCACAATATTTTTATTATTCTGATGGTATTCTAGCAGTATTTGAAATATTATTTTATGGATTGATTATTTTCTATCTTTCAGATTCTAAATAATTTTCTTCATTAACATCTTGTTGAATTCTTCTTGAACTTCCAATAGTGCTTGTAAAAGAATTACGTTTTGTCGTTTTTGTTTTAAAATTAACTTAAACTTAAGCTCTTGATTCAGTATCGGTTCTTAAAGAGATTTTCTTTTAAGACAATTCAATACTCAATTTGCTTTTATAATTTTGTTACATTAAAGGTGAATCATTATAAGAGAATTTAGATCTTTTAGGAATATATGTTATTGAATGTATTAATTCAATCATAGTATGAATATGATTGGAATAGTAATCAGATGCTTTTAAATATAATTTTATAAAAGTAGTTCCAGTTTATAAATATTGATTTAGTGCATCTTCATTTACATATAATTTTAAAATAATACTCTAAGTAGAAGATATATATATATATATACATTTTGTATTTAACGATAAAGATCTGGTTAAATTGAAGTTAAGGGATTGCTTAAAAATTAATATAAAGAGAGTGAATAATGTCCGATATATGTATTAGCACAAAAGTTTTTAATTTTACTATCAATTTAAGAAGACTTTAAATCAATAGCCATTCTTTTTTGATGGATGGCTTAAAAAATATCATTGAATCTATAAATTAATAATAAATAGATATATATATATACCTTTTAATAGCATTAAATAGATTACCAAAGACTTTTATAATGAATGATTCTGCTTTATGTAATAAATTTTATTTGAAATTATTTTATGATTATTTCATAGTTAAAAATGCCATTAATTTTTAGACATCTTAAAATTTAGATTCAGATTCTTCGTCATCATCATAAATATAAAATCTTTCACATAAATCTTTTAATTCTTTGAGTTCTTATTATAATTCTTATTTTTCTTCCATTAATCCTAAACCAATAGAAGATTCACTATCAATTTAAACTTAATATTTTCTATATTATTATATGAGATTCTCAACCAAAAATGAAACTCCAAATGGATGATTATGCATAAAATCAGAAATTTCTTTATTACAATCTAATTTATTAATATCTTCTGTTAAAAATTCCTCATTAATTTATTCTTCAAATGATAAATACATTCTTATAAATTATGATATAATATTATACCTTTCTAATTTTTATAAGACCTATAAATCTATCACTACTTTTCTCTACTCATGTAATTTAAATATGTTAGTCTCATGCTATTCATTTAATTATTATATAGTTTTTTCTTATTCAGCTAATGTTTATTAAGCTTACTTATAAAATTTTGTAAAATACTTTTATTTTTTGCAATAAACTATAATAGTTTTATTATGACTATTAAGTTTCATTCTTAACCTTCTCCAAATTATCTAATGCTTCAACCTTCTTATTTTCTAATTACTTTATATATTCATCGTAACTTTATTTATATTTACTATAACTCAAGTAACTTAATTTCTTTGTCTATAAACTCTCTCTATATTCAATTGGTAAATCTTAATAAAAACTATTAATCAATCTCAATTACTCTTCTAAATCATTAATATACTTTTGTCTCAATAACTAATTATATTACAATTACCATACAATTGAATAGAGTGTTCTATCCAAATCTATCTCTAAATATTGCCTTTATTCTAATGCATTCTCTATCTCTTCTATATGCAATAATTATTTCTCTTATTTTATCTAATATTAAATTTCCTCTTTTCTTAATCTTGCAATCTAATCTCTTTTAGAATTATTGTTGAAATGCAATTCATTGTAAATTTATTCAATCTTTAAGATTAAAATCCATTTATACATAAGAATGTGAAAATGCTGAACTCTCTATATTGCATTAAGTCAAAAATTCATTCTCTAATTCATTCATAATTTATGAATATTAAATAATAACTCCTCAAATAGTAAATTCCATCCTATTAGCATTCAGAAGGAACTTGTTTCTGTTCACTTTGTTTGTGTAGTAATTGCTATTGCAAACAAAAGCCTTAACAAACACATTACATTAATGAACCTAAATCTGTCTATAATATCGATTTTGATTCTAGAAAAACACCTATCAAACATTCTAGATTACCCAATTAGAATTATTAAGGTCGCTAGAAGGCTTTATCATTACATTCTGTGTATAATGATGATTTTGATAAAAAACAGTTGAATAAATCATTCATTGATAATACACAATATCCATAGAATAATTCTTTCAGTATTCCTTTTTGTGGATGCAATTCATATGCACTACAATTCCCAGCTAAAAATTATTTGCCTCCTTAATCTTTAAGACCATTAAATTAAATTTAATTACTACCTGCTAAATTAGACATGAAATCAAGTTATCAAAGAGAACATATACATCATAAATAAGATTAAGATAAAATCATTAATTTTTCTAAAATTGCAAATTAAAGATTACATACCAATTCTAAAGAAAAAAATATCTACTTAAACTCTAGTTATTAAGAGTAATTCAAAGGATAAACTGCCAAAAGAGTTTAAAAATTACCAATTCAATCAACTTACTTACCTTTTGGTTTTAGTAATCGAGGAATCAACCTTTATCTTAGTACAAATAAAAAAGATTTTGAAACATAAAAATTATATCAATGCGAAGCTGATTTGAAATTACAAGAATTAAGTAATATAATATTGTAAGAAAAATGAAAGCATTATATAACCAAATATTGAATATCTTTTTATAAAATTTATTTTAATTACATTGAAATGCTTGAATCTAGAGATGATCTCTAATTAAACTTTCACTATATCAATCTTTATGTTAATAAAATTATCAATTAAATTATTGTTTAAATATTTTGATTTTTATATTGATATGTGTAATAATAAATTCTCTAACTTAATATCAGATATAATTCTTTTTTTTACTTGATTAAACTTCAGAATAAATAAATTCAATAAATTTATACTATTAGCTTTGAAATGTATAAAATGAATTGACAAGAATTCTTAAAAATTGGATATAGATTAAAGTAACTTAGTTTAATATTGATTTTTACCTTTTCCAATTACAAATATTTCTTTTTAAACTTAATAATTTAATATTATAAAATATTATTCTGTCTCACAAAATGCAGTAGATCAGATTAATCTATCAATTCTCTTTCATCAAAATAATCTTCTTCCTGTAACTAATTCACTTTCAATAAATTAATTTAAAAATTGATTAACTTTTTATTATTTTCATTCAGAAGAGTTCTATAAATTTCATGAATTCAATCTAAATATTCCCCAATAGATTGTCCATAAATAATTGAATAGAAGTTATTCTATTTTATTTAAAGAATATATCAATACTAACTTATTCTGATCTTCCCCTAAATGAATGATATTATGAATAAATTTTTATGATATATATTTCGTATTGTATATGTTATATGCATTTTTATAAAAGTACTATCATATATTAAATTTAGAGATTTTATATATATCTGATATTTTAAATAGTTAATTAAAGAATCTGTAGATTAAAATACCATATTAATTTGTGTTGTTCAATCTAACTAAAGTTTTTGCAATATAATTACTGTAATTTCTCTAAGTTATAGCAGATGATAATGAAACATGTATGATTATTTAATTAATCTATGTTTTGAGTAAGAAAGTAAATGATATATAATGAAGTTAAGAACTAATCTTTTTCTTGATAAATTAATTGATAAATTAATCTGATCATAAATATAGTTTATATCATAAATAATTTTTTAAGAGTGTTCTCATATATTGTAATAGAATGTTATGCTTTAATGGTGATATTGAAGCAATTTTATAATATTGAAATTTTATTTATTTTTTGTTTAATTAATGGATACACCAAACATGTAAAAGATTATTATATATTTAAGATAAGCAGCTGGAGCTAGACCAAATAAGCAAACATTTGATTAAGCTCCTCCTACTAGACAAGTGTAAATATGCATTTTTATTTAGAATTCAAAATAAATCTGATATTTTTGGAGTCAATGCTCCTACAATTGCTCCATAACCATCTAGATAAAGTGTAAGACCTAAGACTGATATTTTTAGCAATGAATGTCAACCATAAAAATAATAAGAAGTATTAGACTTATTATATGCATATTAGGTGAGATAAAACAAAACTTTTTAATCATAAATATTTTCATAAGAAGTTGTTTAAAATACATAACCACCTCCTGCTCGCTCTAATTAAACATTTGAAAATTCTTAATAAGAAGTTAAAAGATTTTAAAAAAAAAATAATGACAATAAATAAGTTGATCATGGTAAAGATTTTTTATTTGGAAAGAGTGGTAATAATTATAATTATAATATATTAAAGATTTTGATGAATATAAATCATTAAAAAGAGCAGCAACTTTAAGTGAATTCAAACCTAAATTAAATTATGATCCATAGAATAGAAGAAATAAAGAACTTTATGGTAATGAAATAGCACGTGAACATCTACCTACTAAAGAAGTTAATTTAGAGACTTCTAGTCCATAAAAATAAAAAAAATAAACTTAATAACAATAAGAATAGAATCCAACTAATAGAAAATTAATGGAAAATCAATCAAGTGTTTTTGGAGATTCTCCAACGTATAGCTTATTATTCTATTTACAGTAAGGTTGTAGCAAATCAAAAAGTTGAAAAATTGACTGCTTCCACATAAAAATGGAGTACTGTTGGAGGATAAAGCAATAATCTAGCCAAAGAATTTGATCCTGAAACATATGCTAAAAATAAAAAAGAAGCTGAATTATAATCCACTGTCTTTGGAGAATAACCAATAAAAGTTTAACCAGTTATAATTTAAGAATAAAAAGATGAATCTGAAACTTAATAAAGTAGTATTATTTTATTCTAAATAGATCAATAATAATAATAATAATAAAAAGTCTAAAAACCAAAAGAAAGATTAATACCTAATAATTAAACATGGTAATAGACTGATTCTGTTAAAAATATGAGAGATTTTGATCCTACATAATCATAAATTAAAGAAGATGTTGAACCATCATAAAAGAAAATGGATGCACTAAAGTCAACCTTAGATACTCATTAATTTGAAGCATAATAAATACCAGCTAACCAAAAAATATCAAATAAAAGTCTTAAAGTATAAATAAATCTATCTAAAGTAAAAAAAAGACATAATTTAAAGAGAGGAGAAAGTAGCCAAAGAGAAAACAACAACAAAAACATAACCAAAGAAAAAATGATATATTTATATCATATCATATAGTATTGGAAATATATTATATTATTTTACATTAAAAGAAAGAATTTTTTATTAATTATTTTTGTATATACATCATTATCAACGTTTTTTATTTCTTTTTATTTTTCTCATATCATTTACATCATTCGGATTTAATCTTCCATAACCAACTGTGATTTTTTGTTATGGATGTTTATAATCAACATCTTCGAAGCCAATTCCATTTTCATAAGTTTTCATTACTTTCTTGTATCTGATTTCTTCTTATTTTCTCTAAATGAAATGAATTCGATATTTACTTATCGAGCTAGTTATTACTGGATTCCGCTCTTCATTAATTAATCTTGACAAAAGATAAATGGAGCATCTTTTTTGGTTAGATTTTAAGGGATCGAATACTAAAAGATAGTAATTATATAAGTATACTTATGTTCCTCTAAGATTTACTTTGAAATTCTTTTTTCTATATAAAATAATAGTTCCATCTGATTCTAATGAACATGAAACTTTAAGCAAGGAATTATTTCCACAATTAGTACAAAAGAGTTTTGTAGAATCTCTAACTAATGTTTTACAGATGTGGCATTCTAAAATAAACCTTCTTGCACTTTTGATCATATATCCTTCAGTGGATAAGACAGGTACACCCATTTATAATAGTACATTCTAAAATATAATATAAAAATAACTTGCATAGCAAAATCAGTAGTTAAAAGAGCAAGTCCAAATTAATTAACTTGATTTTCTTATGGGTTGATTTGTATTTCATTTAATTTTTCATGAATATTTTAATTATTGATCCATTCTTCTTCATTTTCATCTTCAGATGAATCTTCATCTTCATCTTGTCCATTTTCAATTTATTTTTCTTGTTATTTAGTTTATTATGTTGAATTAGATTAAGAATAATGATTATAATATTTTTTCTTCGGTACAACTTCTTCCCAACCGTCAGAATCATCATCATAATCATTTTAATTATTTTAATTATTCTCTTGTTTTTTCGGTTCTTGTGGTTCTTCTAATTTATTTTATTCTTATTTATTTTAATCTTATAAATCTTTTTCATTTTAAATATCTGCTTCTATTTATTTATCTTATTCTATTAATTATTAATGTTTAGATCCATATAGATTCTTAATTTTATTAAACTCTAATGGTTTAAGTGGTTCTAATTTTAATTTGTCTTTTTAACCATTTTCTTCTATTAAAGTACAAGCTAAAGCAATTAATTCAATATCAATAGGAGATAATGATGCTATATCTGATGTTTAGGTTGCAAATTGTTTAACAAGTTTAATCATTTTTTCTGATGGTGTTAAGAAAGTGAGAGGGTAAGTAAAATTTAATAATTTTAATCTAGCTCTTTCATCTCGAACTTCAGTAAGAATAGCTTAATGAGTTATGAATGTGTAATGTTCTGAAAGATGTTGAAAATTGATTTCTTTAATAAATGCATTGGCATCCAATATTAATTTATTCATTTATTTTAATTTAAAAAAATAAAAGATGTCTGAACCATAAGTATATAAATAAATTAATTAGGTTATATTCAATGTAGGTAAAAATGAATAAGGTAATCCAAGTTAAAATTACAAGAAGATTGTTAAAAAGTATAAGGGTTAATATAAAGTAAGTTATGAATTTTGAATTAATTAGTTTGGGTTAAATAAAGATGACTTAGTTATAGATAAAATAAGAAATGCTAATTTATTAATATTTGGTGGATCTAGAGCTCCTTTTACTGAGAAAGGTATTTAATAATAATTATTGATTTGTTAGAAATAAAATGTCTTGAAGAATATTTAATAAGTGGAGGCAATTTATTAATCTTATTCTCTGATGGAGGTGAGAGTAAGTCTACTAGCAACTTGAATGCATTCATAGAGAAATTTGGAATCTATGTGAACAATGATTGTGTTGTGAGAACATGCTATTTTAAATACTTTCATCCTAAAGAAGCATATATTCAATAAGGAGTTATTAATTAAGAAGTTTGAAAATGATTATTCTATAAAAGATAGTTCGAGTGATAAATGGTGAATAAAGAGAAGCTAGAAAAAACAAAGCATCGACACCATACTTATAAGGAGTGATTGAAATGGAAGATACTGAAATTAATAATCAAAGTGGTTTAGATTTCGTTTATCCTAATGGAGCCACTTTAATTGTTAAAGATAAAGCCTTTCCTATCTTATCTACTGGTCCTATGTCTTATCCATGTGAAAAACCAATCATGGCCATTAATTAAGATAAGGGTAAACTTGTAGTCATAGGTTCTACTGATATTTTTAATGATGAATATTTTGAAAAAGATGATAATCAAAAGATTTTTGATTTTATTTTAAAATTCTTTTTCACTAAAGAAGTTGAATTTGATAAGAAAACTCCATTTGTTGAAAATGATTGTAAAAATGCTCCAGATATTGCTGAATTATCTGATAAACTTAAAAGTTGTTTATAAGAAAGTGAAGAATTACCTAAAGATGTTACAACATTGTTTGATTCTACTTTATTCAAATTTGATCTTGATCTCATTCCAGATGCTGTTAAACTTTATGAAACTCTTTGTAATTTTATCTCTTATTTTAGAGGTCAAACATGAACCACTTACTCTTATTGTTCCATAATTTGAAACGCCATTATTAGGATTATAACCAGCTGTTTTCCCTCCTATTCCTAGAGAATTACCTCCTCCTCCACTTGAATTATTTGATTTAGATGAAGAATTTGCATCTGAAAAGTAATTCAAATTTATATCTCTTTTCTAGAGTTCGATTAGCTTAATTGACTAACAAATGCACTAATGAAGATCTAGAATATTATGTTAAAGAAGCTGGAGATATTATTGGAATCACAGATAAATTAAAAAATAGACAAAAAGCATAATCAGTAATTCATTATGTTCTAGAAAATTTAATCAATTTTAAAAAATTAAATTAAGGTTGATCTTTATTAATAAATAAATATAGTCACATCTATTTTATATCTTTTTTGTTTATTTAACAATACTTTTTTGTATATTTATATCTAATTATATAAAATTAATTCATAGTTTTCTACATGAAAACTTTTTGTTTGTTGAATTTAAATCAACCTTATTCAATGATGATGTTCTTATATGTTACTATGAAAAATTCGAATGCTCTAAACGAAATTACAATTTATTCCATAAATCTTCTATCAAATTATACATTCTTGTATTCTATTTTATTAATTTAAGCATCTCATTGCTTTTTATTGCTCTATAAAGAATGTTTGATACTAATTGCAATGAATCTTAAGTAGATAACAATTCTGGCTCAATCATTTAATCATTTTATAGAATTTTTATTTATTCCATAAGCTAAAACATATTTTATCAAAATACTTACTTCTTTCAATTTTATATTGTGATGCTTCTTCATATTAATTATTTCTTCTTTTATATCCTAAATATTAATCCAATCTTAAATCACTTATAATCTATCATTTTTATTAATCTTTATCACTTCTTTCAAAGCTAAAACAATATTCTCCTATTCAACTTATGATAGTTAAGCCAAAAACAATTAAATTGAATTATTACCTTCTAAATTATTCAGTTGTTATTATTTATTGTATAATTATTATAACTCACTTGTTAATTGTTTTATTTACCAATTTTATTGTTACATTGTCTATTAATAAAATTATTCTTTATCATTTTACTCATTAATTAACTCATTTATTTTGTTTTTCTATGCATTTATTTCTATTTCATATGATTTATTTTAAGAAATTAATAATCCATTTTCTTTTTTTATTGTTTTAATCTAATTAAATATCTCTTCCTTTTATAATTGTAACTACATGACATTTTCTTATAAAATCTCTAACTTTGGTTTGGGTAGAATTTCAGTTTATATTTCTTTGTTTTGTTAATTTATTTGGATTTTATTTAAAGATTAACTAAAAATATCTTTTTTTGGTAAAGCAAATGCAGATACTTCCTCATAATAACCTTAATATTATCTACTATCTGCTGTAGTGATACTATACATATCTGTTGAACTTTTGGATCTATTTTGTCTTGAAAGATCTTAAATTTATGATAATTCTTATTGAAAATATTCTAATCTTTTAACCTATTCTCTAATTTTAGGTTTTTAAGTTTGAAAACTGAAAATCATTTGCTTATCCATATTATTCAAATTTTAACAGTAATATATTGATTTAATTTTTTTATAATTATATAATTTATTTTCATTCACCACTATAGCAAAAACAAAATAATTAGTTGTTTTATTTTTTCTTCTTTGAAACAGTGATTTCAAAGCGCTATTCTTTCTATAGAGAATTATTATAAGATATTTGAAACTCCTTTTTTTTTGAAGGTATAGAATTGCGAGTTATAAATTTAACTTTGAGAGCAAAAGTGCATTAATTGCAATCCTTTAGGGAAAGTTCATTCCTAAAAGCTAATTACAATTATTATTATTAAAATACATGGAAAATCTTCATTAGGTTTTCCGAACTTTTTCTTAGGTAAATNTGGCTCAATCATTTAATCATTTTATAGAATTTTTATTTATTCCATAAGCTAAAACATATTTTATCAAAATACTTACTTCTTTCAATTTTATATTGTGATGCTTCTTCATATTAATTATTTCTTCTTTTATATCCTAAATATTAATCCAATCTTAAATCACTTATAATCTATCATTTTTATTAATCTTTATCACTTCTTTCAAAGCTAAAACAATATTCTCCTATTCAACTTATGATAGTTAAGCCAAAAACAATTAAATTGAATTATTACCTTCTAAATTATTCAGTTGTTATTATTTATTGTATAATTATTATAACTCACTTGTTAATTGTTTTATTTACCAATTTTATTGTTACATTGTCTATTAATAAAATTATTCTTTATCATTTTACTCATTAATTAACTCATTTATTTTGTTTTTCTATGCATTTATTTCTATTTCATATGATTTATTTTAAGAAATTAATAATCCATTTTCTTTTTTTATTGTTTTAATCTAATTAAATATCTCTTCCTTTTATAATTGTAACTACATGACATTTTCTTATAAAATCTCTAACTTTGGTTTGGGTAGAATTTCAGTTTATATTTCTTTGTTTTGTTAATTTATTTGGATTTTATTTAAAGATTAACTAAAAATATCTTTTTTTGGTAAAGCAAATGCAGATACTTCCTCATAATAACCTTAATATTATCTACTATCTGCTGTAGTGATACTATACATATCTGTTGAACTTTTGGATCTATTTTGTCTTGAAAGATCTTAAATTTATGATAATTCTTATTGAAAATATTCTAATCTTTTAACCTATTCTCTAATTTTAGGTTTTTAAGTTTGAAAACTGAAAATCATTTGCTTATCCATATTATTCAAATTTTAACAGTAATATATTGATTTAATTTTTTTATAATTATATAATTTATTTTCATTCACCACTATAGCAAAAACAAAATAATTAGTTGTTTTATTTTTTCTTCTTTGAAACAGTGATTTCAAAGCGCTATTCTTTCTATAGAGAATTATTATAAGATATTTGAAACTCCTTTTTTTTTGAAGGTATAGAATTGCGAGTTATAAATTTAACTTTGAGAGCAAAAGTGCATTAATTGCAATCCTTTAGGGAAAGTTCATTCCTAAAAGCTAATTACAATTATTATTATTAAAATACATGGAAAATCTTCATTAGGTTTTCCGAACTTTTTCTTAGGTAAATAAAATTAAGTTGATTATGCGTCAATTTATGGTAGATTTGTTTCTTTCCATTTGATGGTGAGCCAATTACTTATATCTCCCAAAGTTAAAGTTTCATTAAAATTTGAGGAGAATTCATAAGTTTTATCCTCAAATTAGTTATACCAAAAAATGGTGATTAATTTTGAAGTAGTTTTTGTTTTGGGTAATTTAAGTAAACTTATTTTTGGTTCAGGATTCCGATCTTTGGATAATATTGAATTTACTAGATTGTTGAAGAGATTTCAAGTTTATTGAAATATCTATGGACTCATCAATTTATTCTAACATAATATAATTAATTTAATGTCAGAAACTTCTTTTGGTGTAGTGTCTTTTACAATCCTATTAATTTTGTTTATATATGCAACAGCAGGATCATATTTTGAACATAAACATGTAAGATGAATTGATGATGAATAGATCCATTTTATACATGAGACAGGATTAGGAATTATTTTGGGAATAATAGCAGGAGGGATGTTTACATTGATTTATAGAGGAACATTGTATTATATTGTAAATAAAGTTAATAAACTAGTACGAATTTAATGAATCATTCTTCTTCTACATATTGTTACCAATTATCATATTTGCAGGTGGATACAATTTAAATAAAAGAAGGTATATATATTTATAAGAGAATAGATTCTTTTAAAATTTTTTATACATTAATTTATTTGGATTGTTTGGTACATTATTGACTTTCTTGTTGATAGTAAGCATGACATTTTTAATAAGTGATGGAGGTTTGAATAAATTTTTGATTCTATATAGATTTAATTAAAATTTGGGGAAGTGATACTACAATAAAATTAACAACAGAGTAAATAATGTTATTTTCAGCAACCATTTGTGCCACTGATTCTGTAGCAGCTTTGACAATGATAAAACCTAATAAATATCCTTAATTATTTAGTGTAGTATTTGGTGAGGGAATGGTTAATGATGCTGTTTCTATAATTCTATATATATCTGTAGATTTATTATCAGGGAAACATGATACAATATTTACAGTCTCATTAGAGTTCTGTTTTCTATTTATTTTGGAATTCTTTTGTAGTTTAGTAGTTGGGTTATTGTTTGGAGTATTGGCATCTATATTTTTCAAATATTTTAGATTCATAACAGAATCAGTAATATTAGAAATGGCAATAATAATATACATCGCATATGGTAGTTTCACAGTTTGTGAATTACTTGGTTTAAGTGGAGTTCTATCAGTGTTAGCTACTGGAGCTTTAATGGCTTATTACAATATATATAATTTATCCAATTTGGGATAGGTTGCATCAAAGTAAAAATGAGTATAGAATAATATAGAATTACTGTTTCAACACTTTCTTTAATATGCGAAGCCTTCATCTATATTTATTTAGGACTATCAATGTGGATATTATCAGGATATACTAATTCAGATGATGTGATAGAAAAACCAAAATGTAGTTGGACATTTTTGGTATTGGAATTATTGATTTGTTTTATTTCCAGGGGTATATCTATGGCAGTTCTATCAGGAATAGTTTATTTAATTAAGGGAAAGTAGAAATTTAAACTATCCCTTTAAGAACTTAATATTATTTGGTTTGCTGGATTAATTAGAGGATCAGTGGCATATGCTTTGATTACTAAATTATAAATCTCTAATTCTGATGAAAGGTATTAAGTAGAAGTCATAAAAACTACTGTCTTATTTATGGTTATCATTACTACTATCATCCTAGGAGCCATGATGCCATTTTATATAAAAATAAATTTACAAAAAAAAGTAGTAGATTTAAATAGTAAGTTATTAGATAATAATAATGAAATGGATAGTTAATATCATAGAGAAATTTAAAATAAATTTAAATATCTAGATGATCATTATTTTAAATATTGGATGATTTTTAATTATAAAAATAGAAAATCAGAGATTCTTCAATAGTAATAATAAAAATCACAAGATGAAGATAATTACAATAAGATTGGTTTAGTTTCATAGTTTCAATCAAAGTTTACAGGAAATTAAAATATAATATTTTATGTTTCAGCTAATAATAATAATAATAATAATAATTTTCGAACAGAATCCTTGATAGAAGGAATAGATGATTTAGATGAATAATCAAATTAACCAAATTTGATAACTTAGATATCTTAAAATAACAATGATTTATGATTTCATTTTTTTATCGTTAAATATTTATCTAACATTGCATATGCTCCTTCAGGATTATCAGTAGGAACCATATGTCCTGCTGTGTAAATGGTAGCATATATGAAATTATCATATTGTTTCCATGTTCCTTAAGTTTCATTGTCAACAACAATCATTTCTTTTTTAGTATTTTTCCAAAGTCCAATCTTCTCCCAATTCAATTAACTCATCCACATAACAGCTCCAGGAGTATTGACTATATAATCTAACTATCCATTGAATAGAAGCACTCTTATATTATATTTAAGTAGAATTTCAATATCACCCTTTCTACTTGTTGGAATATCTAAAGCAAATGCATCATAAGTAGGTCCATCACATCCTTCAAATACAGTTTTACTATTGGGTGCTTTAAATTAAGTCTTTAAATAAAAGTTCAAGAACTTCTCATGAGTTGTATCCTCTACATCTTATTCTTAGTATTTTCTGAAATTGTACACATTGATTCTTCCTGTCATATTTATTGTTTTATCATCAGATAAGAGATCGAATTATTGATATGCTAATTTCATATCTCCATCCAATATTGCATTTTGTCCTATGGCAATATCATCCTAGATTATTTTAAATTATCTCTCAGTTATTGTTCCAATTGTATATAAATATGAAGCATATTAAGAAAACTATTAAAATGGTTAGGTCCATCCATCTCCTATTGCTATCCCCTTAAAATTTACTATTGTTAGATTTTATCTTAATATTTATAATGATATTGCTGGTATATAATGTCCTGCAAAACTTTCTCCCATTATATACAATTATGTTCTCTATAGAATTGTGTGCTTATTATACAAAATTCTTAAGAAATTCACAAAGTATTTTGCAGCAGTCTCAGTATTTGAAACTACAAAACCATCTTTTGCTCCACTCATTCCTACTCTTAATGGTTAATCTACAAATAGTTGATGTGTCAATTTATTCCAAGAATATGGCTATTTCAATAGTAATTTATTATTACTCTCTCCACTACTTTAAATTTGTCCTTACTCTCCTCTATTATTTAATAAGGACCGATTTCTTAAAAGTTTCCATATTATGATGAACAACCTGGACCACCATTTAACCAAATTACTAAAATATCATCCTATTTTATTTAGTCTAAACTCATTGTTCCTTGCTTTAAAAACATATGGTAAAACATTTCTCCCATAGCTGTCTATCCATCTTCTAAGTCCTTTAATGTAACATATCCTGTTTCTATATATTATTTAGGTTCTGCACCCAATAATTATTTATAAAAATCTATGCAATTTATTCTAAACTATTTATACCTGTCTAAACTGTTGTTTATATATCACCTTAACAAACTACTAAACTAAACAATCCAATTAAAATAGATATCATTTATTATTTATTTATTTATTTATTTAAATTCTTAATATATAAATCTTATCTCTTACATCATTTATTTTGTAATAATCCATCCTAAATTATCAATATCCATATATAAATCATAATTTATCACTCCTAAAATGTAATTAATTACTCTAAATACAAATTCTCAATCATTTTACATGAAAATAAAATAATAAATGATGATCAGCAATCTAAATCATTAATTAATTTATCTATATAATTATCTGAACATATAATGCCTATTATAGACCTTCGAAAATAAATGCCATCATTAGATACATAGGAAATCTATTAACAATATTTATTTCCACGACCTTCATCTTAATATCGAATCATATCAAACACTTTTGCAATTGGATTCTGTGGATTTTTTTATGGGATTGCAAAAGCCTTATAAAAACATCAATCAAGATTAATCTATTCAAATTTATATTGTTTCTATGGATTATTAACAGGATTTACACATTAATTATTGAATGAAATTAGTACAGGTATATTAATAAGAAATTTTGGATTTGACTAGTATTGGGCATCAAATACAGTATCTGGAATAATTAATTGTGCAATAATTTATAGTGGAATGTAATTAAAAGCCAAGGAGAGTGGTTAATTGATCAAAGCATAAAAACTTGCTGGAGGGATTTGTTTATTTTCTATGTTTTTAGATCTACTAAGTTAGGTAGAAAGAAAAATGTTTTTAGAATATCTTGAAAAGAATGAAGTTACAAAGAAAAATTGAAAAGATTGTGTATATTAATTAATAGTATTTTTATTGGATAAATATATATTATTATTATTTACTTATACTAATGAAAGTTTAAGATGTTTCTGAGAAACAAGCAAAACCAATAGATTCACGATTAATGAATGGACCTTTGCCAGATCGTCATTGCACTGATATTATATGCTGTTTATTATTTATAGCATCATTCATTTTTATGTGGTAAGTTATTAATAATTATAATATAGGTATATTGCTATTACAGGATACTCATTAGGTAAACCAGAGAGAATATTAGCAGCTTATGATTCAGATGGTATTGTTATTTGTTAGATTTAGGCAATGCATGTGATTTGGATTTACCTGACTATCCATTATTATTCTTTCCTATCATTCATCCTGATTATTATAATAAGACAGTATGTGTAGAAAGATGTCCTGCAAATACATCAGATACTGTTAAATGTTAAACAAATAAAAATATCACAACCTGTCCTAGAGATTGTACAAAAGTATCAGTAGACACATCTGTTACTTTTGATTTCACATCTGTAACATCAATGTAGAACTACGTTGACTAAATAACAAGTTAAGCAAGTAAGCCTGAAAATTGGATTTGCTTATATGGAAGTTAACCTATATTTTCTAGAGCATGTTTTCCAAGTACTGCTTTAGAAATATTGAATTAAACTTCAAATTTTAGTTCATCCATTGATTTAAACAGATTGACTTCTTGGCTATACGATCTTTCTATTGCAAAATATATAATATTGGCATCTTTTTTTATAGCATTTGGTTTAGGGTAATAAAGTATATTTATGTTAGAATGATTTATATGTTAATTCTGAGATATTTAGGTGGTATATTTGTATGGTTGACAATCTTACTTTACTTTGTAGGAATATCAGTTTTGGCAGGATATACTTGGGATTAGCATTTATATTATCTAAAGTAAAGAATGTTAAATAATATTATTTTTATAGTGATTATTCATAATCGGCTTCAGCAAGTTCTACTAATGCAGCAGATAATGCCAAAGCTTTGGAATATTTGTTTTACATCGAAATAGCTTGGATTATATTTTCAATCATTGCATTCATTTGCATTTTTAATAAAATAAGATTGGCAATTGGAGTAGTGAAAACTGCCACTCTTTATGTGAGAGACAACTTTTCTGTTATGATTGTACCTCCAATAATTGGAATTTGTTTAGGAATATTATGGGTGTGGTGGATAGTTTCAGTTGTGTAATTAAATATGATTAATTTATTAGATACATAGTTGGACTTGGAGATATTAAAGGAGATGGTAGCACTCCTTTTGCTACTGTAACATTTGATAACACTACGAGAAATATGGTTTATTATTTTATGTTCGGTGGATTGTGGAAGCAAGCCTTTTTATTAGCTTTAAATTAATTCATAATTGGTTGTTCAGTTTGCATTTGGTATTTTAATTAAGGACCAGGATAATCTTATACTGGTAATTTATTTAAAAGTATATATTGGGCATTTCGTTATCATCTTGGATCTTTAGCATTTGGTTCTTTCATATTAGCTGTTGTTTAATTTATTAGATTAATGTTGGAATATGCAAAGTATTAGGCTAAAAAGATGTCAGGTGATAATAAATGTACAAAATGCATTTTAGATTGTCTTTCATGTTTAGTAGCTTGTTTTGAAAGATTCATTGAATTTCTAAATAAAAATGCATACATATAAATTGCATTAACAAGCAAAAGTTTTTGTCCAGCAGCTAAAGATGCTTTTGAATCAATATGGGCAAATACTATGAGATATAGTTTAGTCTCTGGGATTGGTGCTATCTTTACATTTGTAATACATTTTATATATATTTATAGATTGGTAAATTATTTGTAGGTTTTGCTACTGTCTTATTTTCTTATGAAATCTTTATCAATGTAGAACCCTATAAAACAGAACTAGCATCACCAGTTGTACCATCAATTGTTTGTTTCATTATTGCTTATATGGTGGCTATTCTATTCATGAGTATTTATTCAATGGCTTGTGATGCTGTCTTAACTTGTTTTATTTATGATGAAGAATTGAATAAATAAAATGGTGGAATGTCAGCTTAACATTGTCCAGAAACCTTAAGAGAATGGTTTGATAGCACCTAATCATCATGATATCAATTTTACAAACATTATATATATAATTAAATAGAATACTAATCATATATTTTTTAATACATTATCTATTAACTTTTTTTTTCTCTTTCTTATTTTATTCATCTAGCTTATTTCTAATTAAATTCCAGCATCATAATTAACAGATGAATTTGTATTGATTATGATAACATAGAAATAATAGAAATCCTATATAACATTATTTCTTTAAGTTGATGCTATTATTTTAGATCATTTATTTGATTATTATACTAAAAATAAAAAAGAATTACAAATAATTTTATTATTTAAACTAATATAAAGCAAATTTTCTTTTATAAAAAAATTAAAGAATGCAATTTCTTGTAATTATGATATGCATTCAATTGCTTGTAGCATAAGTTGAGACAAATGGTGATAATAATGAAAAATGCGAAGAATATTTCAACAACATTTAATAATCGATAATGTCTGGATAAATACCAAAGAATTTATCACCATAAACAATTCTCAGCTCTGGAAAAGGCCTTTAAGATTTAGGTTCTTATTTGGTTTGTAGAGATACTACTGATTTACATTATATTCACCTAAGAATGGTAAGTGGAGGAAGACCTCTACATATGGGGTTTTGTTTACCCATATTTTGTGAAATGGATTACCTTTAGAATTACAATGAACCAACAAAAGAATTTATAAATAATCTAACCGTATTTATATATAGTTTCCTTAGAATCTTTAATACAATAAGTCGATGATTGATAGTGTTTCCTATTAGGATCCTGAATAAATGTATCCAAGATGGACTGTTGGAACTTATTTGACTCTTGTTATGTTCATAGTCTTAATAGGTTTAAATATCATTGGAAGCATTTTCTCAATTATCGCAGAAAATAAAAAAAAAGCTTATCAAGATGATTTGTAGATATAGATCAAAAAGAAAGCAGCCTAGAAAATAAATGAATCTAAACTTGAAGAATAATCTTTAAAGGAATCAGTAAATTAACTTTATAGGAGATCAGAAATAATTCGTAAGTAAAATTTATAAAATTAGAAAATGAAATCATGGAGAATTAGGAATCTGCATTTATGAGTGGTAAAGGCTAGTTTGAAGAGATTAAATTTAAATAATATTAGGAGCCATCATGGGAAAGATTTGCTTTAAGTTTTTCCTTTATTCACAATTATTAGAAATTATTTAAGATAAATGAACCAAAAGGAGAGAATGCAGGTTTTGTGATTTTTAATGGAATAAGAGCATTATCAATATTTTGGGTCATTTATGGACATGATTAATTAATTAGAGGATCTAATTCTTTTAATGTCATAGATATCCCTTATAAAATAACTGAACCTGGATGGTTAACACTTACACCAGCTGCATATTTTGCTGTAGATACATTCTTTTTTGTGGGAGGTTTTTTAGCTGCTGTATTATTATTGGAAAAATTAACCAAATTAAGAACAATAAAATTTACATTAGTTCCTGCTATGTGGTTACATAGATTCTTAAGAATATGGCCAACTTATGCATTTTGTATATTAGTTTATTGGTAATTAACTGTTTATTGGTCTGATGGACCTATATGGAATGAATATATAGCTATGACTTCTACTTGTAATAATTAATGGTGGAAGAATCTATTATTCATAGATAATATGTTTTCACATGAGAATAATGGATTAAATTATTGTTTTGGTTGGGGTTGGTATTTATCAAATGACTTTTAGATATTTCTTATTACTCCAATCTTATTAATTATATATGCTAAAAATAAAAAGATTGGATTAGCATTGATTGTATTATTACTAATAGGAAGTATCTTCTCTGCTTATTATATTGCTTATTCTCATGATTATCATTTATAGATGGGTGCACCAAATGCTAAACCATAACCAGATTATTAAGATGTCTTTTATTATAAACCTTGGGTCAGAATTTCTCCTTATTTAATTGGCATACTCTTTGGATTCTTCTATCGTAATTATATTAATGGACAAAATAAAAAAATTGTTGATTTAGCCTAAAAGATTAAAGATAGTGTAATTATCAGAACTCTCTTTTATGTAATAGGAATTGGATTAACTTAAACTATTATATGGATTATTGTTCCTTTATAAAAAGATATGAATGCTTGGTCTCAATAAGCTTAATATTTTTATTAGGCATTCAATAGAGTGTTTTTTGTTTTAGGTGTTGGATTATGTATAACACCTGCTCTCTTAGGTTGCAAAAATGACCCATCTAGATTTATGTATTATTAATCATTTATCATTAGACTTGGACATCCATTTTGGTAACCTATAGCTAGAATTTCATTTTGTATGTATTTAACTCATTTCATTGTTATTTTATTCATGACTTTCAGTTCAACTTAATTAGTTTATTACTAGTATTCACATATTCTTTTTTTTACACTTACAGATATTGTTTATACAATTATTATAGGTGGTATTATAAGTTTAGCTATTGAAGTAAAAAATTTCTTTTATCTATCTAGGTACCTTGCATGAATTTAGAAAAGATTCTATTTGCTCCAAAAAAAAAGGAAGTATTGAAATGGAATGGTAATTAAATAGGAGAGAAGAATGATTTATGAAAATTTATATAAATTTATAGTTTATATATCAAAATTAGTTCGTATATGTATATGTATTAGGTATATATATGATTCTATACATAAATATTAAATTTTTAAAAAATGAAGCTTAAAAGGTTTCTTTTAAGATATTATCCTCCTGGAATAATTTTAGAATACATTCGTAGTAATGGAGAATAAGAAACGAAATCTATTGACTTGCTAAATTTAAGCAATGAGTATAGTTTGAAATCTAAAATATTAGTACAGATGTAGATCAATTAGTTGAAGAAATTGTGATGGAAGAGCCAATAATTTCTGAGAATCGAAAACCATAATTGGCAGCCTTAATAAGAAGTAAGTAAATTTCTAAGCATTATTAGAATTAATAGAAAAAATAGAATCTAAAAAAGAGCAATAATTTGAATTATTCAAAACACTAAAAGCTCATATGTTACCTCTAACAAATTGTGCATTCAATAAAAATGGAGACAAGTATTAATAGATACAAATATAGATTCATTACAGGTAGCTATGATAGAACTTGTAAAGTATGGGACACTTTTACGGGAGAGGAAATAGTATCTCTAGAAGGTCATAAGAATGTAGTGTATTGTATAGCATTTAATAATCCATTTGGGTAATAAAATAGAGATATATTGATAGTGATCGGGTAGTAACAGGATCATTTGATAAGACAGCAAAAATATGGGATGCAAATTCAGGGAAATGTCTATAGACTTTAGTAGGACACAATTATGAGATAGTGTGCACATCTTTTGATCCTCATTCTTTAATAGTGGCAACAGGATCAATGGATAAAACAGCAAGATTATGGGATGTAGAAACTGGAAAGTAGATAGCAAGATTAGATGGACATGAAGGAGAAATAGTGAGTTTACACTTTAATTCAGATGGAGATAAACTATTGACAGGCTCATTTGATAAAACAGCAATGATTTGGGATGTAAGATCAGGAGAGTGTATACATATGTTAGATGAACATACAGGTGAAATTTCAAGTACTTAATTTGAATTTACAGGTGATTATTGTGCAACTGGATCTATTGATAAGTAATTATATTTATTTATTTATCTAGAACATGTAAAATATGGGATATTAAAACAGGTAAATGTATAGAAACTTTAAGAGGACATAAAGATGAAGTTTAAGATATTTGTTTTAATTCTACAGGTTTTTCTATTTAATTTATTCTAGGTACTAGATTAGTGACAGTCTCTGCTGATGCAACAGGAAGAGTTTATAATGTTCATACTGGGGAATGTATTGCTTAATTACTTGGACATAAAGGAGAAATATCTAAAGTTTAATTCAATCCCTCTGGAAATAAAATTATTACTGCCAGTGCAGATAATACTGCCAGAATTTAGTATTATTTTTATCTATCAATTCTTTAGTTCAGAAACTGGAGAGTGTTTACAAGTATTAGAGGGACATACTGACGAAATATTTAGTTGCTCATTCAACTATGAAGGAGACATCATCATTACTGGATCTAAAGATAATACATGTAAAATATGGAAAGAAGTTAATTTACCAGTCAAAAAAAAATGACAAATTCATTAATAATATATTTATTATTTTCAGCAACTTTTATTCTGTTTCTTCACTTAATTCATGTTATTATTACTAAATAATTATTATCTCTCTGTATATAATTTATCATTTATAATAATCAAGCTCCAATTCTTCATTTTACTAATTTCTCCAATTCTCCTCTCTAATCCAAACTTACTACATCTGTATATCCACCAACGAATCTTTATTTTATGAATACCATTGGAATTGTACTCCATTTTAATTTAACTACGAATTCATTTACTTATCTTTCATATTCCTTTTCCTTTGTGATATCCCGATATTCATATTCTATGTTTTTGCTCTCCAAAAAGTGCTTTAATTTATGGCAATAAGGACAATAATCACCTCCATATATTACCACTTGTTTATCTGATTTTATCTCTTTATGTTCCATAGATATGGTAACAATTTTTATTATAAATAATCATATTCAATATTTAATTTATACTCATAAATACTAAAATATTATTGTTAACCCATTTACTTTATTCCAAACAAAAATTATATCTTGTTAATTTTCTACTTAATTACGATTAACAACATTTCCTCATTCTTTTGATTTTTATTTCAACAAAATCAAATAGAGTAATAAAAAGGTAGAAATATATTAATTCGAATTTTGATTTCATTCATAATACCATAAATAATAGTTATTTGCTATTTTAAAATTTATTTTATTAACTAATTTAAATATACATATAAAAGATTATAAGATTTTTTAAGTTCTGAAAAATGTGATAATTAATACAATATTGTCATATTCAAATGAAATCCTTCAATGTAGGACGGCCTTCCTCATATTTTTGATCAAGACACTTGCTAGATTATAATGGAGTTATATATGATCTTTGTTCCTGAATTCTTCCAAACTATTAAAGAAGAGGCTGTGGTTGTTAAATGGGCTTCAACCATCCTTACGAATTGATCATCTACTGTGCTTATAATTACATTAAGCATTAGTTTAAATATTGGTTTCTAAAGAATCAAATTAACACTCTTACTGTTAAAGAATCATGTATGGATTCATAGATAAGCTAAGCTACATCATTTACAGTTATTAATTTAACTGTAGTTATAAGGATTGATATTATAAGTCTACAGAGCAAGTTTAAACAGATTGGATTGGAGTCAACGATTCTTTTGTTTTAATGATTTCCTTAGGTTTTTCTNTATGAAGGAGACATCATCATTACTGGATCTAAAGATAATACATGTAAAATATGGAAAGAAGTTAATTTACCAGTCAAAAAAAAATGACAAATTCATTAATAATATATTTATTATTTTCAGCAACTTTTATTCTGTTTCTTCACTTAATTCATGTTATTATTACTAAATAATTATTATCTCTCTGTATATAATTTATCATTTATAATAATCAAGCTCCAATTCTTCATTTTACTAATTTCTCCAATTCTCCTCTCTAATCCAAACTTACTACATCTGTATATCCACCAACGAATCTTTATTTTATGAATACCATTGGAATTGTACTCCATTTTAATTTAACTACGAATTCATTTACTTATCTTTCATATTCCTTTTCCTTTGTGATATCCCGATATTCATATTCTATGTTTTTGCTCTCCAAAAAGTGCTTTAATTTATGGCAATAAGGACAATAATCACCTCCATATATTACCACTTGTTTATCTGATTTTATCTCTTTATGTTCCATAGATATGGTAACAATTTTTATTATAAATAATCATATTCAATATTTAATTTATACTCATAAATACTAAAATATTATTGTTAACCCATTTACTTTATTCCAAACAAAAATTATATCTTGTTAATTTTCTACTTAATTACGATTAACAACATTTCCTCATTCTTTTGATTTTTATTTCAACAAAATCAAATAGAGTAATAAAAAGGTAGAAATATATTAATTCGAATTTTGATTTCATTCATAATACCATAAATAATAGTTATTTGCTATTTTAAAATTTATTTTATTAACTAATTTAAATATACATATAAAAGATTATAAGATTTTTTAAGTTCTGAAAAATGTGATAATTAATACAATATTGTCATATTCAAATGAAATCCTTCAATGTAGGACGGCCTTCCTCATATTTTTGATCAAGACACTTGCTAGATTATAATGGAGTTATATATGATCTTTGTTCCTGAATTCTTCCAAACTATTAAAGAAGAGGCTGTGGTTGTTAAATGGGCTTCAACCATCCTTACGAATTGATCATCTACTGTGCTTATAATTACATTAAGCATTAGTTTAAATATTGGTTTCTAAAGAATCAAATTAACACTCTTACTGTTAAAGAATCATGTATGGATTCATAGATAAGCTAAGCTACATCATTTACAGTTATTAATTTAACTGTAGTTATAAGGATTGATATTATAAGTCTACAGAGCAAGTTTAAACAGATTGGATTGGAGTCAACGATTCTTTTGTTTTAATGATTTCCTTAGGTTTTTCTTGTTGAGATTCTAATTTAGAAGTACTTCTTCTCTATCTAGTCTTCTTCTTTCCTACTCTTCCTTCCCTTCTGTAAGTTTACAAAATAGCTTTAGAAGTACTAAACTTAATTCCAAACTCTTGAGCAGCCTACTTTATTGTGGATTATTTTGATTAGACTTTTTTAATAAAAGCCATTCTCACTGCTGGGGTGATTACAGCATACTTTTTTCTAGCTTAACTACCATCATTTATTGAGTCCATTATTATTAATATTTATAATTGATGAATTTATTAAAAGATAAATACTTACATAATACATTATATCATTATTCATAAGAAAAATCACTATAATGTATCATATTTTTATTAATACTAATTTAATCAATAATTTAAATACCAACTTATGAATTATGATATTATCATTATCACACTTCCTAAAATTAATCATTTGAGTAGGTTAAACATAAACATTCAGAAGTACATTAGCTCTTCTGAAAACAATTTAAAATTACAAAAATGTGGTTCAACAGACCAAAACATTAATTACCTTCTCAACTAGATTTTTTGAACTCATCTCTCAAAATTATTAAATCTGTATGTTTCTCAATTAGAATCATAAGAACTTTGAAACAAACCTTTTCAAAAATTTAGACCTTCAAGAATTAAATCTCTCACTTAAAAATCCAAAAGTATTACTTTAATTATACACATTTTATTACCTATTTGAAATCAATTTGAAAATAATAAGTATCTCTCATTATACATGGAGGGAGCTTATTTAAATTATTGTCCTACTAAGTAAGCTTGGAGTCCAGTTTTTCTCATAAAAATTAAACTATTTGGAATTAGAAACCCTATTTAGTTAAGAGAGTTATCTTTAAAATTAATTCAAGCTGTGATTTAGAATATTGAAAATACAATTAATTTATTTATTAAAAAATTTTAATAAAATTAATCAATTAAATTTCACTTATCTATTAGGATCTACATATGTAACATTCAATTATTAGATGCGGAAAAATTAGAAACAATATTCTTAGAATGGTTAATTAAAAATTAAGATTAAAAATACAACTTTTAAATTTTCAAGCTATTTATGGAATTTCTCGTTTAGGTCCTTCTAATCCTAATTTTTAAGTTTGTAAATATATCAAAGATGCTGACTAAAAAAAACTTTTGAAATCATGTTGACTGAATATGTCAATATCCTGTTATAATTTGTTTATGTTAAAAAACAACCTGATTATTTTTAAGATCAATTTCTTATTTTGATAGATTAGGTTAAAGGCAAATAAATAATTTAGTTGACAAACCTTCCTCTTAGAGGCTAAAGTCTTTAAGGTATGTAATTTAGAAATTTCTACCAAATTACCTCATAAGGTTTAAGGAGATAAATATAATGGACAATTATATTAATATCAGTATAAGGATTAGGTTATGTATTTGAAGGAATCATAATGAGTTACTAATATACAGAAAAAAACAAAACTAAACTCAATTAACATACAATTGCAATCTCATTGTTGCTTAAAATAAAAATATTCTTAAGGTTTGGTTATTTTATTTAAGATTTCTCCAATTTAAGATAAATATTTGAGCTTTTCTGATTGATCACTTCTTAAAACAATAGCATAAGCATGCTTCTGATAAAATTCAATGGACAATTTTTAGAACAGGGCTTTAAAAAGATCTGAATATTATTATCCTTTTGGATCAGAATGGCATAGAATCAACATATCTTAAATGGCATTTAATTCTAGTTACTATAGCCATGTCTTGAAGTAGGGCTTTAGATTAATATTGTCTGAAAAGTAAGTTTCAATAATTTAAATTGCTTCTTCATTTTAAAAAATAAAATTCATTTAATTTTAGATTAGAGTATTTTATATTTTTTTATCTTCTATTATAAAAATAAATACATATATTTACCATCAATTGGATAAATTCCTTTTTATTAAATTTCAATTTATTTAATAAGCTCTTCTACAGCATCATTTCTGTTTTCTTCAACTCGAAGGGAGGGATTGTTTATTGTTCTCAATTATTTATTTGAATAAGCCTATTAGATTAATTATTGTAGGAAACTGAGAGGGATAGTAACAGTTGGATCTTGACGAGTCTACTTTAAGATACATAATTACGGTGGTTTCATCAGCAGTTTAGAAGCGTAGATTTAACTATGGATATTTGCGTCTTTTCTCACCATTAGCAATATCGTTGTGAATAATTTTGATAGGAGCATATTTGATATGTACATGGTTATTACCATTCAGATGATGGTTGTTGTCACTAGATTCTAAGTTTAGTTTAGACGGATGATAACGTTCAAAGCTCATTCTTATAGACGATAAATTATAAATAAATTATTATATAAATTATTTGATAAAAATAATGAATATAATTTTCATTGTCAGGAATTAAAATTAATAAACAAAATTAATCCTTTTATATAAATATTTAATAATAAAAATTAAAATAAGTAATTCATGATTTTTATTTGACTTTCTGATGAGACTATTAAAAATAATTATAATAAATAAATACCAATAAAGTTGAAGTTTTTTGTTAAAGTAAAGTGGTAGAATGTTTTTAATGAAATTATTCTTTAGAATCCACTAATTATTTGAGTGTTTTGTAAATATTGACAGCTTCTATAATCTTGTAATCTCCAATCTAACTATTGTTTTAACTTTTATGACAATTATTATTTTTATTTTAATAAAACTAAAGATTAAACGCTAAATATTACTTATTGTGTAGTATTAGCTTTAGTAGAACTTAAATCATATGTATGGTTGGAAGTTTATTTTAAAATGGTTTTAACAGGTAATGTTTTTTCACTTTCTGAATTTCTCTTTTAAGATTATTATTTAAGAGGTGGTTTAGGTATTTTACGTTCACTAGAAATCATTTAATTAGATTTGGTAATATTAGTTTCAATGTTAATTGATTTAGGTTTTTGTTTAATAAATTTTGTATCAGATTAGGATTTGATTTAAAGAAAATCATAAGGTTTGGATTAAACATTAGTTTTTGGATCATCAACCTTTTTTTGATTTGAATAGTTGCGAATAGATTCTGCAAGTTTAGAATAAGAGTTTTCTGCAACAGAATTGATTTTATTAGATTTTTATCTATTAGTATAATAGCTTTGATTTTTATTTTGAATAGAAGTTTTTTATTCAGATTTGGATAATTCAGTTTAATTGATTGTTTTGATAACAATTTTAGAATAAGAATTTTATTTTTCTAAATAGATTGGTTTATTTCTATTATTATTATGTTCATTGTTCATTTTTTGTATTTCAATATCAATATTCCCAATTTCTTTTAATAATGAATTCTTAACTATTTTTTTTAATTGACCTTCTTTTGAATTACCTTCAATACAATCATCATATAATGGATTGATTTTTTCATATAATTTAGGTTGATCATGTTTGGATAGAATATTATATTTAGATAATGGTTGTTACTTTTGGACTTTTGAATATTGTTCGATTAAATTTCCAATAAGTTTATTTTTCCTCATGATAGGATATGTAGTGGTTACCTTTGCTCAAATAAGAGTGCTGCTTCATCCTCATTCATTTTGCTTAACTTCATTGTGGTGACGAAATATATATGTTAATTTTAGTTATAAATATTATTATTATATATATAATTAAATCAATCACTGAGATTAAATAAACTAGCGGGTTTTTCTATCTTAATTTGATTTCTATGTACAATATACTTAAGGTTCTTCATCTGATCCAAATAAAGATTATTCCATTTCTTCAACAGATTCTTTTTTACTTTTTGGCCATTTTTCTTTTTCATAAATCCTTCTAATTAAATCCTTTTTATTTTGTTTTCTTGCATAAGAAATTTGTGAATATGTAGTCATCATATCATCATCGACAGTTGTTTTATTGAGTTTATTCTAGAAGATTGAAGATATATTTAAATCTGAATCCTAAAAGACTCTAAAAACGACTCTCTCTTTTTAAGATTCCAAATAGACTTTTCCTAAAGTATATTAGTTCACATTGGTGTTAAGTTGATACTTCTTCTGCACTACAACATGAATTAACAATTGCTACTTAGACTATCAAGAAATGTGATTTTTGGCTTAAGTTCACCTATGTCTATTTAAGGGAAATGCTTTCTACTTGCTCTGCCCTTGATCTCTGTAGAATGAATCTCCTTACTCATTAATTTAAATATTGTTGTGTTAGATTACTTGACTTCGAAATATAAATATTTTAAATATTCTACTAATTAGATGTTTATATTTATTTTATACATTAACTAAATATATAAATTAATTATGCGATATCAACAACTAATAACTCATGTAATTGAACTAATCAAATCTTACAATCCTATAATCTTGACACCAGACTCTCATTGTGAATAATATATATAAGAGAATTGTAAGAAATTATTCGACACAGAAATCATGTTTTTGAAGCAAGTATATATATAAAATATAAATAAACACGCAGGTATTCTCAGGAGTACAACGTTATGAAGAGTTTCTTAAAATACTTACAAAAACGATGTTTACACTCTTATCTAGCACAACAAATAGAAATGATGCAACTCTATATCATATTTTTTCTTATCTCATTTTATTTAGATTAGATGAATTACCTTACAATGAATTCAAAAAAATGGTCAACGAATAAGATCCTGTAAAAATGAATGTCTTACTACAATTTCTATTTGACATAGATAAAATTATTACGCATATTAAACCACTTTGGAATGAAATATATGATCCTTAATATATACAAGAAACTGTAATTGGAGGACTTGAATAACATTTTCCTATGATGAAAGATTTATTAAGTTCTTTAAGTTCAAGAGCAACTGGAAAATAAAGTGAATTAGTTTAAGAAGATGAAAGACCAGAATCAGCAACAAAAAAATAACCGACAAAAACTATGCCATTTAAATTAAGTGAAACTAAGAAAAAGCCTGAACCACCACCACCTCCTAAACCAGAACAATACAAAAGTAAACCTATTCCAAGTAATCTCAATAAAAAAACTTTATAATAAATTGAAGAAGATAATAAGATTAGATTTGAATAATCTAAAAAAAAAGTATAAGAAACATATAAGGATACTAAATAATTTGAATTCAAAACAGATCTTAGACCTACTAATTATGAAACTATTAAAAAAGAAGTAGAGGATACATTAAATCAATAATTGTAATTCAATATGAAAATTGCAAAACCTGCTCCTGTTGATTTAGAGACAGCTGAAATTAAATTAAATGCTGCTGCTATATTGAGAGAAGAAATGTTATTAAAGAAAAAATAAGAAATAGAAAGAGAAAGAGTTAAAAATTTAGAAGTAAATCTTAGAGATTCAGGAGAATTTGAAGAATGGAAAAGATAATAAGAAGAATAAGAATAAATTGCTAGAATGGAACATTAATAATAAAAAAAGATAGAAATGGAATTAGCAAGAGAAGCAGCTATGAGAGCATAAGAAGAAAAATATAAAGAGAATAGAATTTTAGCTGAAAAAATGAAAATTGAAGCTATTGAAAGATTAAAAGAAAGATAAGAATTATAATAAGAATAAGTAGAACATAAAAAGTAATTAATTGAACAAATAATTGAAGCTGAAAAGAAAGTATATTTATAGGTAGAAAAAGTATAAGAAAAAAATAAGTAAATGGCTGAAGATTAGAAATTAGAAATGGCAAGAATGTTAGAATTGAAAAGATAAGAAGATGAGTAAATAAGAATAAAGAGAGAAGAATTAATTAAATAGATTAGAGAATTAGAAAGATAACCTATAAAAAGAACAAAAGGATATGATCCAACAGAAACAATGGGTTATGGTTTATTGGAAGAAATGTCATTAGCTGAATTGAGAGATAGATTAGAAGTAGTGAAAGCAGAAAGAAAGGCAGAAGAAGAAGAAAAAAGAAAAGAGATTGTTAATTAAAAAGATGAATATTTATCATCAATGCAAAGAAAAGTTTAAGAAATAAAAGCACATAGATAAGCAGAATCATAATAAAAAGATATGGAGAGAGAAGCAAAGAGAATGAAAAAATAAAAAGAAGAAGAATTAAGAAAAAAGATTAGAGAGGAATAATTAATTTAAGTATAAAATAAAATAAGCAATAAAAAATAAGTTAAGAGTGCTGAAGAATAACGAATAGCTGCGGAAGTTAGAGAGACTAAACTTAGATAATAATATATGAATGCTAATAAAGCTATGGTAGAAATGAAAGCATGGAAATCATAATAAGATGGTATTATAGAATAATAATTAGTTAGGATTGGAGAGAGAAATCAAAAACAGATAGAATGAAAAATTAATTGTATAAGAAGGTGTTGAATCAGTAAATTTAAGAGAAAGAAAAATCTTAGCAGAGTAAGCTAAAAGATTAGTCAAAGCCAAAGTTGATTTTAATTAAGCTTATGATCATGAATTAAAGACTGCCTATTAAATGAATGATTAGTTATATAGGGAGGAAACAGATAATAGAACATAAATGCATAATATCTAAAAAGAATGGAAATTAGAACATACTAAAAATATGATCACTAGAGATGAATATAAACAAAAGATCTCAGAAATTTCATTATAAAATTCAAAAAAAAAATAATAATAAACTATTAAACAAGAATAAAGTAGACAGTTGTAGTAACTACCTTCAGCTTAATATTCCTGATATATCATCATATGAATTAATCAAACTAGATCAGTAGGTTTATAAAATAATATGCTTGGTTATATAATTGATAAAAATCATATTCCAAGAAATCTTTTTGTTTTATTAATTGTATCTGCTGCAGTTTTCTTTACTTTATCTAAAACAGCTTCACTAGTTTATCGTTAGAATGTTTATCTATTTTGTTTAAATATTTAAAATACTATGGATCCTATTTCAATAATTTCTATGCATTTCTCAATACCTACAAAGTCTTTTTGATTGTATCTCTTTCGATTGTTATATATTCAGGCTAAATATAATTAAATTAAAATTTTACTTCAGACATTAATCCCATAACAGATTAACTCTTCATTATTTCATTATATAATTAAAATTGCATTTACTCTTAAGCTGCTCTAACTAAGAAATATCCTATTGCCTTAGGAATAGAATCTCTTAAATTTCTAATGACAATTCTATAATATGAATCTAATCTTCTGCTCAATTCTTAGGCTAGTACTTTTTCTGGATCAGTATCCTTATTTCCTGATTAAGCTGATTTACTTTAATTTTATGTTGTTGTTGTTGTTGTTGTTGATGTATTTGCAGCATTATCACCTGTTGGAGCAGCAGCTGCACTTTTCTAATCCTCTTTATCTTCTTACTAAAATTAAATAGAAACCATAAATATACTGGAATAATACTAGCATTCATTGTTAAATAATCTTAATCATTTGTAAAAATGTAACCTAGCTCAGCATCAATCAAATTCTCAACAACTACTTTTGTTTTATTCTTTTATTCTGTTAAAACTTATGAACTGATATCTGATATTGCATCTAAAATTGTAGGGAATCTGTAAAACACTTTTTTTAATATGCTATTAGATAATGAGTCAACATATGTAAACACTTCATTAAGAGTGTTTACTGCAGGTTCTCTTAATTTCTCTAATTGTGGCATAATCAAATATAAAAAGCTATCAAAAGATGGAAATCCTGGAATAGAATCACCTTAATGCAATCTAATGGCCTCTCTAATTTCTCTATCTGTATACTCTCTACTGATTCTAAAAGTCTTGCTAGCTTCACTATATTGTATAATAAAAGAGAATACTCTTTATATAGATCATTTAGATAGAGTTTGACTTAAGCTCCTCCAGAAATTTGTGTATCTTTTTATAATGCAGATTTGACATCAAATTTTCCTCTTAATTTATTATTAAGATTTTCTGTATATTCAGTCAACATATTCCAGATAACTTACATTTTTTCTTTATTATCTCTAGGTAATCCTGGACCAAGTTAAGCAAGTTTAACTTCACAATCTTAAACCTTGATATCTATTTCTCTGATAATTTAAGGTAAGGATGCTCGAATACTTTGATTATTTAAAGAATACATACTGTTTAAACAAGATAGTAGTTAATTTCTAAATCAAAGCTTTTGTTCCCATAATATCTGGAGGCATCTAAGAATATAATGCATGTTTTGCAAAGAAATCTGTCTCTTTTTATAAAGCTACTGCAACTCTAACTTTATCATTAATATCTTTTTAATTTCTATTCTTAACACCAACATAACCCAATTTCAAAGGTATCACTTATCCTAATAATTCTTTTCTACAATCTGTTCCCTAATCCATAATGTCAATCTATATTAATATTATATATTATTACTTTTGTAATTACACCTAAAGTTCTTGATCCAGTTGGATCTAATTTAATTGCTAATTAAAGACCATCACTTGTTGATAAATCTTGATTAGCTGGACATACAGCTAATATTATTGTTCTTTCATCTTAACAATAATGAGTAGCCATTTCTAATGTTACTTTCTCAATATCTTCTCGTTATCCTTTTATTGCTATTCTTGTTATTCCTGGTAAATCAATTACTGTCAAATCTGGACAATCACGTGAATAAACAGTCATTACTATTGGATCAGGTACAACATCTAATTTATTATTTTAATTCTTTCTACCTTTTGAATTTCCTGTTGCTTTGTCTGTCAATTCTACAATATATTCTCTAACCTTCTCAAAATCAAAGAATTTCTAATCTTTACATACATCAAACACTGCCCATGGTTTTAATGCATCAGGTTTATGTATTAATCTCATTTCCAAAGGTCTTCTTGTTACTATTCCTTCACCTCTTGGTAAAAAATCCAATCCAACAATATTCTCCAAAAGACTACTTTTTCCTGCACTCTAACTTCCTAAAACAGCTATTCTGGGTAATTTTATGTACTCCTAAACTCCCAAATCTCTTAATTGATCTATAAGTGTTATCAATGATCTTAAATTATCAAAAAGTTATCCCTATAGTGAACTATCTTTTTATTCTGACATTATTTAATTTAATTTATTATATTAAAATCATTATTTTTGAGATTTAAAGAAAATAAAATATTGTCAAGGTATCGTATATTATTGATACAAATCTCAAATATCAACATAATAATAATTATACAGTGATTTCATTTATAATATGATATCATTCACATTTATTATTACAAACAAAACAAATATAAGATAACTAAAAATATAATCATTTGATATTCTTTTATATCTTTTTTATTTACTAATACAGATTTGTATATATTTCTAGGTTTTCTTGATGTAATTCATCAATTGAACTGACAATTGCAGCTATACCATCATTTGGATCACTATGTCTTATTTAACTATTTCATAATGAAATCATTCTTACTAACATAAAGTAGGCATAGCAATTCTTGTCAGTCTACGCTTTTCGACATTAGTTAATTGAAATTTTATTTTAAAAGTATCATCATCACTTTATTTAAAAATGTTGTTAACTTTTTTTTCATTGACTCTATTTAAACCTGACTCATCACTCTTTTATTTTTCCTTTCCCATTCGTCTCACTAATAGATTATCCCTTGTCATTTCTATTGCATCCATCAATCTATTAACATTTCGATCACTCCATAAATCAACCACTCCCATTGATCCATCATTAGCCAATTCCCCAAATGCATCATGTACCTATTTTATTAAAGGTTGTAAATAATAATTGTTCTTTTTTTCATGCATTCTAAATCCAAATTTTAGGAAAGTTAATTTTTTTGTCTTTGATTTATTATTCACTTTTCCATATGTCTCATCTCGTTTTTATTAAATTTCAGTTTTTGGTATCACATATTGAGGTTTATGAAGCCATTTACCTCTTATATGCCCTAAAGCAAATTAATTCTTCACATTCTCTTGTAATATATCAAAATTAGGTAGTAATGATGGTTCTGTTTTAGTTCTTTTTGTTTAAAAATTTCTATGACTTGAGCTTACTTAACCTCTACTTTGTAAATTATCTCTCTAAATATACATCAATTTATAATTAATACTAATAATTTAATAAAGTCAATATTCTTTTCTGTCCATCAAAAATATTACTTAAATGCGTTTTTTGTTTACCTCTATTCTTCAATCTATCATTTTTACAAATAATCTTAGAATTTCAAGTATTATCCTTCATTACTCAAAAGCTCACATAAATTCTACATCTTTTAATTATTCCCTTCATTCTATTTAAAAATCTTTAGAAACTTATATTTATCAATTCTCAAAGTTTAATTCTTTTAACTCTGATTTCAAAATCTCTTTTTATTTATTTAGCTATTCAAATTCTACATTCTTATTTTAATTTTAAGCATAAAGTTTGTTAATCAATCCATTATTAATTTAAGATAATTAAGTTTTTTTTCTTTTCTAACAACTATACATCCTATGATTTCACTCTATCCCCTAATTTATAATTCGAACTTATGTTTTAAGTCTAATAAAATTTAATTCTTCTACCCTACTATCTTTTTAGATGAATTAAATTATGTATAATAGTTTTTCTCCAGTTCGATTCTTTTATTATTACCTAAGTATTTAAATAATTTATTATTTTATTTAATTTCTCTATTCAGTTTCATTATTGAATCTGAATTCCATTTAAAATTTATAATTAAGCAAATAATTTCCTTAATTTTTACTCTCTTTATAAAACATCTTTTTTCTAATAATTTATTATAAATTTATGAGGTTTCTCCATAGCCACTCTCCCTTAATTCGACAAAATTGTTCTTGAGCTCCTACTTTTTCTAAGTAAGAACCCTATTTTGATATTTCTTAAAAGATTTATTTCTAATTTCATTAAATTGTTTCTTAATATTCTAATTTTGAATAATGTTCTAACATATTTAACTAATTATTTTCAATTTTTTTGAATTAAAAATTATAATTTATATCTTTATACTTGCTTAAGGATTGCTAGATTTTTTCTAATTCAGAATTTCAGAATTATATTTTTTACAATTCAGATTTAAATAATTATTTTTTTTTACCAAATTTATATAATAATGGAATTAAAAACTAAGTTATTGCTGACTTAATTGATGTTATAAAATTTAATTAGTTTGATTTAAGCAGGAAATTAAGAAGCAAAAGAAGTATTGACCATAAGTATTAATTCAGTTGGACTTCTATTAAATTTAATTATTTTTTGCTTGGCATATGCAAAGTAAAAAGAAAACTACATTAACATTATGACACAAATAAACATCATTATTTAATTGGAAACAGTCTTTTAAAATGTTGAAAAGATTACTAATTACTTCTCTTTAATTTACTTACTTATTTTAGAGAATGTTTTATAAAAACAGCATAAATGCTATAAATTTTTAACACATACAATCTGTTTTTATGTTTTCATAAGATTAGCTAGTTAATTTTATGTAAAATTTGCTACATTTGACTATATTGTATTTGTTCTTTGGCAACCACTAAATCATTTAATATTTTATAAAGATAACAATTTTAATAACATCAGAAAGCCAAGTCCTTCTTCAATATCACAAAGACAAGGTAACTTAAACGGCCATTTTAGCTATGCAGAATAAATTTAATAGAATCTAATAGATGATAAAACACCTCACATAGAAAGAAACATTAAAGTAGCACTTGATGAAGATTTACTCAATTGTCTTCCTTATGGATTAGCTCTAATAGATACAAATTGTTAAGTAATAAAGCATAATGAGAAATTAATGAGTTATTTAATGATAAGTGAAACTGATTAAATTATGAATAATTTGGATCAATTACTATCTAAGTAAGAGCTACTATTATGATTATAGCGCTGAATTGAATTCAATTAAAACAAGTCCTCATACAAAACATAAACCTCACATTGTTCCATTAAGAAAATTGAAAATAAATTCAGCCAGACATCATTAGGGTAGTACTGGTATCAAATCTAATAAGGCTAATTGGTTATCTGATAGATTAAAAATTGAAATTTAAAATAAGGGCTCCTTTTAATCTAGCATACATGATGCAGTAACATACACTTATATTTAATTTGTTATGAATGAATTTTTAACTAAAAGTCATAGATAATTAAATCCTTCAGATAACTAATCTATGGCATCTGATTAGACTCGTATGTTTAAATTTCATGTAGTTAAAGACTTAACAATAAGAAAGAAACATTTTTAAATTAAAGTATATGAGGTAAAATTATAAACAAAAACTAAAGACACTGCTTTTTTATTCATTATTGAAAATATTACAGATAAAGAAGAATTGAAAGAGTTAACTCATCGATTCAAGTTTCAATAAGCTTTATTAAATTCATTTAGCCATGAATTACGTACTCCTTTAAATACTTCATTACCTTTATTATAAATATTAAGTTAAAAAATTGATGAAAATTTAAATGAAAATTATTTATAGTTAGCAATAATCTCTTGTCGTAGATTACTTTTTTAAATAAATGACATTTTAGATTATGCATAAATAGAATGTGAAGATTTTAAATTGAACATGAACAATTTTTATGCAAGTGAAATTTTTGAAGATTTAAAAGGACTATTTTAACAAGAATGTTCCTAGAAATAAATTGAATTAATATTAAATTTTAATGATCAAATAGTAATTCATAGCGATAAATTAAGAATAACATAAATATTAGTAAATTTAATAAATAATTCAATTAAATTTACAAAATAAGGTGGTAGAATAGTTTTATCTTTAAAAAAAAGAGAGTCGTAATGTATATTTTCAGTTTGGGATAATGGTGAAGGGATATCTAGTGAATAGATGGAATAATTGTAAAATTAATTTATGTAATAACCAAAAGATTAAAATAAAATGGGATTAGGTTTAAGGGTTTCTAAAAGTATTGTAAAATTTTTAGGTGGAGATGGAGAATTATAAATAAAAAGTGAGAGAGGATTTTATACAGTAGTAAGTTTTTCAATAGAGGAATCAATAAGTACGATAGTAAAAGAAGAAGATTCATCAATAAGAGATATTGAAGAATTGGGTTCAGATTCTAAGAATTCAGCTTAAAGAGTATATATATCTTCTAAAAAATTTCTGAATCATTGTGAATGCAATCAAATTTTGATTGTTGATGATGTACCATTCAATCACATAACTTTAATGGCATTATTATAAACTTATGGTTATAAAGCAGATAGTGCATATGATGGAGATTCAGGAATTAAAAAAGTAAAGTAAAAATTGTAAAATGTTTGTTGTAAAGTATATAAAATAATTTTTATGGATATAGAAATGCCTGGAAAGAATGGATTTATTACTAGTAGTGAAGTATTAAATTATAAATTAATTAGAGATCTCTAAGCTGCTTCAAAATGAAAGATCAAAATCTATAATTGTGATGTGTTCAGCCTATAATGGTTAAGAAAATGCAGAACAAGCTCATTAAAGTGGAATGAGTGAAATTATTTCGAAACCTATTTCGTTGGATTCTTTATAAACACTTTTAGTCAAATACTTTTGTTGAATTGTTTTGAACTTTTTGTAATTTATTATTTAATCATATTCCATTAAATTCTACAACCATTGGTCTAATTAGTTTATTAAGATTTATTTGATGAAATGGATTAAAATTTGACGCACGATATAATCCATAAATTTTTTCGAAAATTGCCAATAAATTTAATTTTTCTGTCCCTTGTTTGATAAATATGATCATTTTCAATTGTGTTATCGTTATATATGCATGCACATCATAATCATTATTTGGCAAATATATTGTATACAGCACTCCTAAATATGGTTCTGTTGATGTTCCTCCATTCAATTTCTTTTATAAAGCAGGACTTATTAATTATAAGGCTGTATATGTTTGAAATTTAAAATGCACCTAATCTTCATTATTGATATAATAATCAATAAAACTGAGTTTATCCTATGAATCTATAATAGCAATACAAGCTATTGACATTTTTATTTAATATTATATATAATAATTCAAAAATATATAAGCAAATAATCTGTGGGTATATTCCTATATTAGAAATTATGAGACCATTAATTTAGAATGTCTATTATGACTCTAAAATTAGCTATATCAAAAGTTAATATTCACTATAGATTTAATAATTTTGAAAAAAGATCTCATTCAAAATTTAAAATATTACAATCACATACTTATTTAATTTTAAATGCAGAAATTTAAATAAATAATATAATTACTTAAATAAATTATAATTATTGTANAATAAAATGGGATTAGGTTTAAGGGTTTCTAAAAGTATTGTAAAATTTTTAGGTGGAGATGGAGAATTATAAATAAAAAGTGAGAGAGGATTTTATACAGTAGTAAGTTTTTCAATAGAGGAATCAATAAGTACGATAGTAAAAGAAGAAGATTCATCAATAAGAGATATTGAAGAATTGGGTTCAGATTCTAAGAATTCAGCTTAAAGAGTATATATATCTTCTAAAAAATTTCTGAATCATTGTGAATGCAATCAAATTTTGATTGTTGATGATGTACCATTCAATCACATAACTTTAATGGCATTATTATAAACTTATGGTTATAAAGCAGATAGTGCATATGATGGAGATTCAGGAATTAAAAAAGTAAAGTAAAAATTGTAAAATGTTTGTTGTAAAGTATATAAAATAATTTTTATGGATATAGAAATGCCTGGAAAGAATGGATTTATTACTAGTAGTGAAGTATTAAATTATAAATTAATTAGAGATCTCTAAGCTGCTTCAAAATGAAAGATCAAAATCTATAATTGTGATGTGTTCAGCCTATAATGGTTAAGAAAATGCAGAACAAGCTCATTAAAGTGGAATGAGTGAAATTATTTCGAAACCTATTTCGTTGGATTCTTTATAAACACTTTTAGTCAAATACTTTTGTTGAATTGTTTTGAACTTTTTGTAATTTATTATTTAATCATATTCCATTAAATTCTACAACCATTGGTCTAATTAGTTTATTAAGATTTATTTGATGAAATGGATTAAAATTTGACGCACGATATAATCCATAAATTTTTTCGAAAATTGCCAATAAATTTAATTTTTCTGTCCCTTGTTTGATAAATATGATCATTTTCAATTGTGTTATCGTTATATATGCATGCACATCATAATCATTATTTGGCAAATATATTGTATACAGCACTCCTAAATATGGTTCTGTTGATGTTCCTCCATTCAATTTCTTTTATAAAGCAGGACTTATTAATTATAAGGCTGTATATGTTTGAAATTTAAAATGCACCTAATCTTCATTATTGATATAATAATCAATAAAACTGAGTTTATCCTATGAATCTATAATAGCAATACAAGCTATTGACATTTTTATTTAATATTATATATAATAATTCAAAAATATATAAGCAAATAATCTGTGGGTATATTCCTATATTAGAAATTATGAGACCATTAATTTAGAATGTCTATTATGACTCTAAAATTAGCTATATCAAAAGTTAATATTCACTATAGATTTAATAATTTTGAAAAAAGATCTCATTCAAAATTTAAAATATTACAATCACATACTTATTTAATTTTAAATGCAGAAATTTAAATAAATAATATAATTACTTAAATAAATTATAATTATTGTATAACTAGAAATAAATTTATTCAGCATTTTACAACATTATTTCAGAATTAATTATAATTCAATTATTATGTATTTTGATACATAGTATGACTTACAAAGGAGAATTATATATCAATTATAAATATTTAGTATGTAAAAATGAATAGAAAACTTAAAATATTCGAAAATTATTAATAAATTTCTATTTAATCAACTTTTCTCATGAATCTATTTATTATATAAATCAATAAATCAGAATTAAAAAATAATGATATAAAATGTTCATTTATTTATTTTAAATACAGAAAGGTTATTGATTAATGTCACTATTTTTAAGAGAAAACTCATTTTATCATTTATTAGATTAGTGATTGAAAATAACAAATAAGCAGATTTTATTTAACTAAACGATCATTAAATATGGCTTAAATTATTGCTACGATTTATTTTTTTGATATTAAATGTTATCTGCATAAATGCATACAAATTGAGTAAATTAATCAAATAAAATTTTTAAATATAGTTATTATATATCAAGGAAATAAATGATGAAAAAAATCGTTGTTTAGAATGTAAAGTTTTAAAATACAAATTATTTTTATTGGAGTTGGTCAAAAAATTAAAAAACATTAAAATTAAAAAGATCTAAGTTTAATTGTTGGAAACAAAAAATATTATGATAGAAAACATCTGAGAGAAAACTAAAGATGATTTAATGAGTTTAAAAGTGATTTTATTCAATCAAAAAAATTATTTTGATTAATTGATATTAATTTGTGAATTTTTAAATTAAAAATTAATTTTAAGAATAAAGAGTGGTATAATATGAAGTAGAAAAATAAGAAACCAATATCAGAACTTTTGAAGTAAAAAAGAATAGCTGAATAATAAACATAACTTCCCTTATAACCTTCTTCACCTCCATCTCGATCATCTTCATCGTGCTCGTCTAAATCATCAAATCCATATGAATCAAGTAGTGATGCTGAAGATTACGAGGATTATAAAAAAGATGGTTATCATCCTGTAAGTATTGGTGATAAATTTCATAATGGAAGATTTTAAGTTATTCAAAAATTAGGATGGGGACACTTTTCTACAGTTTGGTTAGCTCATGATAAATAATCATAAACACATGTTGCATTAAAAATATAGAAAAGCAAATAAAGTTATTAAGAAAGTGCAATTGATGAATTAGAACTTTTAAAGTATTGCATTAAAATTAAATTAGGGATTTATAGAAACATTAAAAGGATGAAAAATGGATCTAATATCAAGAATAATTGTCTTAAATTCCGAAATTAGATTATTCATCTTTAAAATGGTGTGATTCAAATATTAAAAATACAGAACAAGATCTAGACATCAAAGTAAAATTGAATGAAACATATTGTGTTGAAATGGTTGACAATTTTATTCATTATGGAATGCATGGAAAACATTATTGTACAGTTTTTGAAGTTTTAGGACCATCTTTACTTGATTTGATTATACACTTTGATGATTACGATAAATTAATGGCTATGTGGTTAGTAAAGTAAATTACTAGAGAACTTTTAATAGGATTAGTTTATATGCATGAAGTATGTAACATGATCCATACTGATTTGAAACCTGAAAATATTATGCTTTAATTAAAACCATAACATTTTGGAGAATTTGTAGAATAAATGAAAATGGTTAAAAAAAAACCTTTAAGTATGAAATTTTTAGATAAATTAAAAAAATCTATTAAACCAACTAATAAAAAATAAGAAAAAAGAAAAAAATAAAAATAAAAAAAATTATAATAATAATAATAAGAAAAAGATTAGGAGATATAAAATTCATCAGAATAACCATAATAATAAATAAAATAAAATGAATAAGAAAATGTATAACTATAATAANGAGTTGGTCAAAAAATTAAAAAACATTAAAATTAAAAAGATCTAAGTTTAATTGTTGGAAACAAAAAATATTATGATAGAAAACATCTGAGAGAAAACTAAAGATGATTTAATGAGTTTAAAAGTGATTTTATTCAATCAAAAAAATTATTTTGATTAATTGATATTAATTTGTGAATTTTTAAATTAAAAATTAATTTTAAGAATAAAGAGTGGTATAATATGAAGTAGAAAAATAAGAAACCAATATCAGAACTTTTGAAGTAAAAAAGAATAGCTGAATAATAAACATAACTTCCCTTATAACCTTCTTCACCTCCATCTCGATCATCTTCATCGTGCTCGTCTAAATCATCAAATCCATATGAATCAAGTAGTGATGCTGAAGATTACGAGGATTATAAAAAAGATGGTTATCATCCTGTAAGTATTGGTGATAAATTTCATAATGGAAGATTTTAAGTTATTCAAAAATTAGGATGGGGACACTTTTCTACAGTTTGGTTAGCTCATGATAAATAATCATAAACACATGTTGCATTAAAAATATAGAAAAGCAAATAAAGTTATTAAGAAAGTGCAATTGATGAATTAGAACTTTTAAAGTATTGCATTAAAATTAAATTAGGGATTTATAGAAACATTAAAAGGATGAAAAATGGATCTAATATCAAGAATAATTGTCTTAAATTCCGAAATTAGATTATTCATCTTTAAAATGGTGTGATTCAAATATTAAAAATACAGAACAAGATCTAGACATCAAAGTAAAATTGAATGAAACATATTGTGTTGAAATGGTTGACAATTTTATTCATTATGGAATGCATGGAAAACATTATTGTACAGTTTTTGAAGTTTTAGGACCATCTTTACTTGATTTGATTATACACTTTGATGATTACGATAAATTAATGGCTATGTGGTTAGTAAAGTAAATTACTAGAGAACTTTTAATAGGATTAGTTTATATGCATGAAGTATGTAACATGATCCATACTGATTTGAAACCTGAAAATATTATGCTTTAATTAAAACCATAACATTTTGGAGAATTTGTAGAATAAATGAAAATGGTTAAAAAAAAACCTTTAAGTATGAAATTTTTAGATAAATTAAAAAAATCTATTAAACCAACTAATAAAAAATAAGAAAAAAGAAAAAAATAAAAATAAAAAAAATTATAATAATAATAATAAGAAAAAGATTAGGAGATATAAAATTCATCAGAATAACCATAATAATAAATAAAATAAAATGAATAAGAAAATGTATAACTATAATAATCAGAATAACAATCATAATAATAATCAAAATAACAATAATTATTATAATAATCAGAATAAAAATAAGAATAATAACTAGAATAATAGTAAACAATTGTAGATAATTAGAAAAATTAAGAAATTAATAATAATAGTAATTTTATTAAATAAAATATTTCAGAAGATTAATTATTAAAAGAAAATATTACTTAAGAAGATTTAAAGTAAAATTCTACTAATAACAAACCAAATAATAATTTTATTTAACTTGAACCAATAACTGATGAAGAATCTCAATAAATAGATAATGTAGAAACAAATTAAATTTAAGTTAAAGAATAGGGGGATCTTGATAAAAATAGTAAAGATTAATTATAAAAGGAAGAAATTCATCATGTTCATAAATAGAGAAATTTGCAAAAGGAAAAAGAAAAAGCTATGAAAGACAAAAAGAAAAGTCACAGTGAAGAAAATGAAATTTCATCAGATGAAGATAATTATGATTGGAAATCAGAAGATTAAAGTGAAGGATCAGAATCAAATGAAGTAGATGAAGAAACTTTATATACTTTGAAGTAATATAGTTATATTGATTATCAGATGGAAAGAACATATAAAAATAAAGTTAGACAGAGATTTATCAATAAAGATTGTTGATTTTGGAAATGCTTGTTGGACTCATAAACATTTTACTGATAATATTCAAACAAGAGAATACAGAGCACCAGAAGCCATTTTGGGAATTGAATATGATACAAGTACAGATATCTGGAGTACAGCATGTATTGTGTTTGAATTACTTACAAATGATTATTTATTCAGACCTAGAAAAGGAAAAGGTTTCAAAAAATCTGAAGATCATTTAGCTTAAATGATGGAAGTTTTAGGGAAAATGAATAAAAAATGGGCGTTAAGTGGTTCTAATAGTAGAGATTTCTTTAATAAAACTGGTTAGTTAATTAATATCAAGGTATATACTTAAATTTATTTAGGATTTGCATCCAACATCTATAAGTAAGATTTTAATGTCAGAATATGGTTTTTCATATTAAGATGCAAATTAAATTGAGGATTTCCTTGTTCCAATGTTAGCATTTGAACCAAAGAAAAGAATTACTGCTAGATAAGCTCTTTAGCATCCTTGGCTTTGGTCTAAATGATTTATAAAATGTGATATATTCCATAAAAATAACACTTAATAATTTATTAAATAATAAAAATTAAATCTTTTTTCATCCTTTTTTTTAAATATAATATCAATAAATTAACTTATTTTCTTATCTATTTGAATTTTCACATCTAATAATTCTAGTCAACAAATTAATCATAAAATATTTGTTTATTTCTATAATACTATCAAGTGTCAAAATTTTAATTTTAGAGTGAATGACTTCCATAAATTTGTAAAAATTATTTTTTAAAATGAAAAAAGAATAGTAAAACTAATAAATTTAAATAGAAATTAGATGATCATTAAAAAACTGGTTTGAATTGATATTAATCCCATATGTTTTTTCCATATTCGAAACACTAAAATTTATTTTGATAGTACAAGTTCTGAATCAATTTAATGATTAGATGGCTATGAAACAGAATGGACAGTATAATTATTTATTATCATGCTGTTGGTATATTATTGACATTTAGTATCACTATTAATTAAAATATAAAATCTACTTAAAGATTCTTTTTATGTCATTTTGAAAATTGAATTCAGACTCTTCAGTAAAAAGAGGTTCTTCTTTAATAGATTCATGCTATTATAATTTCCAAACTTTATTGTCAAGTGGGAATTGCTTTGATGGTTTATTCTCAAAAGTAAATAGAGAATTTTGCATTAATTAAAATAATTTATATATTAATAAACTATAGATTAAATAAATCAAGTAGCCAATTCATCTACCAAAGATTTTGTCCGTTTATCATCTTTCTTTTGAATTTCAAGATTTTCATCTTATTATTTAGTTGGAGCTGTTACAACCAATAAACACCCTGCAAAACAAGATATTGATGGTACAAGAACAGTTAACCAACGAACTAAATTTTGATCATCGAGCACACTACCATAAGAACAAAAAAAAAGAGCAATTCCAGATGAAATTTTATCTAAAAAACTATATGCACCAAAAACAAAAGCTCCACTAGATCCTTTTAAACCAATGACATCACTAATAAGTGTAATTCCAGTATTTAAAGTGATTGCTTATGCTATTCCAATAAATGGAGATACTATATACATAAAATATGAATTATCTTCATTTAAAAAGATTAAAACAGATGATGATAATAAACATAATATTGTTCCAATACTTTTGATATTTTTAATAATTACGTTAATGTTACTTTCTTACCAAGTAATTAATAAAACTTTGATAAGGATGCACTAGTCAAAACACTCATAATGTATAGAGATAAAGGAATTAATGCCACTTAAATAGGAACTTTGACTTCTTCATCATTTGGATCTGTAAATTTTAAAACACTTGCAATATAAAAAGAAATCATAGTCGATGAAACATTGCAATATAGCCTAAAGAACATGTATACCATTCCAAATCTATAAAAAGCCATTTAAGTAAACCATTCTCTATTTAAATTTATGTAACAAAAATACTTCCAATCATGTACATCTTCAGACATAGATCCTCTATTTGCTTTTTATTTATTTAGACCTTCTCCTTCATCATCTGTAAATTCAACATCTGTTAATTTCACATTTCCTAATCCATCTATTTGAGATTCAGATGTTGACTTTTATAAATCATCACTAGAAAGAGTTTATTTTTATTCATCTTAAACTTAATTTCTTGTAATTTTTTATTCTTGCGACTTATTTTTTTAATTGCTACTACCATTTTATCTCTAATTAATTATATTATTCAATATTATACATCTTTCAAAATTCTCAATAATATTCTTGCATATTTAGTACAATCAGAGGTTAATTTAGGTTCATTAATTTGAATTATAAAAAATACAGATGTGGCTGTTCCAATAGCAACACAAATCAATGATAAATATTAAAAAGCTTAAGCTGAATCTGAACCTTCTGCACTATTTGCTAATGAAAAAAATATTAACTATATTAAAATAAGGGATTTACTGCTGTTGCATATACTATTAATACAGCTATGAATTAAAATGTATTCCTTATTGAATTTAATTTATCTCTTCTTGATCTACTACATGTTAAACTAGGAACTAAAGACATATGACTTATTTGTAATGATGCCCAACCAAAATTAAAGACTGCTGGAAACACAGTATAATAAATTGCCTTTTCTTAATATACAATTAATTACTTATACTATTGTATTATCATTCACCCCCATCCAATCTAATAATAGATTTCCATTCCAAACTGGCAAAAATGAAAAGATTATTACAAAATATCCCCTTTAATTTATTCATCAGATATACCCGATATACCATGGAATTCTCTTTCCTATTGATGTCTTTGTTCTATCACTATAATATCCAACCAATGGAGTTGCCAAAGCATCAGCCACTTATCCTGACAACATTGCATATGAACCAAAATCAACCTGTATTATTCTTTTCAAATAAAATAACAGGTAGCTATAATATTTATATTATTCAATACTTAAACCAACATGCTGCTGATAAATCATTAAGCATATGACCCATACAATATGCCCAAAATTATGATTTTGTTAAACTGTCAAACTTATACTTTTTATAGCCAACTTCATTTTCCTTTATTTTAGAAGTCTTATTCTAATCCATTTATGAATTTGTTTAGCTATTATCAGATTAAATAAGTCTATCCGAAGACATTAACAAATAATTTATTATTATTTTCTAATTTTTGTTTTATGTAGAAAAATCAAATATTATAGTTTAACTAAATCTTATTAGGCCACATCTTAAAATATGTAATAATATATAATCAATTAATGTGCATGTCTTAATATTATTTTATTGAATTATTTTTTTTTGTGGAATATTTAAATTATTAGAATAAAATAACAAACCTACCATTATTTCAATTTGTATAAAAATATATAACTTAATTATATGATATGATTATTATTTATTTATAAAATTTAAGTGATTAATCATATTATTTTTAATGTTTACATGAGATAAAAATAGAAAAAAAAAAGATATTGAAATAATTTATCTATAGTTAATAAATTTAATTTGACATAAAATGATTTGAAATCATAAAAAAAGAAATGTGAATAAAATTAACTTAAAAATAGATAGAATATCATGCCCCTTTAAAAAATCTTATTCCATCTCTTCCTCCCCACCATCCTTTAATCATGAGCTACCAATAAGCTATTGGAAAGAAATCTTTTTTTAAATGAAACATCAATCGACTTTCATTTGATTAAAATATTGGGAATGTTTCATCCAATTAAGAATTATATTTAAACTCTGCCAATAATAATTTACTTTAGCTTGTAAATATTGGACATGAAGTATATCCTTTAATAAATAGAATTAATACCCTAATATCCTGGAATAGGTTCAAGATTTTTTTTCCAAACCCTTATTAAATTTTTCACTAATACAGGTGTTTGAGCAAAAATAGCTGCAGCTGTTTTAGAAGTTGGAAGAGAAGAACAATCACCCAATGACCATATATTTTTATATGTCACATGTTGTAATGTATTATGATTAACATTTACAAAACCAGCTGCATCAGCTAAACCACTAATTGTTATAAATTTATCAGGTAACTAAATTATAATATTCTATTTATTACTTAAGGTGGAACTAAATGTAATAAATCAAATGTGACACTCTTAAGTTCTTTTGTATCTTAATTTTCAAATATAGCTTTATGATCTTAAACTTCAATTAATTTCTATTTAAAATGACAATTAATTTCTTTCTTTTTACATAATTCTGTAAGAATTTCAGCATATTTTGGAACTCCAAAAATAACTCCGGCTGTCTTATAAAAATGATGATTAGTTTTTATTCCTCTTTTATTTAATCTATCATGAGATAAATAAATTATTTTTTAAGGAGCTCCTGCACATTTAATAGGTAAAGGAGGTTCTGTATATACAATATTACCTCCTTCAAATTCTTCTACAAGTCTATTCATTTTTTCAGCATATTTATAATTATATATTGAAGCAACAGGAGAATTTAGATCATCTAAATATTATCTAGCCCCTTTTTATATTAGAATACTATGTTTATACCTTTGATTTAATCGAATTCTGTTTTTATTCCTGTAGCAATTACTAATTGATCATATGTATAAATCTCTCCATTTTATGTTACAATTTCATTCTCTTTTGGATTTATTTTTGCTATAGCACTATCTGAGATTGAAACATTCTTGGGTAATACTTTTTCGATTGGTTTTAGGGTCTTTTTTACATTACATAATCCACCACCTTAATTACTAAATTAAATATACCAACCATTGTCCATCCAGGTTAATAAGCATGCATTTTTTAGGGTTCGAAAATTCTAATTTATTATGGAATAGCATGTCCATCAGCTATTAATTGAGCTGCCACATTTAATCCTCCTGTGCCTCCTCCTATTATAGCAATTTATGAGTGGATTTTGATTGCCGAAAAATAATATCCTCTCAAAGAATTTAATACTATCATCTAAAAAATAAATTACTATCATTGCTACTTTTACTCTGAAATACAAAATTTGATGTATCTTTTAATTATTAAAAATGATTTAATATTTATTTTATATTAACTTTTTTAATACATCATCAATTAAAAGTAACAATTGGCTTGCTTAATTATATAATTAATTGCAAGTTTGCATTATTAATTATTTATATTTTCAAGAAATTTTAAAAAAATTATTTAACAAATTGCTTCAATTATAATANAATGTAATAAATCAAATGTGACACTCTTAAGTTCTTTTGTATCTTAATTTTCAAATATAGCTTTATGATCTTAAACTTCAATTAATTTCTATTTAAAATGACAATTAATTTCTTTCTTTTTACATAATTCTGTAAGAATTTCAGCATATTTTGGAACTCCAAAAATAACTCCGGCTGTCTTATAAAAATGATGATTAGTTTTTATTCCTCTTTTATTTAATCTATCATGAGATAAATAAATTATTTTTTAAGGAGCTCCTGCACATTTAATAGGTAAAGGAGGTTCTGTATATACAATATTACCTCCTTCAAATTCTTCTACAAGTCTATTCATTTTTTCAGCATATTTATAATTATATATTGAAGCAACAGGAGAATTTAGATCATCTAAATATTATCTAGCCCCTTTTTATATTAGAATACTATGTTTATACCTTTGATTTAATCGAATTCTGTTTTTATTCCTGTAGCAATTACTAATTGATCATATGTATAAATCTCTCCATTTTATGTTACAATTTCATTCTCTTTTGGATTTATTTTTGCTATAGCACTATCTGAGATTGAAACATTCTTGGGTAATACTTTTTCGATTGGTTTTAGGGTCTTTTTTACATTACATAATCCACCACCTTAATTACTAAATTAAATATACCAACCATTGTCCATCCAGGTTAATAAGCATGCATTTTTTAGGGTTCGAAAATTCTAATTTATTATGGAATAGCATGTCCATCAGCTATTAATTGAGCTGCCACATTTAATCCTCCTGTGCCTCCTCCTATTATAGCAATTTATGAGTGGATTTTGATTGCCGAAAAATAATATCCTCTCAAAGAATTTAATACTATCATCTAAAAAATAAATTACTATCATTGCTACTTTTACTCTGAAATACAAAATTTGATGTATCTTTTAATTATTAAAAATGATTTAATATTTATTTTATATTAACTTTTTTAATACATCATCAATTAAAAGTAACAATTGGCTTGCTTAATTATATAATTAATTGCAAGTTTGCATTATTAATTATTTATATTTTCAAGAAATTTTAAAAAAATTATTTAACAAATTGCTTCAATTATAATACCTAAAACTTAACTACGACAATTATATTATTGATTTTCATTATTTTACTTTAAATACTAAGTTCTTCATTAATTATATTAAAAAAATTATTCTTTCAAGATAAATATTAAAAAAGGTTTCCTTATATTTATTTTAAGTTTACAGCTTATATTTAAAAATAAGATCTAATTTAAAGTTCTGAACTATATGAATGATTTACCATTATTTCACTGATTGATATGATAAACCTATTTATTATAATTAAGTTATCCAATTCAAAATCTAATTAAGTTTAATATATTATTTAATTGTATAAACTATGAATTAGATAATGATGGAATTCTAAATTAAAAAATTATTAAAGACAATTTATTTGAGATGATCTTGAAAAATTTTATTAAATTTACACAAAAATAATGTTGGTTTGTACAAACCCTACACCAAATTTTCTAAATGCAGCAAATTATGCATTCTTGAAATTTTAGTTTGAAAATTTTAGATTTTTACAATTCTTTTGATTAATTTATTTTTTATTAAAAAATAATTTACTAGATAGAAAAGAAGATTTGCTCCAAATAAATTTATGCCAATCATTATTATTAATTACATTTTGAAGTTATAAACAACCTAAGAATTTAAAATCTACGAATTAATATTTAAAAATTCTTTTTAATCTATTAGTTGTAATATAGATAATTATATCAATTTAAACTTTGAATAAGATTTTCAATCTTTTCTTTAATTTGATTTGCTGTGGGTCTTTCTCCGGGTTCAAAACTTAACATTTTAAAAATTAATTTATCATAAACATCTTAGAATTTTATATTTGAATATTTCACTTCTTAAATAAATTTATGATAATCTTAATTTTTCTTAGAAACCAATTATCTAAATTATGGATTTTATATAAATTATTATGGTTATCTCATAAATTCCTAAGTTAAAGAAATCATCCATATGAAACCCATTTACCATATATCATATGAAGGAAGATATTCTGTAACAGTATTAGGTGGTTTGAATATCGAATTACATTCATAAAAAGTTTGATAGTCATTCTCATACACTTTCTATTTGGATCTATCATAATCAATTATAACACAAGTGATATCATTTTAAAGAAGATTCTATAGATTTTTTATTTAATTTTAAAAATCAAACATAATATTATCTGGTTTTAGATCTCTATGAATAATTTTCATAGAACTTAAGTTTTCCAATGATAAAATCATTGAATTAAATATTTTGAGATACCCTTTTAATTTAAGTTCATCTGTATATTCTTAATTTCTCCTTGGAATTAAGCAATCAGATATAAGCTTACAAAAACTTATTTTGTGTTTCTTTAAAAATAATATTAAGATGTTGCTATATCGAATGTAAAAATATAGGTATGGTTAATAAGGACTATCGAAATTCTCTATGATTTCAACTTCCCTTAATTCGTACATTTGCACTTATTTGTAGATTTTCATAACTATCTCGTTTTCTTACACATTTAAAATAAAAGATGGTATTTTTATAGAATCTACTCTGGTAAATCCTCTTTGATGATGTATTTTTTCATTACTTTCTATAAATAAATAATTCTGAAATTCCTGTGTAAATTCGGTACTTATTGATTCAGAATATCCAATCTTTTATAATAATTTTTATTAAATTTCTTGCAGAGTAATATTTTGATCATTATACAACTATGTTTCGTAATTTAATTATTTTACTAAATTATAATGATACAATTACATATTGAAATCATTTAGTTTTTGGCATATTAATTTCTTTTTTCTTTCGGTATTTAAATATCTTCATAAGATTAAATATATGGTAAACTATTTTTTGGATTTAAACTTATGTAAATTGTTTCTAAAGCAATTCTTGGAAAAATTATGTTTTATCTTTTTCCTAATTCAAGAAATACTTATAATAAATATTCAATACTTGAACATAAATTAATCATTATCCAATTTAGAGCGTTCACAGCTAATGGTAATTTGTCTTTTAACAAAACTAAGTTCAAGAATTATTCTTATTATTTATCATATAAGAGTCCTAAAATTTTTGATCGCATCTATGCTTGCTAGATTTAAATCATTAATAATTTTTATTAAATTTTTAATTTTAATTTAATTGCATAATTTCTTTATTTTTCAAATGATTTGTATTCTACATTGACTAGAAATCAGATTACATAATAGATTTAAGTTTAATTTCTTAAATTCAATTATATATGCCTATTAAAAAGGAAAAAAAATTTTATTGTTGATAAATTAAAAAATAAAAAGTCTCGAAATTAATTATGATTATTTTATTTTTTAAGTTGACATTCTTTTTCAAAAGTTTTTCTTTATTTCAATTTAAAAATTTAATCTCAAATGTTTAAATTAATTCTTCATTTAGAAAATTAAGAAAAATATTATAATGATAAAGAAATATGAGCTTAAACTATTTTTAAATAAAAATTAAAACATCTTAATTTTTGGATAAATACTGTCTCTTAAATTTTACGATCTTCATTAATTGTAAAATTATAGTAATTAGAGAGACCTAATTAAAATTAAAAAAAATAGTGGAAAATTTAATTTTGTAGTAATCTTATGAATACATTTTGAATGATAATCCAAAATTTAAGTCTAATTGTGCCACTATTAATCGTCTCTTGATATAAAATCCTTCTTTTCAAAAATTTTATATTTTTTCGCATTAATTTTGATGCAAATAATTTATTATTTTATCATTTTTCATCACAAAGTTATACAAATAAGATTGCCATAATATTAAAATAAAATTTAATTTAAGTTTTATTTATGAACCTATTACATTTTTATTTTTAAGTATATTTAGCAATCAATAACTCTCTAAAATAATTACAATTAATTTTTTAAAAGTTTGATATGAGGAATCAATGATATATTTATATAATGATTTTTTAGATTTTTAATCTTATCAAATTTGATATAAATCATAATTCGACTTATAAATTGTAATAAAATTCTATTATAGAATATTTAATAATCTATTACAATTTTTTTTAACATCTGGTTTTCATAATGGGAAATGAAAATTATAGCAAGAAAAGTGTAAAATCTATAGAAGATTCAATCGAATCATTAGTTAATTGTTAGAAAGAAAAATAAAAAGAATGTGAACGGAATTATGAAACAAAAGTATCATTTGTTTTTTGGAACAAAGAGAATCAGGAGAATATCATTATTGGAGCAATAGATGAAAAGAAAGACTTTCATAAATTTATGTATGATAAATAAGAAAACGGGAGGTATAGTTAAGCTAGGTAATAAATTTTTCTAGAAAATTTAATTGCAATTCAAGATGGAAGAAAAGTTGAAAAGGAAAAAAAAACAAATCATTTATTAACAATTTTCTAATCGAAAGAAACTCCTGAAGAATTTTTATATGAGTTATTTTAGGAAGAGATAAACTTTGAAAAAAATACAAGTTATTAAGTATTGAATATTAAAACCTAAAATAAAACAAGCTCTAAGAATAATTATGCCCATTGTTATCAGAATTTTTTAGAATAAAACCAATTAATATTTGAAGAAATTGAAAATAAAAAATATGTAAGTTATGATTGGAATAATAAGAAAATAAAAGCAACTACTGATAAAGTTATATATAAAAATGCAATTATTTTAAAAACCTCTCTTAAGAATGAAGATTAGATTTTTAAATGTTGTTAGAAATGGAAATCTGGATAAGAATTCTTAGAAAAGGAAAAACTATGAATAGTTATAGAAAATGATTTATTTTTGCAAATAATTTAATTATTTATCATTTCATATTACTTCACATTTACATATAATATAATTTTGATAATCATTAAAATATAATTTAGGAGAAAAAGATTAGAATATTAATTATAATATTCAAGATAATTTCTAAAATCCTGGAAGCACTACTGGTTTGGCTAATTTAATCGCTTTTCGCTTGTTTAAATATCTCAAAGGTATAAACCCTAGTCTCATGTAAAATCTACAATATATTTAAATAATTACCTTGTGACATGGATACAATCTTTACCGCATCGTTTATGTAAATTTTAGAATTTGTTTATAAAATTTTAAAATTCAGCATAATCTAAATTTTATTCTTCAGACCTTTAATAAAATTTGTTTATTGTCTATGTTATTTAAGTTTAATTTTGATTCAAATTTTTATACATATGCCTCATAATATTATCATTTAATTCTTCAGATATTAAACTACCTTAAATATTATTGGTAGCATTTCTTATGAGAAGTTCTTCTTATTATTCTGGTAAATCAAATAGCCCTTAATCAAACATTATTCTTTCTTCTTTTTATTTTTTTTCATATTCCTCTTTTTATTTGTTAATATTATCTCTTAATTAAATATTATCTACTGTAGTCTGTGGTCTATAATTAAAATTTTCAGTTTTAATGCTTGAATCAATGTGAGTAATGAATTTTGCTGATTCAACCCCAGTCCATTTTTATAAATTATCAGTAGGTTTACTATTGTTATTTTAAGGATTCAATTTTTTGGGGGAAATAGAATTTTTATCACTTTTATCAGTTTCTAAATTTTTAAGTTTAGATCTTTAATTTTATTAGTTCTATTATTTTTTAACTTCTGAAATGATATTAATTGAAGAGATTACGTTATCAGGTTTTATTTAATTTTCTTGAACATATTAAAATTACTAATACTAATTTTTATCTGTTTGTAATTGCTTTTTCATTGTTCTTTCTTGATCATCATGTAGCAAAAATTGTTATTAACTTAATTACTATTGAAATTTGGTTGATTATTAAAGTGAAATAATAATTTATTACTCTTATTTTAATTGTATATGATTATTAATTTCTAAATTTGGTTTATGATTATTTATTTATTTATTAATTATATTATTATTATTATTAGTATTTTCTATTTTATCTTAATTTTGGTTCTTAATTTTAATTAACCTAGATGAATTATTTGGTGTATAATATTAGACACCATGATTTTATTAAAAAAGATTAATAAAAGGTTTATCATGAAGACTAGTATTATGCATAGCAATTTTGTTAGAAATCAATTCATTTTCATTCATTTTATCATACTTATATTATTCTTATTATTATTAAGATATTGATCTAACTGGTAATCTATCCGTTAATGTACCAGAATTCAATATAGGTTAATTAGATGTTAATAAAACATTTGAGACTGCCTCATTTGAATTATTTTAATTTGAAACTTTTCTTTTTGATTTTAATTTAATTGAATTAGTTCTTTTAGATAATTTATTATTTTTAGTTTCTATTATTTATTAGACATTTGAAGAAGTTCTTCTAAATCTTTATTATTTTTTATTTTAAGGTGAAATTTCTTCTATTCCTTGATTACTATCATTACAACTACTTTAACTAGTATTTTTAGACAATTTTCCTTGAGTAGCTGATTATTCAATTGGAACAAGTAAAATATGTTTATTTTCATCAATTTCTTTAATTTATTCTAAGTATAAGACTTTTGGAGAATTTAAATCTTTTGTGGATAAAAATTTTTATTTTTAAATTTAATCAACTTAATCTATCAATTATTAAGAATGAAAATGTTTAGAAATATTCATAGGTGATCTTAACTCATCATTATCTGATTATATATTACCAAATGATCTAGTTTCTTTAATTAATAAATCATTATCTTCAATATCTTTAATTAAATCTAACATATCTAAAAGTTATCTATCTCCTTTTTATTCTACTACATATTATAATTATGATAATCTTCTATCCTTATTAGTTTTATCTAAAGCATTTGTTAATACAATTAATCTTTCTAACATTTTATCTTTTTTAATTAAATCATTCATTTATTCAGTATTAAGATTTTCTGATTGAATCTAATTTTATAAAACAAAAGGTTATAATGAAGGAGCCTTCAATATCCTTGTCTAAGATTATCTTTCCTCTTTTATTATTTTTAAATTAGGATTTGATATTTACATATCTTAAGGATCTTCATTTTATGAATAATTAACCATAAAACTTGATTATCTTTAAAAAACAGTACTTCTTCTCTATAAATTAGATTATTATTCAATCTTTTATTTTAATTCTTATTTATCTTATAAATGCTATTTGATTTAATTCTCAAAAAGTTTGATTTATAATTCTAAACCCTAAATAATTCTATCTTTATCTTTCAAATCAGATGTTTATTTATTTAATAATGAAATTTACTGTTCTGTTTTATTTTATAATGAAACAATCTCTCCAACGTAAATCTAACAACGACAATCATCTTACTTTACAAGAGTAGTTTATCTTATGAAATGATCTTTTGTCTAAAATTTTCCCATTTTAAATTTTTCTTTAAATAATGTCTTACAATATATAAAAACCCTTTCAGCTGTTTACTTCTAAACTTAAATTATATGTTGTCTTAATTATTCTTCTACCTTTTCATAATTATCTATATTATCCTTCAATAAACTCAAATCCACACTCTTTAATATTTAATCTATGTCTTCCTTTTTAAATTTAATAGCATGTATTAGTTTATTTAATTCTTCAGGTTTACCTTTTTCTTTAAATTATTGTAATACTCGATTTGATAAAGCTTCACCCATTATTGCTATAGATTCATTTGCAAATTAAATCATGCTTTCAAATTCCATTTATCGATCATATGATCCAGATAATATGTTTGTGCAATTTTAATAATAATCTTCTGTTGTGCATGTGTACTTTTCAATAAATCTTTTTTATTATGATTAATTTTGTTATTATGCTTCATACCAAGGAACTTATGAAGCATTTTTTATTTTTATATTTGGATTCCCTTATTAAGAAATTGATACACCACCCAAACAATTCTATTATAAATTCATACATTATGTGCAATGATCTATCAATTAAATTGGTGAATTCTAATTATTCTTTTTTTGTTAATTCAATTATTCTTTGCTTGTCAAATATTACATCAGTAGGTTTTGTATACAATTAAATGTTTTTTCTATCAATTAACTAACATCAATATTTATTGCTTATTGAATCAACAATGAAGTTTCAGCATTTATTTAATTCAGCTCTAATGAAAGCTATAATATATTTAATATCCTTTTATTACATCTGAAAATTGTTTGTAATCAAAATTCTAGATATTCTTAAATTACTCCAATTTTGTAGATATCTAATTTACTACAGTAGTTAACTTTTTTATTTAGAACTCCATTAAATTGAAATTTTTTATAATGAATTTCACATTATATATAATATATGGAATTTTAGTATTCTTCTTATATATTCAAGTTTCAATTGCTTTTAAGAATAATTCAATGAATTTAAAAACATTTAAACATTAACAAAATATTTTTTGATATGATAGATTAATTGATTAAACAATATATAATGGACTCAATACATTCTAGAAAGTATTGACCTATTGATCAATATATTTATATTTGAAATCTTACATCACCTCTGTTTTTTATCTTATGAGCAATGTTATAGTTGTCTATGGTTAATATGATAAGTAAGGATTTATTCAAAATTTTTCAATATTTATTAATCGTTTCTATAAAAACACATTTATGATAATTTTCATTTGGTAATACCAATAAGCTTAATTTTTTATACATTGTTTTAAAGCTTCCGTTTATT